GTAAAAAGTGAGCAGCATGTCGTCGATTTTCATAAAATGAAATTGGCTATATTATCCATCGATCCTTGGAATGAAAAGTAGCTCATTTGTGGAATTTTTTCCGATTGGGAGCGGCATTAACGGAAACTACAATTAATTTCATTAAGAAAAATTGTCTACTTAGCTTGTTCATAGCTATGAAATTAGAAATAGTTACAGTTGTGCGATTAAAGCAAACAAACCAAGCGAGAAGATGGATTCGCGCTCGAGTCAACATTTTTCGTAGACAGAGCAATTTACAAGGAGGATTTTTCCTCGAGAGGATCGTTCGTCTTCTGCTTTTAATCGTCGTTCGTTTAATTATTCATAGAGTGCAGCATTGAACTCGATAACCTACACCTACTGGAGTATTGTTAATGGTTTCCTTTTATGACTAACGTCAAAGGTGGCATTATTTTTGCACTGGTGGTGTGGGCGGCTTATAGTACACTACGTGCGATGACGAAGTCTGGGTCTGAGGAGGTGGTTTATTTAACAGACGACGAAATACACCATAAATTTTAAAACTACTATGCGAAATAATCGTTACGAAAAAGTCAACAAACACATTAAATATGTCATCACCTCGACAAATATTTTCAGATATAAATAATAAGGTGATCGAATCGTAATAGCCATCATAAAGTGTTTTAGGTCAATTCAAAAATAATAAAATGTACATGGAGAATTAAGCACCCACGTACGAATTCAATTTTGTGCAAATTTACTGATCTGTCACTAATTGTTTAGTCGCGGCACTGAACGTAATCAATTAAGAATGCTATTGGCGGTCTTATGAATAATACCAAAGGACATCCGTCTGAAGCGACAATTCGCAAAGCAAATTACCGTTAATATTCTTTATTTGTCGATCAGACCAGCCGAAACATTGTCACCGATTGTTCATAAAACGAGCACTTTTTCGTGCTTGAATTTAAATTTCGCGCCAACGTATAACCGCTCTAGTAAAAACTACATTCAAATAAAATTTGTTTTTCATTGACTTGTACTAAAAACGAGTTGCTTTTAATTTTCATGTTCTTATCACTTAATCGTCCATAAAAATGTCAGTTATTAACATTTTCAGAACGTGCTAATCACTGGGTTTTGTTACAAAAAACATTATATGTAGATTAATTGTGATACTATATTTCATTAGATTGCTGTATTAACGACAACAAATTTTAGTATTTTTATAAAAATAAAGTTAGCTAGAGGTTCCGCAGCCTGTCTGCGTTGCCTACTCTAGTTTTTAATTTATTTCTGAAACTTTTGTTATATTCCATTTTTGACAACGAATTAAGTTTTATTTTCGACGGATTTATCGCGCGTTGTTTACATGTAGGCACTTAGGTCATAGTGTATCTTATTAAGGTTATTTTGAGCCTAAATTTAATAAATGTACAGCTCATAACGACATTTATCGAACCTTTGGAATACATAAATTTACGATTATTTATTTATTGACGATAATTCGTTTCGTCTTTGTCTTAAAAAATGGTTTGTATATGGAAATTAAATTTTTGAAGTTGTGGAATATATTTTTGGGCCCACAAATTATTAAGTTTCTGGCATATTTTTATTTTCGTTTACATGGAGATAGTTTGGCCGAGTAAATTACTCGATAACATACTCCATATAAAAATTAGAACCTAATGAAGTTTATGCATATTTGAATTTGTGGAAATTTTTTTAGAGACCACAAAATTTAAATCATAATTTCCCATAAAGGGAAGTTATTTGGTCGAACGATAGAGATTTTGTACTTACGAAAAATACACATTGTTGTTAAGTACAAAAAATGGAAATACGTACTTGTGGTAAAATAATATTTGGGACCACAAAATTGGCGACATTTCGTATGTTGAATTCATGTTTTGTCGCCGTTCAAAATCCTAGAATATGAAAAAGTAGGTACCCCATTCCCGTTGCGGGTGTCCCTGTTTTATTCAACAATCTCCAAAACTATGGACTTGGTTGTTGTGAAATTGTAATGGTGAAACGCACGCTATAGCTTGTCTGGGCCACCAAAAATTTGATGACATAATCGCAAAATTTTGCTTAGTAAATCTTATTTAAATTGTGCACAATAGTATTTTTTCACCCGTGACTAAAAATCATTTGTTTTTAGCCTCATGCATTTTTTATAATTGTTTATACCGGGTGTCTGGAAATAGACGGATTAACTCTCCGCTACGCTCAAGAATCAACTGGTGAGTCTGGGAAAAGTAGTAAAATATTCTTTCTCACATTTTTGTGGAGTTTAGTGATTTTAAAATTAGTTATTTTGCTACGTTTGATAACTAAACAACACATTCATTATCATAATAACTAGTAATATAACTTTTAGTTAATGTTTCTCTCACCCATGACCATGTTTAATTACAATTTCAGTTAGAATGTACAAAGATATGGTTGCGTTGTTTTTGTAATAGCAGTTAAATATGTTTGACGTACCAAAAATTGTAAAAGTTTTCAAAACCCTACGTTTAAAATGTTCGCAGTTAATTTTAGGTCCCCCGGTGTTTTATTTTCGGATAAATTTAAAGGAATCTGGTGTTTTGTTGCTGGATGAACTTGAAAACATCTTTTGAGCTTTTAGTGTTTTATTTTTTACGAATTTGAAAAAGACTTGAGTTTTTTGTTTTTAATTCGGGAGACTCTTGGGTACCCATGGTGTACTATTTTGGGAGCCCATGAAGATTTTTTTGTGTATTATTTAAAACAATTGTCACCCAAAATTGTGTTTTCGAAAAATTCTGACCTGACCTGTTTTTGAGTTAATTTTGGGACTTTTTTTTGAAAAATTTAAAACAGTCTTGAGGTTCTAGGTATTCCTGGCCCCGCCCACCCACCCTGTCTTTTTTTAGAGGTTATGTCATTTGCCAAAATCGGTCTTATTTTAGCAAATCCTAGTCCCGCCCACCCACCCTCTCTTGTCTTAGAGGATATATCATTTGCCAAAATCAGTCTTATCATAGCAGGTACTAGCCCCGCCCACCCACCCTCGCTTTTCTTAGAGGGTATGTGATTTGCCAAAATCAGTTTTATCTTAGCAAATGTTGATGACTCATTTTTACACAAAATGATCAAAATTTGGCAACATTACGAGCTTACTTACATGCACAAGGCAGGAATTTTGAACATCTCAAGTGTTTAATTGGTTAAGCTTTAATGGATTTTTCTTTTGATGGTTTTGTTTTTGTGTATAATTTATAAATGTCTTTAATGTTTTTTTTTTTTTTTGTTTATTTATTAATGAAAAATAACAGCTTGTTTTATTAATAATAATGCACAACGATTAATGACTACTGGTTGTTATGGTTATTGTCATAAAAAAAATAAAAAGTAGATTTTAGTCACCATCGTTACTAAAAAATCAGAAAGTGCAGTGTTGCCATAAAGAATTTTTGGGGCTCCCGAAACCCCCGTACATAACGTACTGAAGACTTAATGCGGTATTTTTCAGACACCCGGTATAGGTAACTCAAAAAAAAATGTCATTTAAAATGCAATTATACATACATATATTGACAGTGTTATGTGATCTAATGAAATATGTGTCAAAATTAACCAACGATTAAATACGATTTAATACAACTTTTAGAGTGGTCCAAAAATATATTTTCTGAATTTTTCCCAAACATAAGAAAATTTCATGTCATCTTTGAAATCTATATGCACTCCTAACAATTTTATTGTTACATTGTTTCTTTGGTTTGTAAAGAAAAATATCACTTGAGTTTTTCTTTATTCAAGGCTAGCCAGTTGCTGTTGAATCATATTTTCATTTGTTCATAATTATTATCAACGTACTGATCTTTCTCCGCTTTGTTTTTTTTTGCCGTGCATTTAAGACGGCATAATCACGAAACAATGTGGAATGTGTACTTTATATTGGAAGTACATCGTTTATATAAGCGATGACAAAAATCGGACCAAAAGCTGCATCTTGAGGCACACCATTTTTGATCGTAAACACCACCGGAAATCTGAAAATTATTTCTACAAAATTTCGTTTTTGATTTAAGAATCAATCCGTTTAATACAATTAGTGCCCCTTTTACTTCATGAGGTTAAGTTAAGGAGGATGACGTCGTCTCCAAAATTTACAAAATATTATTTAAATTTTTAATTAATTATAATTAAGCGGGTTACAATAACGTTTAAGAGATTTGCCCCACTATAAAGTTGATGACGTCATTACAAAACTTATTACTAAAATTTGGCAATACAATTTTATAATTTATGTCCTTCAGGAGCTTGAAAGTTGTCTTTAAATAACTTCAGAACAGTTTTTTGTTTCTTTTGTAATCTAAAGATAAATATTGATTCACGTCAGGTGTATTGATTATCTATACAAACTTTTTGTTTCAACAAAAAGTTGGTATGATTTTTGCGTAACAGGAAACGTTTGTCGATATTTTAATTGAAGTAATAAATGTTATTGCTGGTAAGATGACTTATTTAATGTGGAACAACGAATTTAATATTAGAACAATACGTCGTTAAATGAAATTCCGGAAGGCTAGCTAAGCAATCGCAATTTAGTGTAAATTTGTCTTCCAGGAATAATTGGAAATTTGTTTCGGTTGTTCCGTTTGAAAGTCGTGTATTTTTAACGAAAATATAAAATGTGAATATTTTTAGAGAAGTAAACTACCGCCTTAATCCCAGGTACACTAGACTAACCCGTAACATTTTCTCACCCTGATCTATTTTCGTAAAGGTAACTAACACGTTAAAATTAGATTTCCTCAATAAAGAATCAGTGTGTTTTGTGTTTGATCTCGCCGTATAGATAATTTTTATGATTGCAAGTAAGCACAAACGTTAGTTTAGTGAAAACTCCTTTGCCCACAATCCGCCGAGACTAACCTCGCCCTAAATGACATAATTTGGCAACGTGTCAAGCTCGCCTAAATTTAAGTTAACTTTCACGGTCACGAAGAAACCCCCTTACCGTCGAAATTTTGTTGCAGTTGACAAGGAATTGCGGTTAAAGAATTTGAAAGAAAGACAAAATGAGGAGAGACAAAAGAAACTGGAAGAAATCAAAGCACAAGCGCTGGCAGCACAACGATTTAAAGAACAGAAAGAGCAGGAGCGGAGGAGACGGCTAGAGGACCTCAAAGGCAAGGAAGACGTAAGGCGGCAGCAGGTCGAGGAGCGAAAAAAGGCGATCGTACAGGCTGAACAAGACCGGCTGGTCTCGATTTTGAAACGCAACCAGGAACGCGAGGCGCGAATCGAGGCCAAAAGGAAGAACGAGAGGAGCAATATCGTGTTCGCCTTCGGCTCGTCGACGCCGAGGATGCTGGACCCCACGGACCTGTCGGCGAGCTTTTGGGGCCACAGGAGGGCCACGTCGATACAGAATATCACCTGCACGGCCTCCTCGACTTCGTTAACGAGACGGCAATCAGAAAGGGATCTTGACAGTGGAAGCAAAAAGCGGGCTACTTCTGCTAGTGGACTGGAGCGATCTGGTGAAAGTTAGTATGAGATTTTAAAGTGGTGGGTGCGAAACGTGCCTGCTGTGTGTTTGTGGTCGTCGCGATGGTGTAGAAATTTCCTTTTTTTTCTTTTCTATGTTCTAACAATCACGCTTATCTTTTATTTATTTTTTATTTTTTTTGAGTTTTTCGTCACTTTTGGTGTAAATTACAAGTGGGAGACGCTTGTATGGGTTGTAATTGTAGATAAATTTAGTAACTCACGTCAAGATTTGAGGGATGCACACAACGACTCGAAGTCGTTTTATTAACTTATGAATATTAAACGCGATGTCGTACATGACTCAGGGGAATGCACACCGACGTATTTCATAGTTTCACCGGAAGAATAAGAAGATTTATTATTCTTATGGTAATTTCTATGTCCAGCGCAGATCAAACGGAAGGCTGCAATGGTTTGAAGAACAAGAAGACTTCTATTATTTTTCGAATTGTATCAAATTGTAGGTCTATTCCGTTGTATTCATTGATAGATTAAAGTAATTCGCTTCGCCGTATACATAAAGCGGATCGATATACTTTGTTCTAGAACTCTGATTATGACATGACGGAAATGCGATAACAGAGTATTTTTATATTAACCTCGAGTAGATTTAGTTTCCTGATGTGGTGGTTTTCCCTTTGTGTGTTCGAAGAATGAAATGAATTAAGACTACTTTAGTGCGAAAGTGAGCTTAAGTCAGATATTATAAATGTTCAAGCTTAAATATAACCACACTTTCGTAATTCAATCAATCAACAGTGTTTCATGCCAGTTCGTCGATCAATTACCCTATTTAATTTTTGCCAAGATAATTTAATTGAAAAAACTTTTCATAAAATACAAATATTTTTAATTCGGGGACGCTGAAAATATAAAATAAAGCTCATTTAGAAATACCAGAAAATTCAGTGGTCCGTTTTATTATGTGTTCGTGTAAAATTTATCGTCTTAACGAATTTTGGCAGTTGCCACACACTGGACAGAGTCGTATCAGTTCTACTGTACGATTAATTCACTTAGGTATATTCACAAAGTAGTAACTTCGTGTCTGTGAATTTCTCCAAAACCCATTAAATTTATGTCCCATTGTGCCAAACTGAAGAAAGATGTCAGTAACTTTCTCGAACATAATTATTATGTGTGGTTTGGCAAGAATTACTTAATTAACAATATTCAACAACATTCTTATTTTCATTGGCAAATTGTCTTTTTTAATAAATATAACGGGATAGTTAACCAAGTCCACACAGAATTCCATTTAATCCGGTCCTCGTGAGAATAACCCACGAATGCTTGAATCGTGATTTATTACCCACCCGGGAGCTTTCCCATAGGTGGCACACAGGAGCTATTTATTTGTATATACAGGGTGAATCACCAAGTGCGCGGTCCTCGATGTTTCATTAATTATTAATAGAAAAAGGTCAGGACTAAAATTGTACGGCTTTTTGAGTGACACATTAAAATTATGTAAGATTTTTTTTATAGCAATTTATTTTTTAAATAGAACACTCATATATTTATTTTTGAAATACCGATGCGACTTTCCATTTTTTTTTTCACAATACGGGGGTTCACAAAAATCGTAATAACGTTGTACGCGTTTTGTTATTGTATCAATTAAATAATATTTTGATATACAGAGTGTTTGGGTTGTGTGTTACGCCATAAAAACAAAACACTGTTAGACTTGTTTGTATTGATGAGGCTGATACGTGTTTAAACTCCATATTAATTTTAATAATAATGAAAAAACTTTCAGAGTTTAAAAAATATATTTGTAGTCACTGCTACACGTGTTTCGGTACACAGTACCGTCTTCAGGCAAAAGAGAAACTTCAGAAACTTCAGAAACTGAAGTTTCTCTTTTGCCTGAAGACGGTACTGTGTACCGAAACACGTGTAGCAGTGACTACAAATATATTTTTTAAACTCTGAAAGTTTTTTCATTATTATTAAAATCACTGTTAGACTTTTTTCTATTTGTAATAATGAATGGGATATCGAGGGGCGCGACCTTAGTGACACACGCTGTATAAATAACAGGGCAACAATACAGTATAACATTTTATTAGTATACAACAATAATGTGCGACGATTAATTAGATCGACCAGTTGAGATGAAACGTACTGTGTATTATTATTATTGAGTACAAAATTACCACACTTCGAAGCATTGAAAACGTTTTGATTAAGATTTGGCTTTGACCCAACTGGCATGATTGATTGAGCTCACAAAACATTAGGACAGAGAAGCCGTCGCCAATGCGTAAATCACAGCCAACTTTAAATCAAAACGTTTATGATCGTACTATACAGGGTGATTTTCATATATGCGAAAAACTTGAGCATCCTTCTGATTTGAAAATAAGTGTAGTTTTAAAGTCATGGGGTCTTTAATAATAAATTAAGATTTTCAAAATATTCACAATTTGTTATTAAACGTCCTGTAACTTTGAAAACACGCATTTTTGGACACATCTGAACATGAAGTCTCAGAATGACGCTCGCTCGGTAAGTTTTTCGCATATATTTTAAATCACTTGTATACTGGGTGTCCCAGTTTAGCTTTTCCACTGTAACATAACAGTTATTTGAAAAGATACAAGTCTGCAATTTGGAAAAGCAAATTAACACAAAAACGATGTAAAATCAGTCAGGTTTTTCCGGAAATGACTTTTTTCCAAAGAAATTATGGTATATTTTTATGTGGTTTAAAAACGAATACATGTTTCTGGTATTCATTTTCTAGCTAAACTAGGACACCCGATGTACCACGGTTGATTTTGATACCAAATCTTGTTAGTATGAGGAGTTCGAGCGACATTGTACATCTTATTAATTAATCGACAACTTTATTTCAGTATTTCAGTATTGTTAGAGCCGCATTGACCCGGTGGTCATGTACTGTACATAATAAAAATTGGAGGTTATCATAAATAAATACAACCAAAAATTGGTAAAATTGTGTAGGTTTTCGTATTTAATTGATGAAATCTCGTGGATTTTCCTTCCGTTGAAGGCAGGCGTTATGAAAAGCTTTGTTATTATGATAAATTGAGTTGTATTTTGGGAAAGCTTGTTGTAATTCATCTCGTGAAAGGTGTATCAAAAAACAATTTTGTAGCTTATCTTTTATTGCGGATTATCGGTATCAGCAGTACGAGTAATTGTGTTCCTGGACAAACAGGGGAGCGTTATCGTTTTTGCCGAAGTGGATCAATAATAGAATTCACCGTATGTTGTTCGTCCAATTAGAGTTTGAAAAATCCTGGAAACGAAATTGGTTGAAACAACACGTCCTTATATGATGGATGTAATATAAAACCGACTTCACTCGTAACGAAGATAATTGAGTGCGAATCGTTTGCAAATATACGCAGTACGCAATTTCAGAAATGAAGTCATTAGGAGGACATTTTATTTGCGTTTTCGCTAAGTGTTTCGGTATTTTGCGGTCGAAAATTGTTTCGTTTTATTTATGAAAGAGTCGGTAAATTACTTTTGGAAGTCGAAGATATCGGAGCAAGATATACACTCTCGAAAATAATTCGATTTGTATTTATTCGGCGTTATTTACAAAGTTGGAGATGTTTAATGAAATTAATCCCAATTTCCTATTACGTTCTCGAGTTTCCGGAATAAAGTAATGATTTTGAGTAAATCAACACGAGGGAATTTCGTGGATGAGTCGGTTCGGAGATTAATCGCCTCTTATTGACAGTTTCTTCAATATACGCCCGTTAATTAAAGAGGCTGTTGAAAATTCCTTATCATTCGGCGTGATAAATGTGAAATGAAATTTGTTCCTTCCAGAAACTTGTGAATATCGATTTTGGAAGCGAGGAAATGAAGTTTATTGTCGAAGGTGATAACGTGCAAAGTTGATAATTTTGGCGTTTCCAATAGATGTCAAGTGGGAGAAAAACTCAAAGAATGTTTCCGAGATTCGAGTTTCGCTTCGCTTCGCTTATGAGAGATGAAATTCTAAAAGTGACGTTTTGTTATTAGGTAGCACTCCGTTGACACCTGCTGGTTGTGCGAGTGGATACGTCGGTCGCCGTCGTACAGATTTAATGCCAACCATTCCCAATAGAGATTCACCTTTTGCTGCATCACGCAAATCACTTAATCACTCACCAGGTAGGGCTTATTCGATGTCGCGTTTAGACCAACTAGCGAAACCACGCAAGAGGCCCGATTTGCCAGCCGTAGTGGAATCGACGTATTCTTCCTTTAGACCACTATCCTCCCCTCGACAATCCTCAGTAACCCGTAGCATGAGCCACTTAGCAGTAGGTAAGACAGGGCCGGCACAAAATAGGAAACCCTTGAATAAAGCAGACAGCAGGAGTATGCATCAGCTGTCAGTGGATGGGCCCACAATTTCACCGCGCACAACGCGCGCCACGCAATTGAGACAGCAGAAATTGCTAGCATCCTCTAATTGCAGCGATGGTACGTTGTTCCTCCTTGTTTATACCTCTACCAACCGCCGTTTCCACGTAACTCCTTTGTCTTGGTCTTCGGGGGCGGCAAGTCGTCTGGTGGCAGCTAACCCAACGGGGCTTTCCACTTAACCCTCATTAACGTGGTACTGTTAGTTACACGCTTCGGTTAACTCTAGATTGGTGGCGGTGGCTCACTCGGTCCCTTTTTATATCCGGCTCGAAGGACCACTGGTCCTTTGCGTTGCACCCCCGCAGAGACTAACCTCTGTTTTTGTATCTAGCATCATCAAGACCAAGTAGTTCGTTAAGTCAACAAAGCACAACCAGCGTAACTAGTTCTGTAAGTGTAAGGCATCGTCCGTCGACGGCGCCGAGGCGTCAGAGGCCAGCCAGCATCGCCATCACCGGGATCACGCACGACGTCTCGAAGAACGTCGACAACAAGAAAGGCGAAAACAAACCGCCGCTACCAAAAACTAGGAAATCGGTCACGAAAGACAAAACGACGAAGAGCAAAACGTCGCCAGTCGATAGTACACCAAAGAGTTTAGCGTCGCCGGTAGCCGCGCCCGTCTCCAATTTCGAGAAAACTGATGAAGTTCCCGAGAAAGAACCACCAGAGGCCCCGCCACAACCGGCCGATAACCAACAACAACAACAACAACAACAACCCAAACCGGAAGACGCGGAGAAGAGCGAAGAAACGGCGTGCCTAAACGTAAAAGAGTGAGTGAGACAACCGACAAAGAAAGGAAAAGATACCTATATACACTCTAACTTTTCCTTTCTTTTGTGATTAACCCTTCAGTGACACATTTTCTTCAACAGAGAAACTCATACCGTATCGACGAGTGAAAAATCCGAAATAACAGTTAACGTAACCAGCAGTGAGCAAATTAAACAAATTACAACCGAACTGATTAAATCTGAGTCCAAACCTCAGCCTGTACCCCAAACACAATCAGAACCACAACCACAACCCCCACCCGCCCCCGTAGTTAGTGAAATAAAGCCACCGATAGAAGCGCCTGTTCTAGAAAATAAAGACGAAATGACGACTTCGTTCACGAAGGTTAGGATTAACACGGAAGAGGAAGCTAAAGCGGCTTTGGCGGAACGAAGACGTCTGGCGCGGGAGGAGGCCGAAAGGCAAGCCGAACAAGAGAGGCTGCGGATAGAGCAAGAAGCGCAAGCCGAGCTCGAAAGACAAAGACGGGAAGAAGAACAAGTGCAGAAGCTGGTAGAGCAACAAAGATTAGCCGAACAAGAGAGATTGGAAGAAGTAGGTTACCCAAAGTCGGGAGCCATTTTTTTTAATTTTGAGTTTTAGGCGATTCGAGAGGCGCAGAAAAGAGAGGAAGAAGAGAGGTTGAGGAGGGAGGAAGAACAGCGTGCGAAGGTATTGAAAGAGGAAGCGGATAGGAAAGCACGAGAGGAAGCGGAAAGAAAGTTCGCGGAACAACAAGAAAGGTTGAAGAATGAAGAGAAGGAGAGGGAGGCTCGGCGTAAGAGGGTCGAGGCGATCATGCGTAGAACTAGAGGAGTTAATAATGCGAATCCACCTTCGCAGCAGGTAGGATTTAATTTAAATCGAGTCGTTACAAAATTAACAATTTTTTTTAGAATTCTGAGGATAAAAATGAGAATAAGTCTGAAAGTAAGATGAACGGAACGAAAACTGTAGAGCAGGAGAACGGAACGAAGAACGGGAAGGACGTGGATATAGTAGATAATATGTAGGTATACGAGGTGATGTAGTCGTGGGGTAAAACTAATTTTGGATTTCTAGTATTTCTGATGACACAGTGAAGAATGCGAATACTGTGTCAATAGATACAATTAATAGTACTGATTCAATAAATTCAAATAATACATGGCAAACTACGCAGCAGTATGGTAATTTACTGTGTGATAATAATAATAGTTGAAGAAGCAAATGTTGGTATTTTTCAGATCCATTGATGTGAACATCAGAATTGTAGTTACATATTTATATGTATAGAATTGCCCTTATCCTAATTTTAAAGTAATTTATTTTGATATTTTGCGTGTTGATCTACACGTCGATGCTGAATACGTGTATATATTTTTTCTGGGTGCATGGAAAGTATGGCAACTCTATTCATAATTTGTTATCGATTTTTTTTGACTGAGAGTGTAAAAAATCTCGATCAAAAGCAATATTAAATACTTGTGATTCTTCAGTATTACTTGAAATGTTTCCTTCTTTTCATTTTTTTATATGTATATTTGTTAAATTTTTTCCGTTTTAACTTTACTTGACTTTGGTCGAGATTGCACAATCTTCCATTTGATAACTCAGTCTTTACTAGTCATCTTCATTGTATATTAAATTGTTGTGTAATGTTATCTCTTCTAATCTGTCTTTGTTGGACCCGTTGGTTTTTTTATTTATATCGTCCAGCAATGTTTTATCGACATTTTATAGTGCATTTGAAATTATTAAAAGTCATGTTTTATCGTGAACATGTTATGATATGGAAAAGGGTTATTTCGTTATTAGTGTTTAATAATATATTTTCAAATACTACCTATTTACATTACCTATAAAATCTAAGCTGTTAGCGTGTTTAAATAGGTTTTGTATAGATTAGATTAAACTTTTTCGTTTGACTGGAACAGTAATTGTAACTGTAAATTTTTTCTTATAACTCGTAATTAATTTTCATATTTATATATAAACAAATTTCACTATTGGAGGCAATTATAGGTTTAAATATCTGGTTCAAAGGTAACCCTCAATAATACTATGTGGTTAATTACAGTTCTGTAAAACGCTTGTTGAAAAGTGCTTAATAAATGTAAAATTTATTTATGACTTCTAAAATTCGTTTTTCTACGCCTTCCCAACACCATCCTAAAAAAATCATTTTGGTAGATTCATAAAATTTTACAACCTATAATACAGTGCCAACCGCTCCAGCGAAGCTTGGCAGTCGTCAAACCACAAACAAAGACGTACAACGTCGTTTCAATACACAAAGAAAAACGAAGGTGGGGGAAACGTCCAAACCCGGAAAACGCCTTTTTGTTGTTCGTGGCGTGAAAGCCTTCGATTCCATTTTCCTGAATACAACCCTGACATTTACGTGAATTTCAAAGGATCGCAGACTGACCAACATTGAGCATTGTTGTCATAAAACGATATGAATGGCTATACAATTTTATTAGGACACGAAAATAACATTTTTTTGATCATAATATCGTTCGCCACGTAGCGACATTAAATGGTCACCACGTCCTGAAAATATCACCCATGCCGCAAATATTATAGGTTGTGCAAAAACAGCCGCAGTTGAGTTATGTTACATAAAATATCGTTCGACACGTACTAAACATATCATCGCGTGACATAAAACATCGCCACAGAAGTCATAATATCAAATCGAATATAATACAACTGTTCGTTTAATATCTTTCGTCACACCGATTTACCGTTTAGCCGTAGAAAGCGGAGATATATTTCATGAATTATCGTCATTTAAGAACCGAGTGTCATTCGTCACCCTGGGAAATATTTTGGTGGATTACGCATCAAATGTACCAACTCAGACAGATCGTTTCATTTAAAACAATTAATCATGACGTTGTGCCCGAAAATAAAGTCGGATAGACGAAGTTGTTGTGAGCAACCGGAAAATTTATTCCATTTAAAAGTTTCAAACGTACGATAACTTTTCTAAAAATTCGTAATATGGTAATAAATAATCGGCAACCCACATCGCTAAGTGGTTTACATATGAGCATTGCTGAAATAAAAAAATGGCGCATTGTATTCATTCATCGAGCGTCGTCACTACGCGTGAATATATATATTTAAATTTTTATTTCGGCTACTACGAAATCGCAACACCTACTATAAACTGAGGGTATAAATAGACGTTTTCCCACATTACATTTGATTATTTCGAACACCTAAGAAATTTCAAAGAACATATTTTTCTCTGGCACAGTTATCAAAATAAACTGCCGCCGGAAAGTTCGTTTACGACTCCGCTGAAAAGAATACACAAAACGTTTCGCACGATATAAATCTTGCGTATCCAACGTAGTCCTTACAGCATAAATATTAGAGAACGCTTCTAATATTTTTGTCGTTATATTGCAGGTATTTCTTTATCCAAGTAGCACGCCTATCAGTCGTTGCCGTCAATAAATTGCTGCAAAAAATCTCTTGATGTCTAAATGTTTACCGAAACGTTTGCCAAACGTATTTTTCTCAAGACCGATGCTTGTAAACGACAGTTATTATTTTTGCTGCCACTTTACAAAGTTTCTCCATGAGTAAATCACGCTGATGGAAACAGTCTTTTCTGATTAATTGTATGCTCAACAATATGGGCAAAATTATGTGATACATAGAGCGGTATCTATTGATTTGCGAAGCACTTAATTAATTTACGTGTAGGTAGGTAGCGAGAGCTAATAAAACCAATTACTATTGTCAGAGTTCAAGGTTCACATTTCAGCATATACTCCAAAATAAATAGCTTCATCGGCTTTGAAATCCGAGTAAACAACATTGTGGAAAATTCACGCATGAATAGTCAGAGAAACCAATTGCCGTTGGGTATTATTCACTTAGAGTAATGCACAAAGTTTACATATGTAATGGATTATTTCCGTTTCATTATTATTTGCTTAACGATGTATAACAACTTCGCAAGAAGGATACATTGTTGAGATAAATTGTCAAAAACATCTGCTTACTAAAAACACAATACCTGAATCACAGTACAACTTTGATATCACTGCCAACTTCATACACTCATCGTCATTTTTTCATTTTTGTTTTTAATATTACTCTAGCTATATGATATAATTTTTCACAAAAGAGCACAATAATAATGAGAAGTCTGCTAAATTAGTGGATGTTAAACAGCAAATTTGTAATTAGTTTGTCAAAGCATTACCACTGAACTGTGAAGTATTACCTGGATTTGATCAAGATACTAATATTGAGGAAGAATTTATTGACCTGGATTAATTAAGATCCATCATATTACACTTATTAACATTTAATGACTGTTGCTAGCTTGAAAAGCAATCGAACATTAAATCAAGTCTAGCGGAACATTATTAGCACTGTTCCGAGAAACGTAACGTTACGAACAATGTAAAAAGCGCTTGCAAAAAACACGCTGTTCATCAAAGCTGATGCTTTGACATTTAGTTACCCATGTACGTAAAAAAATCGCCGTATATATATTTTTTCAGCATATAAATTACAACCGTGTCACAGAATTCCCTCAAGGAATGTCATTTTTTGTCGTGTGAGATTATTATAACTGACACACTATAAGTATGGTGACATTTCCCTTATTACCGTATGTATTAATTCATGACAAATTTCTTCCATTTGTCACATCATATTCGCTCTGTCAACCTAGTAGTAAATCAAATGGAATATATATCAACTTTTTGGACGTCGAGTTCTTCACACAGTATAAAAATAAATTCACATTAAAGTACATTCGACACCTCCAATTTTTTTTTTTTTTCATACAAATTCAACGAAAAAAAATTAAACCTGTCTGATATCGACAGGATTAAATTGTAAATGACGCCAAGATGGAGCCTGTATTAAAATTTATGAATAACAAAAGCAAGCTAGTTCATAATGCAAAAGCTTTCCACTTAGTGTAACGAAAGTGATTTTTACATTTTAATTGAAGTATTAGCGGTGAATTTGCACTTGAAATTATTTACTCCTGAAAGCATCTGTATAGCTTTCAGGAATTTTTAATATTTCACGAACGCTACTTTTGTTGCTTCTTTAATCAGAGTGTCGGCTCACAAACAATTGTTGCTTATTAAAAACTTCTTTAAAGTAGTTTTCTACTTTTACGGTATTACATATTAAATTCTTGGCAGTCGTGGCACAATACCGCGACGGAAGTCGGATTTACGTGTTGAAATGATGAGGTGGTTAGTCGGCCCACGCCTTTCTACTATTAGGTTGGAAGACGTTTCGTAATAAAATCATTATGAGGGAGCTTCCCACTACCTTTGGAGTTCAAGGTAGAGTGGGTACCTCACAGACGAAAGATACGTTCTGAAGATCCCAGGGAGACCCACCTTAAGATTCCACGAATTTCGAGGACTTAAAATGGAACCCGATTCAAAGGTTCTAGGGTGACCCGATTTGAGAATCCTACGAAACCGCGTTTAGGACCCAAGGAGACTCGTCGCGAGGAACCCAGTCAGACTTTTCTTGAGGATTTTAGGGTAACCAATTCCGAGGATCCTGAATATTCCAAAAAACTCACCCCGAGGACCCTAAGAAAATTCGTCCCGAGGATTCTAAGGAGATCCCACTCTAAGATTCCAAGAATTTCAAAGACTTTAAAGTGACCGGTCGTGACAATCACAGGGACATCTGTCTCGAGGATCCGAGAAAAACCCATTTCGAAGGTTCTAGGGTGACCCGATTTGAGAATTCTACGAAACCCGCGTCTAGGACCCAAGCAGACTCGTCACGAGGATATCAGAACGACTGTTTATGAGGATTTTAGAGTAACCAGTTCCAAGGATCCCGAATATTCCAAGATGACTCACCCGGAGGACCGTAAAAGATTCGTCTCAAGAAGTCTAGGGAGATTCCAGAGAGACCCACTTTAAGATTCCAAGAATTTCTAAGACCTTAAAGAGACCCGCCGCGACAATCTCGGGGATATCCGTTTTAGGGATCCGAGAAAAACCCGTTTCGAAGGTTTTAGGATGGCCCGATTTGAAAATCCTAGGGTAACCTGCGTCTAGAAACCAAGGAGATTCGTCTCGAGGGTCGCAGGAAGACTCTTTCTGAGCATTTTAGGGTAACCAGTTCCGAGGATCCAGAATATTCCAAGAAGACTCACCCCGAGGACCCTAAAAAGACTCGTCCTGAGAAGAATCATTCCTAGGATCCTTCCCGAAGATTCCAGACACTCGCCTGACTGATCCTAAGAAAACCCGCTCGTAGGACCCACAAACACTTTTTCTTCCGAGGATCCCAAGAAGCTTCGCAACTAGGATCCTTCAATGACTCCCCACGAGGATCATAAGGCAGCTCGCCCGGATCTCTCTTCGGTCGTAAAGAAGCTAAAGTATCCTCCCGAGTCTCGTAGCATATAAATTGCAATCGAAAAGAAATAAACACTCTGTAGATCTTTATGGGACAATTTGATGTTTATTTAATAGGTACTCAAAATTTATGAGAGGCATTTATGTTAATTTGAAGAAAATTCTTAGCGTCTCTTGGCAAGCTCCAGCGGTGTTTACTTTAAATACCTACTGTTTTATTGATGATCCCAAGTGCTTTCCGCTTTCGTTTGTGAAATTAATAAAAAACATTTGAAATGTACACATAATAAAAATGCGCGCGTAAAATTGGCGATTAAAAGATTTATGCTGAAGTGAATGTTTATCCCTTGGAGATTATTTTAATGAGCGACGGTTCGTGTTCCGCCATTAAGTAAGTACTCTATTTTTACCGCGAAATGAGCGAATTGATATTAAACCCAAACGACCTCATCTACCGCGGCCTGTCTTGTACATCTTTCATGACGTTCAGCTCGTAGTAAATTACCTGATAAAAATGTAACTGAGCGTTCGCCGGAAGCAACGTAATTTAAAAAAATAATTGCTACGGAGCGGTATACCTAAGAATCGCTATCTGTTCGAAACATCTTTTTGATATTTTTATTAATGCGAATTAGCAAGGCAAACAAATCCAATTTCCTTTGAAATATCGCCATCGATACCGGGGAAGCGGCGGCCGGGGCGACGAAAAGTAGCTATTTAATATATTTATTCATACTTTAAAGGTGTGTGATACCCGGTTCGCTTTTGTATTGGTAAATGTAGGTGTGTGAAAGGTGCATACAAAACTGGTTCGGGCCCTTTTTATCGCACCACCCCGTGCCAGCCCGTAACACCCCCTGTTTGTGTGTGGACCTACAACACAGCAAATCATGGAAATGATCGATCTAGTTGATTTTGGTTGCTAGCGTACCATGGACGCGTGTTTCTCGGCGTTCGACAAAAACAGGTATTATTTTGCAAGTCAAAACTGCACGATGCAACGTCCGTGCTAACCCGTTAAACGACGGTCCGCTCGGAAACGTCGTCAGTGGATTGTCCCCTTAATCGCCGGTTACGTGACGGCGTTTTGGTGATTAAGGTGACAATTTCACGACGAGGGAGACTGCGTTGGTCAATGTTGACTTGCAAAGTAACGTCTTCTGTTTAGCGACGGCTACCTAGATTTGGACGAGTTTAGATTGTTGACCCGCGCACTTTTCCGTAATGACAAGGGGAAGATCTACAATTTAGACGAAGATAAACTGCGGGAGATATTCAACGTGTTCGACGTCAACGGTGACGGGTTCGTGGACAGAGAGGAGTTTGTGTTTTGTTGGAATCACTGGATCAAAATCGTGAGTATCAAAACAAGCGGAAAGGAAAGGATCGCGAGGGGAGAGTGCATTCCAGATAGTGCGCCCGATTTCTGCTTTCTTAATAGTCGACGTCCAAAACGACTTCATAAGTGGTACATTAAACATAAGTAATTGTTCCGCACAACAAAATGGATTAGAAGTAGTAGAACCTATCAATCATTTGTTGGATACGGTCCAATTCGACGTGGTGTTCTACTCTTTGGATTGGCATCCCAGCAACCACGTATCATTTATCGATAATATTAGTCAAAGGGAGATTCATCCATCAAGCCCTGTCACGGCGGAGAACGCACAGACCTACGATACTGTCATATTCGCCGGACCCCCACCTATGAAGCAGCGCCTATGGCCCCGGCACTGCGTCCAGGACACGTGGGGTTCCGAGCTCCACAAAGACCTGAAGGTGAGAAACTAACAAGTTGAAAGCAATTTCGCGGAATCTAATTCCACTTTTCAACGTCCCGAAGTGTGAAAGTGCGCAACATGTTTTTCGTTAAGTACCTTTATTGTGCGAGGACGATACAATGGACGTTCCGTCTAACAAGCGCGGACAGGTCTGTATTTTTCTTTCAGCGGCCTTTTATGTTGTTAGGTCGTGGAGAATTCGATAAAGGTATACAAAGGCACCAATCCGGACGTCGATTCTTATTCGGTATTTTGGGATAATAAGAAAATGACAGACACGACCCTTTGCGCTCAGCTGCGGATGCGAAATGCGACGGATATCTACATCTGCGGTCTGGCTTATGACGTGTGCGTAGGTAAATCTTCGGGGAAGACCTTCGGGGTAATTTTATTCTAATAAGTTAGATTGGTTTTAGGAGCAACAGCTGTGGACGCGTTGGCAATCGGATATAGAACGATTCTGTTAGATGATTGCAGCAGAGGCGTGGATTTGCTGGACATAGAGAAGACCAAGAACACCGTCATCAAAAACAACGGGGTTATTATTAATTCTAATCAAGTGAAAGCGATGGTCGAAGGAAGGGACAGACGTCCGGAGCTCGGTTATAAATTGGCCATGGAACTGAAAATGAACAGGCTAGAGAATAATCATTAAAGTTATAAATATAAATATGTATAGTTTTTGGTAGTTTAGGTGCATTTGTTAATTATAGCAATTTGGGTCGTTATTAGAACTCTTCCCGTTAATAAGACTTGAACGAGTTTAGAATTTAAATGATGGAATAAATGAAAGAAAAACGGCAATCTCGAGAGGAGTGCGTGTCAGTTTTTTTCTTTTTGATAAAAGGCAATTTGTGCGAGATTGTATTGAAATTGTATATGAATGAAATAAAATTGGTAAGCAGCTTTGAAGAGTCCTTTTAATGCTTAATAAAAAAATGATTATTGAATTTAAGTAGATTTTAATGAAGGATCGTTAGGCATCGGTAGGCATATGGGCAGCGAGCGGGAGATGAAAAGACTCGTCGTCGTCGTCGTTCCGTTTCCCGAAAGAATAGGCGTAATTTTACGTTTGCGGTGACGTCAGAGGTGACGGTAGCGCGTTCGCGTCCTCAGTCTCGTCAGGAGAAGAAATATGTACTTAGCCGGTGTCGCCCTGGGGGTGGGAGTGCGAGATTGCGAAAATAAATTGAAGCGATGGGAGTGTTTGTTGTCACCGTCGGTGTTTATTTTGTAGATAGGTGTGGAAATCGCGAAGCGTAAGTAAAGGTTGGTTGTTGGTTGTCGGATTTGACAAGCTCGCGCGCTTGCAAAAATAGACGTCGTTAGTGCGCGAGGTCCGACCGACGATCAATATAGCGCTTCCTATGAGTTAGAGGTACAGCTCGTAATAATCGACGGTGCACGGGCTCTCAGTTGTGAGTGCGTGTGTGTTTTCGAGAGGAGGGGTTGGAGCAACTCCTAAATATTAATGCACTTCGATGAACGGGTGAAGTAATAGTCGCTGGAGGGCTGGCCGAGGTAGATCTCGAAGCGGTGAGGTTGACTCTTGGGGCCAGTTCCAGTTGCAATGTATAAACACACCCTCATCGCATTGATAGTGCACATCTTCCACGTGACAGTGTAAGTTTAACTTGGTGTTTTCTCGTTTTTGTTTTTCTCGTTTTTTCTTTGATGAGATGTTATTTCACTAAATGGTCGGTGTACGGAATAGGTGCACAAATGTCAAGATTAATTTTCGCGAAAAGGAGAAAGAGGTGTTGGACCAGATCCTGGGGCAGGGGATGTACGATGCCAGGATCCGACCATCTGGCGTGAACGGCACAGGTGAGCAGACTTCTAGGTTGGCTTGGTTTATAATGTTTAGGTCAGACGTCCAGAGAACGGGGCCTCTGTCTTTTGTTGCCTTTGCTTGTTGTACATATATGTAATGTAACACGTTGTCCATCGCTCTAGATGGGCCAGCCATTGTCCGAGTAAACCTGTTTGTCCGCAGCATTGCAACAATTAGCGACATCAAGATGGTAAGTGGGCGCCCACCACATCGTTCTTGTAGGCTAGTATAGAGATGCTACACGGCTACACGAGCCAGCATGGGGAGGCGGCGAGAAGGGGCCGTTTGACGCCGGCTAAAATTTTTCGAGCGTCGAGCGGGCTCTGCTCGTCGGCCCCGTCTAGCTTCTAGGTTTGATTGCTGAATGCCTTTCGAGTGGGCTAGTGGGCAGTAAGGTAGCATTTGGTGCTGCTCTGTCGGTGCCGTCGTGCCGGTGCAGGTGCCTCATTGCCTTCATGCATCGATCGCATCGAGCGCCCGGTGATGATGTCCACTAATAAAGCCGTTTTTCTTTTTAACCACTAGATGGTCCAACAATTGTCCGTGTCAACATATTTGTCAGAAGTATCTCAAAGATAGATGATGTGACAATGGTAAGTGGCTATTCGCAGCAGGGAATGGTCTCTATTTGTGTAGTGTTGGATGGTAGTTCATAGTTCATCTTCTGATCTTCTGTGGGGCGGGACGGCCTGCGTGTGCTTTTCGTGTTTTGTGGGGCGGTGGGCCGGCGACCGCGTGCTTGCATGCGGACATGGCCAATGCGAGATGTGATTGGCGCCGTGCCCCGCAGCCAAGACTTTGCCTTCTTAACATAGTAATTTATTTTGTTCTGTTCCACCGCAGTAGGACGTGACGGCCCGACTGTAGTTTACATCAACTTCTTTCTTCGGTCTATCAGCAAAATAGACGATTATAAAATGGTGAGTGAGTGCGCGGTCTGCCAGTCATGTCAAGTATTGGATGGGTGTATAACTCGGTTGCGTTCACTTGCACAAGGCCGAGAGGTGATGTTGCAATGAGGGCACCAGCACCAGCGCGAGCATGCCGTGTGGCGCTGCAAGCCCCGGCGAGTACACGCCGTAATTATTTAGTGCATGCTTCTTCTTCTCTTCTTCTTCTTCTTATTATTATTAATGTTACTAATCGTTAGCCAAAAACCCCAACCATGTAAATATAACCGTATAACCGTAAATACCCGCTAACCCTTGCAGGTTCAACTTCTACTAATGCATGCTGCATGTTTTCTCTTAAAAAACAACAACGGCAACGCTCTTCACAATCTGGGTATTACAGGAATACAGTGTACAACTCACCTTCAGAGAACAATGGTTAGACGAAAGACTCAAGTTTAACGACTTTGGAGGTCGTCTCAAATATCTCACTTTAACTGAAGCGAGCAGAGTCTGGATGCCCGACCTCTTTTTCTCGAACGAAAAAGAGGGGCATTTCCACAACATTATTATGCCCAACGTCTACATACGCATTTTCCCGTACGGTTCGGTCCTCTATAGCATAAGGTAAAACCATCTCCTTCTAGACAAAACACCAACCACTCCAATACGTTTACAATTTCAGAATATCTTTGACATTATCATGTCCGATGAACCTCAAGCTCTACCCCCTTGACCGCCAAATATGTTCCTTGCGGATGGCTAGCTGTGAGTATTATCTACTCAGTATCCCCACGTCCTTTTGTCTCTCTTTCTCTCACACACACCGTGTCTCTCTCTCCGTCTTCGGCGACCACCCCCCCATCCCGTCCATTTAGCACCATCGCAAATTAATTATGTATTCCAGCACAGCTACCCACCTAAAATGAACAATTATTATTAAAACACACAACAGACTCGATTCAATAATAACTCATCTCGAGGTAGGTACTTAAAGTTTCGCGCACAAAGTCCAAAACCCGGATCTAACGTATCTCCGCACCGGAATACCAATACGAAACCTGTTATAAGAAAGCCGACGCTTCATGAATTTCTAACACAATATTTCATATACTGGATCAACTCATCAGAACAAATCAAAACACGTCAAAATATAGACACGCTACATCAAAAAATTATTTCATACTTGATTTGGTAGCTGAATTCTCCCCATATTGGATCGTCAAAGCAATGACACGAGCACGTGCCGATCCGTTCGTCTCAGACGCGACGCGTTTTCTTTTTGTGTTGCGGTGGTGCCAAATAGACTAAAAATATCCCGCAAAAATTTTAATAAATTATTACATTATTACACAAATATGTGCTTGCTTTTCATTCGCTCACTCTCGATAGACACCACACACGTATACCCGAACTTTTTGCAATGAGTGTATTTATAAGTACATAAATACATTTTTTGCAGAATGCATGAGCAATTTAAATTCGATTAGTTTAGAAAGCATGTACGTAAATATTGATTTCACCAAAATTAAACTGTCTATAAATTTCTACAGTACTATTTATTTTTATAGTCGTATAGCAAGTTATCAGGTACCAGTATACAGAGTTTTTTTTTTTAATGAGATTTAATTTTGACACGTTTCTGGGTGCAAAATTAGCGCTACTTTTTCACTTTATAGATGGCTGGACGACCGACGATTTAGTCTTTTTGTGGAAAGAAGGTGATCCCGTACAAGTAGTTAAAAATTTACACCTACCTAGATTTACATTAGAAAAATTCCTTACCGATTACTGTAACAGTAAAACGAACACCGGTATGTCGCACAACACACCACTATAATTTAAGATACATACAGAGTTTTTGCAGGTGAATATAGTTGTTTAAAAGTTGATTTATTATTTAAGAGAGAATTCAGTTACTATCTGATACAAATTTACATACCTTGCTGTATGTTGGTCATTGTTTCATGGGTGTCTTTTTGGCTCGATCAAGGAGCTGTCCCGGCACGTGTGTCTCTCGGTAAGTTTTATCTTATTTTCTAGGCCAGCAATTCCACATTCGCATCTTCATTAATTAACTAACCCAACTAATTAAATTAGTCAACAGCATATTTCGCGTTGACGGTATTTTCTACCGTCTCTAATTACCACGAACAGCGAAACAAATACAAAGTATAAGTTGTCACGTAACAGTTTCTCAGTTTCAAACAATTACGAAACTGCGACACTGTGATTTTCAAAATTTGTATAATAACCATCACGCTAGTATCTATTTTATGCTTGACGTGATGTAGTGTTAATGTCAAAGTTCGTTCAATAAAATCTCGCAATAAGAGCTGTAATTAATTTACGTGACAACAAAGGTGGAAACTACGTTAAATGCTAAAAGCTTTCAGTTAGGGTGTGCTTTCTGTAACCGAACACCAGAAGGGCAAAGCGCGTGTTTACAAACGATGCTAAAAATAAACAATAATAGGAGCTGACGCACATTTGGACCATTGTCCAAAGTAATAAGTAACAACCAGCTTAGAACTCAACTCGGCTTGAAGAAAATTGCTCAAAATTGCTCGCAAAAGCTTTAAGCCCTTTGACCTTGTGGAGTTTAATAAACCATTAGCGAGAAAGCTTTTTTCGCTTTCGGTGTTCGCACAGATTAAAACGTACTTAAATTTCCAGGTGTTACAACTTTGCTCACAATGGCTACGCAAACATCGGGTATTAACGCATCTCTGCCCCCCGTTTCGTACACAAAAGCGATTGACGTGTGGACGGGGGTTTGTTTAACGTTCGTATTCGGAGCATTATTAGAATTTGCTCTCGTAAACTATGCGTCGCGTTCCGACATGCATAGAGAAAACATGAAGAAGCAAAGGCGACAGTGTGAACTAGAACACGCCGCATCCATGGATGCAACTTCCGACCTAATAGACACAGACAGCAACGCTACTTTCGCAATGGTAATGCTATATTAACGAATATAGGTGTTGCAAGTTGCAAGCGCTCGCAAGGATCACTCTTGGTGTTGCTTCCACTCGCACGGGACATCACGTACGCCACCGACGGTTCCGGATTTCGCGACCGATGTCGGTCGGATCCGGCGAGTCGGTGGCGCTACGGCGATGCGGTGTCAGTGGAGTTCGATGTAGAGGTCTCGGCCTCTTGGGTGTTGGATGTTATCCCAGTTTAGAAATTTTAACCAAGTTGAGCATGTTCATTTTTCCAGAAGCCTTTGGTGCGTCATCCCGGTGATCCGATGAGTTTAGAAAAAGTTCGTCAGTGTGAGATTCACATGCAGCCAGCACGTCCAAACTGTTGCCGTTCTTGGTTGTCGAAATTCCCGACGAGATCCAAGCGCATTGATGTTATTTCCCGAATCACGTTTCCTTTAGTTTTCGCACTATTCAATGTAATATACTGGTCTACATACTTATTTCGTGAAGAGGCCGAAGAGTCGTAAATGCTCTTACGACGACCGTAATAGTATTGTGATTTTTCGTAAATGTAAATATTACCTACGTTTTGGAGTATGTTTACGTTGAATGTGCAATAAATTGTAGATAAGTTGCACAAAAGGTGAAATTGATAACCCTAATGATGCGCAAACGCGTTCGGTGCTGATGGAAGCAACATCTTATTCACAGTGAAGCTTTCTCGATCTGTCGACTTTTCGAGATCGTTTACTCGTATTTTCGACCTATTTATATATAGTTTAATGTTTTGTAAAAAAAACTTGTTACTTGTTGAGACGGTTATCAGTTTTCGAATTGTGTAACTTCTGTTGAACGACCGGTGTCCACGAGATGTCTGTTTTTATGATACTGTTTTCATATATACATACGTTCATATTTTATTAAATATATATTGTTTATTTTATAATTTCTACTAATAGGGTTCCATACTGTAGATCTTCTAATATTTTTCTCGCTACTATTTCCTCTTGTCAGTTGCTTATACAGGGTGATGCCGTATCACAATCGTACGTCATTATACATTAATGCAATCGGAAATTTTGTAATACTCTATTAAATTCCTTCAATGAAGAAAGGAGCGTCGTTATTCCTATAGTTCATAGAACCTAGACACATAAAATTAATTTACCTAGATTCTACTTCATTGCGCATTACATACATCAGGGTGGAATGTGTACATTTCATTTTACGTGATATTGCGTTATAATTGTAAGTTTTGACTATTGTAAATGTAATAAAATTGTAGGAATTTACCACTCTTTTATTCCCTGAAACGAACCCGAAGAACTTTCCACAAAACCTAAAACAACACATCTTTTGGCGTCTCGCCTAACGCCTTTCAGATAAATCTCATGAGTAAAACTGTTGTAGTTTATTTATAAGACCACCACAAGGGTACCCTTTATATCTTCCCAAAAACAAATAAAGCACTGACGGGAATAAAACGAGACTTGTCAGGACTGAATAAACACAGCATTTTACTATTTCCCAAAACTGGATCGTCACTGAACTAAAATAATTTCGTTCACTGTGGAATGCGCGCCAGCTGAAAAGAAACATATTTCTACATGAGGTTCTTCAACTGTTCGAGGTTTCTATAACGAGTCGATTTTTATCAATCTAGGTAAGGTGTGTATATTATATTATTCACCTTTCATGATCCAACTTTTGCGACTATGTAAAGATAAACAAACATGAATATCAAAGTTGGATCATTCCAAACAACCTAGACCGCAGACAGAGAACAAACAAAAAGACAGACGACGAACAAGCAGACTCTACATAATTTGTAAGTGACGTCAATTTTTTGAAGAGGAGGGTAGACAAAATCTGGTTAGTAATTAAAGTAATCAATTCCGAGTTTCGGAGATTATCTGCTTAACAAAATTGACAACAGAGAGGCGGAAACGAGAAACCGACATTTTCGTTTTCGATAAATTATGAAGCGTCGGGAAACATGAAATTAGACATTCATTAAATTAACCCCATTACAATACTTTCCCTTGGCCCACGCTTCAGAACTAAAAACATCGGCGTGATTGTTATTCCATACATGTACACTATGCAAAATTAAAGCCAATAGTCCCATAAAAACACTGGGGGAGTCTTAATGCGTGATTGACATTTTCGGGAATCGGTTTTTAACGATAAAAATAAGCTGAAAACTTTCTGCTTTTCGTCCTCTTTGGTTTGGTAAACACATTTCATCCTACTCTCGCAGCAGAAATAGAAATGATTTTTTTTTAAGAAATAAATGAATTTATTTTGAAAAACATTTGAGTTAATGTGTTGAGCAACTTTTTGCATTTATTGTGGATTTAGGCACACTACTGGCATCTAGGAGCATCATCAGAACGCTGTACTAAAGATCTATAAGCCCTTTAGAAATTTGTTTGTGTTTTGATTGCAAATTTTGTTTTTCCATAAATAAAATCTTTTAAACTGAGTAGCATTGTAAGGGTCTAGTTAGTATAAATTGATATTTTAGCCAAAATATGAAGACACATTCATTTTCACATGTAGTGTTTTCTAAAATCGTAAAACGTTTCCTTGATGATTGATATATTTTTTAGATATTTACGTATAAATTTGAAATTATAGTAGGATTTATTCAATAATTCCAGTAGTTCTACTTTTTTCTTTAAGATTAGATTCAAACTTTTCATTACATATTTTGTAGAGAACTGTAGAGATACCCTCTTCTTTAAAATATGTGGTTATATAGTTATCCATATGTACACATAAAAGATTTATTTCTTATGTAATATTACAGTTTCCGTTCATATTCATTAATCTTTTTCCACAAGATGTCATGAATCCTGCGCAAATTCAAAACAATACTCGTCTACGGTCTTCGTCAGAAGTTACAAGTGTTCTAACTTATGTTAAATATGGAAAAGGATCTCCTAGATCTGAAGAATTTCAAAAAAAGTACCTGATTAAGTGATCACTATAGCCGTAAACATTTAACAAATATTTTTACTTGTGATATCTAGTGAATTTGTTTTAGCCCAACATACGTTGTCGACCAAAAGTAGCAACGATAAAAAAATAAAAGAAACCTTCATAATGTTGCCCAAATGTTAAAAAAAGGAACTGAAATTCTGTACCTACTGACTTAAGAAGATAATTTGAAAAATGATTTCCTATTTTCTCAAGTATTCACGCTGAAATCAATAATTCTCTATAATCTATAGAGCCACGCACGCGGAGGGCATATTTTTCATTTTCTAGAAGCTACAAAACGTCGACAAAACATGAAACAACCATTTGCCAACTGGGCCCTATTATAATTGTGTAATTAAACAAGTTTAACTAAATTTAATTACAGCTGACTGAACTGACTCATAACTAATCATCACGGGACATTTGAATAACTATTTTATATTAATTATTATTTATATCATTATTATTCAATATACAATCCTACGACGCTGGACAGTTTTTAAGTCTTTCGTGACAACACTCTAAAATGTAAATTTTAAATTATAGAACTGTTCATAATCATAACTAATTAAATTACTCGCCCTTTTCCTTGCTCAGCCTACACCATTGGTATTACAAATCTGTTATCTCAGTCCCCGCCACTGCCAATTTTTAATTAAAGGCAATCTATTCTAATTCTGTCAAAGTTAGATAAGCTTTTGTTGCTGTACCAAATCAATGAAATACAATACCAATCCCAGGAAATGATAAATGAATCCCACACCGCACAAAAGCCGCAGATATCTAATCATAATGAACGAGCAATAACCTTGTCAATTTTTAATATTGGCGGGAAAAGACATTTCATCTTCCACTCAAAAACAATGACTTTGTTTAAACAAACTAATGAAAAATGAACCGTGAAGTAACAATGAAGTGTAATACGTGCTGAAACTCGAAAACTCCACGTGTGTATTACTGGTTATCTACATTTCGCACGCAACGTTTTTTTTATCGCAAATGAGGCTAAGGTTTAATTTCGCATGTCGCGAACGCGCATCTGCACCAATACGATTGCCGCATTTCAAGACGCGTTTTTATGATTGGTCGATTTTGTAGACCCGGCAACCTCGCCCCGTTACCAACTCACGTATCTGCAGCACCGCTACCAACATTATAAATATCAACAGTGCCGGGCAAGGTCGTTCTAGCTATAGGTTGTTGGTGTTAAATTTGTCATCGTTTCAGTTTAATTTGATTAGTAAGAGAACCAGGAAATTGTCATCGTCGTAAACATTGCAGACGGCGAGAGCAGCGGAATGAGTACCCCGGTGAAAAAAGTACCAATTCATTTACAGGTACGTTATAACAGGTGTATTGCATAATGATTTTTGAATGTGTGTTCTCGATGAGTGGTGTTGGTTGAGCACTTGCGGTCTTTTAGCACGTAGTTAATTAAATATGCATGAAGTAGGGGATACCAGAGGAAGTAACGACGTTTCAAACTGCTTTATATGTATTGATTTTTTTAAAACATTAAGCTTCCTTTTCCTGTGAGAACGTTTCTACGGCATGTTAATTTCATGTGTAAACATTGCCAGAGCCTCTATTTTTAACCCTGTTTGTGCCGTTCAAATATCACAAACAAATAATTCGATAAATAAACATTAGATCAGGATTGCCGTGTGGTCACGTCGGTGATTGATTCCGGCGATTCCGAAGACGTGATTGTCATGCTTAAGTCAACAAGTTTGACATTTAAAAATAAACATTTTCTTGAAATAAAAACGTGGGCTTCACGGCCGGAGTTGTCGTAAAAAACGTCGTTTGGGAATGAACCTTCAACTCTCGATTCCCTGACAACAAATTTTATTCAAAAAAAAATTCCCCCAGCGATCGTAGAACGTGATTATCATGCTTAAGTCTGGCTTAGTCAATAAGGATGACATTCCGTTGGCGCAAAACAACCAAATTATATATAACTTCGTGAGAAAACGAAAATATCAAGCGAACTTTCTGACTAATCAAAACTGCAACGATCCGTCTTAATACTTTGGGTGGTGTTAGTTACGGGGTAGACAAGAAAATCGATCGTGCTATTCGCTTGTCTTGCTACAACACCCGTGCAATACCTGACCAAAACAAAAAGACTAGTGTGTAGTTGAAAAGTAGCACGATTTTATTATAAACAATCTCTTCTTCAGAGCGCCCAAAACCGCCTGCTCATCAAGCATGGTAAGGTGGTTAACGAAGACGAAATCACCGAGGATGACATCTACATAGAAGACGGCGTAATCAAGCAACTCGGCCGCAATTTAATAATCCCCGGGGGAACAAGGGTAATCGACGCACGAGGCAAATATGTGCTACCAGGCGGAATCGACCCTCACACCCACTTCGAGTTTGAGTTTATGGGGGCGAAATCGGTTGATGATTTCTACCAAGGTACTAAAGCCGCCGTCGCTGGAGGCACCACCATGATAAGTAAGCGCGTAATAATCGCCCCGGACATACCTCAAAACAATTCTCGCTTCAGTTGATTTTGTGATGCCCAAAAAGGGGGAGTCTTTAATTGATGCATTCTATGAATGGAGGCAAAAGGGCGACGATAAAGTCTGTTGCGATTACGCACTCCATGTGGGATTAACTCATTGGAATGAGCAAGTTAAAAAGGAAATGGAAGCGCTGTGCAAAGAGCACGGGGTTAACTCTTTTAAAGTTTTCATGGCTTACAATTTTATGTTGAACGACGCTGAGTTGTATAGCGCTTTCGATACCTGTCAGAAATTGGGGGCTATTGCTCAGGTGCACGCCGAGAATGGCTCGATTATTGCTAAGAACGTGGAAAAGCTACTGGCTAAAGGGGTCACGGGACCCGAGGGACACGAACTCTCAAGACCTGAAGAAGTTGAGGCCGAGGCCGTCAATAGAGCGTGCATTATAGCCAAACAGGTAATTGTATGAATTTATTACGGGAATTTCCACCAAAATAAAATATTTATTATATAACGCAGTGTGTACACAAATATTCATTAACGATGTAATGGTTATTGTTATTGCTAACCAAGGACGATAGTATATTGTGAAAATCATCGTGTGGTTGCAAAAATGTGAAAACGAAGTGTCAATTTTGACACCTGGCGTTGGTAATAATGTCGTGTTAAAGTAGGCGAAAACGGGAACAAATTGACAAATCCGCGTATATGCTATCTGTCATTTGTAATTAAAATCACCGGAAAATCCGTTATGGGTGTACTGCTTGACCTTGTTAGAGACATTGAAAAAGTCTGTACATGTCCTTGCAGATTATTATCTAACCTTAGTTGACGAAAACAGTGTTAATTTTTTTAGGGCTGCATTAACAGTCGACGTAATGAGATTTTTTGGTATTCTTGCTGCTCTACTTTTTAAAGTCATGGCCATGTGACTGTCATCATAAATATAAATATAACGCTCCTGAAATAAAACCACATGCGGTCTTTTTTGTCGTAAATAAATATCCGTTGTACTGTTTAGGACGTCGCAGAGATTTGCGACGACGCAAATGTAAATTTTGACGTGAGAGGAAAGCTCGACCGTGCGACTTTCCCGAATTATACGTGATTATCAAATGAGATAGCACAAACGTAACGTAAGATAGTTTATTGGTGGAAATTCCAACGAGTGACGTTAGTTTGTCAGCACTTCCGCTAAACCTTTAATTTCGACTTTAGTTTCTTCAAAGTGTATAGTTGTGGTGGTATTTATAGGTAGATTGTCCGTTGTATATAGTGCATGTGATGAGCAAATCCGCAGGATTAGCTTTAAAACAAGCATGCGAACGAGGTACCCGAGTGTATGGCGAAACTCTAGTAGCGGCACTAGCCACAGATGGTTCCCATTATAAACATGAATGCTTCCATCACTCGGCTGGCCACGTTTTAAGTCCTCCCTTAAGACCGGATCCCACAACACCGCAATTTTTAATGAATCTGTTAGCACAGTAAGTTTGCGTTTTACTTTGTTTGCTAGTTAAACGATTTCAGTTTCACTAATCATTTAATTTGTACATTCGTTTCACTAATTAACCCTGAATGTTGCATCGCATTGCTTTGTGCACTATTATGAGTCGTGTGAGCAGAGTGACAACGATTTTAAGTACAGGTGAACGCACCCATTTATGTGCTAAACGTGACCACGGAAGAATCAGGAAATATAATACAGGAGATGCGTAAAAGAGGACAAGCAGTTTTTGGAGAAGTGCTTGCCTGTAGTATTGGTTGTGTAGGAGATCCACGTAATGCCAACTTGGTAACGTCACCGGCTATACGCTCTAGACCTGAAACGCCCTCCCAGCTTTTGGGGTTGTTGGCATCGTAAGTGTGAATTAACCACTAACTTTATGTCTTTAATAGATGTTGTTTTCTCTTAAATCATCATTGTAATATCTCGAGCATGACTTTCTCTGGGGTTTTTGTCGTTATGGGTTGTCATCCTTCAAGGGTGACGTCATCATTACCCATCAAGTAGATTATCTAAATTGGGGATCGTTGTCTCAATTCATGGGTAAATGTATCATTTAAGCCAAAACTTTAACGAACATCATTAATCAACGCCATTTCGCAACGCAGGGATGCCCTCCAAGTAACAGGAAGTGACAATTGCACTTTTAACAAAGCACAAAAAGAACTAGGGAAGGAAGACTTTTCCAAAATTCCGAACGGAGTCAATGGAGTGGAGGATCGAATGTCAGTGATTTGGGAAAAGGGAGTCCAGACCGGAATCATCGATCCTTGCAGATTTGTAGCCATCACAAGCTCAAACGCTGCCAAAATTTTCAATATCTTTCCACAAAAAGGCTGCATCGCTGTAGGCTCCGATGCAGACATCGTCATTTGGGACCCTTCCAGAACTAGAACAATTTCCGCCGCTACGCATCACCAAGCTGTAGATTTTAACATATTTGAAGTAAGAAAGAATTCGTTATTTTCGGAACAGTGTCGAATTAAACTTAATAGGGAATGGAGTGTCATGGCGTCCCAGAATACGTCATTGTCAATGGTCGCGTATGCGTCGATGAAGGACAACTACGCGCTGTCGAAGGTCATGGTAGATACGTCGACACTCCTGTGTTTGCTCCATACGTGTACGATCCGGAAAGAGTTGCTGATTTAAAGCCCGTGAAAAACGGCACCCATGACGATTCGCTGCCAGAGCACTTCCAAAATAAGGTATTTCGTTTTATCATATACATATTTACTACTAACTATATGGGGAATCGTCGATTCCTACTGTGAGTGACAAATGAAGCCAACAGCAAAAAACCTGTCTCTTCGAGGACACCGCTCTTTAAGACGCATGCGCAGAATAAGAACTTGTGATAGCTTTGACTATCCCTAGCGTTGCAAAAAACCAAATTTTTCCTTTCGTGTTCATCACTTTACTGTTACAACACACAAAAACAGAACATACATCACCCACTTTTAATAGTTTTAAAGTTAGGTTAAGTATGAGACACTGTTGAAGGCGACAAAGCATAATCTATGTTTGTAATATTGGCTACAAATGTATCCGTTTTGTTCTCCATATAGTTAATAATAAATATATGTGTTGTATGGGGTGTGTTGTTGCTATTAAGTTCGTTTCAGGTTCAGATTGAGGAGAAGGTTTGCCCAACACCCACACTGCCAGATTCAGCTGTGAGCACTCCTTCTTGCAGAGGCGCCAGACCCGAGGGTCAACGGAACATCCAAGATTCAACATTTTCTATCAGCGGTAATTTGATTGTTCGTTGAGATTTAATAGTTGGGCTAATTTTGCAGAGGATCTCGATGTGGAGAGAAAATCTTGCATTCGGGTCCGAAACCCGCCTGGCGGCAAGTCTTCCGGGTTCTGGTAATAGTGGAGAGATGGCGCCTCAATAGTTAATGCTTAAGCTACAAATTACAAAAAACTGTACCAAAGCAAAATAATCTTCCAATCATTTCATTAGAGTAGCTCGTACTATTTATTACGTCATTTACACATTTAACCGCCTCTATGTTCAAAAATCAAAAGTTTTGTTTTTTTTATATTATAGATTTATGGTTAGAGTGATGCATAACGATTTTTGTTACTGTTTTTTACATTTGATTGTATTGGGAGAGTTTATTCGTAACTGTATTATTATCAAGTAAATGTTGTAATGTGCAGTAAAGAAATTGTATATGCTGTACTCATGTTCAAGTTTGAGCCGCCTTTTTTGTTATGTTTTTTATTTCTATTTTCTCTCGGAGATGTGAAAGTAAAATTGCATGAAAGTAGCACAGATGTATCTGTTCAAATGCACTGTTTTGACTGGGCTTGCAGCCTTCATGACATCAATACTAATTTTAACTATATTGTAATTTATTAAGTTGAATTAATAAAACTTGGTAACAGACGCACCTACTTCTTTAATTTGCGAATGCATCACACGGGATTAACATACTTAACTAGTACTAAAGACTCGTAGGCTAACTCCGTCACAAAAAATTGCAAGGATAGAGTCAGTTTCAAATGTTCAGCGAATTTCATTTAAATTTAATTTTGGTTTGTTTCATTATCAACAAAACTGCTATTGTGAAAATTTTTACCTATAAATAAAGCTACATTAACACAATGAAAAGATATGTAAAGTTATTTATTTATTCCCCCTTTTTTAGCCGCTTATAGGAACATAGATAGTGATAGATAGTAATCGTGGTTTATACCAAGGTAGTGACGTCACATGAATACCCAAATTTCACGAAAAATTCTCTATCCACAATGTCAAATCTTCCTGGATTTTTTTTTAATTTAACGTTGTTTTTGGTTTAATTTGGACACAACTGCATAATAAAAGTTTACTTTTTTTATAAACATCAATGAACATTACAAACAACACCATAGTTACAAAAATTAAATTATTTAAAAGTGGGAAACACCCTAACATGACAGATGTAAAATCCCTAGATTTAAATTACTGGTTTTGTTTACTTGTGTTTACGTTTTCTGTGTCACTTTTTGTTGTTATTTTCATTTCCATTTCTGTAGACAAAATGAGTGAATGTAGAATGAGACTTAGGTCTTCCGTGACTGACGAAGAAAAGTTAGAACAGGTAAGTTAATAATTCAATTGAACCTAAATCAATTACATTTTTTTTTTCAGATAAAACAAAAAAAAATCAAGGAAGAAGAGAAATTGAACAGACCTTTTATTAAATATAAGGGGAAGATAAAGTACATCAGGGATTTTGTTGAGTGTGCAATAGCTTGTGATGGCCTTATGTAAGTAAAACATTGGATTAATACAAAAATAATGTTCAGTTTTTAGTAAACTAGCTGATGACGCTCCTGATGTTCTGGTGGTTGGATTTGATATAGAATGGCCTTTTTCGTTCCAGACTGGCTCTGGCAAAGCAGCTTTAATTCAAATTAGTCCAGATTTACAATCATGTATTTTGATACAGATCAGTGACCTTAAAAGTCTACCTAAAGGTTTAGCTGTCTTTTTAGCTCATCCTAAAGTCAGAATCACTGGAGTTAACATAAAAAAGTAGGTCCCAGAAGTCGTTAAACTATTGAAATAATAACCTTTATTGTAGTGATATTAGAAAATTGTCAAGAGACTTCTCAGGATTTGATGCTGAGAGAATTATAGAGAATTGTGTTGACAGTGGCGTTTTAGCCAATAAGATTTTACCAGTTCAACAGAGATGGAGTATGGCGAAATTAGTAGGGTATTTGGTGAGAAATAATTTACTGTTTGTATATGTAGATTTAAATGTGAGAAATTTTAGCTCAAGATGGACATTAGTAAAGATAATAAAGTACGAATGAGCAAATGGCATGTCAGTCCTTTATCAAAAGAACAAATATTGTATGCTGCTACTGACGCTTATGTGAGGTGATAATTTATGTAATGTTTGATTTTATGTGATTGTTTGTAGGCGTCATTGTTGTTGTATGTTACACTGAAGGAGAGAGAGAAGAGTGGTGAAAACAAATTAGATCCATAGATTATTTTTCTAAGTTGCGCTGACATGTATTGTGAAAGATTTTGTAGAATAAATCTAATTTTTAGGGACGTTCTTGTTTTATTACGAGCTTAAATGGTGGAAAATTTCGTCGAAATTATTCCCTCAGTCTTGTATATATTTAGGCGTAGTATTGAGGAACGTCTAAGGGAATTTGTTTTTAATGTAATTTTCTTTCTTCTCAATTAAGCTAAAAAGCCCGTGCTTTTCCGAGCTTAAAAAGTCCATAAATAATAATGAGTTCGAGCTTAATAAATTGAATTATTTTGTTATGACTTAATAAAAAGGGAAGTAAACAGAGTCCTTGAGCCCGGAAAGTTAATAAGTCACGTTCGCCCTTAATGTAATAAGTGCCTCTCGGCTTATAAAATGCAAATACGGAGTAATGAAGTCAATCGATAATTTTTTGCCTGCGGTTTCCGCGTATAATTTATCAAGAGCGGTACATCCTTAAAATTTAAAATCAATACAGAAAAGCCGTTCGTCCAAGGAATAACCGGGATCTCGTTCCCGCCGACAATCCCGCGAACTGCCGCAGCTTGCCCAAGTGCACGGGTAGTAACCTTGACTTGTTGGTACAAAAGTGTAGCTGCGTCCTTGAAATATTGTATTTGTTTATAAACAGCTGACTTCCATCTCGGCCGTCCTTGAGAGCACGCGTCGATCGCACCGGCTCGTGCGCTCTCGGCGGTTTCCGGCGCGCGCTGCGGGGCCCGTTTCTCGGCGTTTACGCGACAAAGGTCGTTTTTCCGTGCTTTATTTACCCGGGAGGCGGCTCGTCGGTCATGTGGAATGTTTACTTGAGGCCGGTTTATTGGAAGTCTCTTCGTGGAATTGTTCTGCGTGAGCAAACGAAGTGGTCGATTTTTGTGGGTTAGTTTATCTGTTACCGCACCCGGCTGCCCGGACGAGCGATCCAGGGTGGCTTTGGCTACATGAAATAGGGTAATTGTTCGCCGCCGACTCGATAATTTGCTCTGTTGTTTAAAAAATTGTTTCAGCTCTAAAATGACAGTTTTTAATATATCCAGAACGGAGTTTTATAAATCAGAAGCAATTTTTCTACAAACGACTAAAAGCAATCGCAAATGGTAAATGGATTGAGCATTAAACATGAACTTGAACTGGTTCGCACACATTATCGTCCATCATCCATTTATTATTATATCAGCAGTGGCTGTTTTCTCTGGTACATGCCTCGTGATACCTTTTACACTCAAAACAAAACCCTTTCGAGATTTTTCTGACCCTAAAATGGTAAGTACCTTTTTATCATGACTTACTATTATTTTCGCTGTATTATTATTTTTTTAGGGCTTTACTACCAGAGGAACGACTATATCAAACCGATTGACTGCATGGAAAAACTTAGATGAATCAACTAAACCTTCAGGACAATTTGCCATTAACCCCAACGATATTTTGATAAGACGAAATCTAACGTTTTTTAAACCTAAAATTAAGAAAATTGGAAAAAAGAAGAAAAACGAACCAAAAAAAGATTTTTCTAAAGTACATTTTATCCAATCCCTCTGCTGCACTTAAATCATTCATTTGTTCTAGGTATATATAAATGAAGCAAGTAATAATCGCTCTGACAATAGTTACGAGAATAATAACTGGACAGCTTTAAAAAACATGTTGCTACCAAAACACGCTGAAAGTTTCGCCAGAAAAGCATTTGAACCTGATGGATTTCTCTGTGGTCATCCTGGTGAGCCAAATGTAGTTTCCCAGTGACTAGTTCCATTTTTTACCGCTTTTGCTTTGTATGTAGCCAGTATGTAGGTAACCTTATTATTGTTCTTTATTTCATACCCTAACCCACCTGTTTTTGTTAGAAATGTTATTGTATCATGCAGAATATCCGATCACTTAAAGTGGCCAAAAATTACCTGGTTCAAATTAAAAAAAAATCTAAAAGAACTAGGTATTAATAAATTGCCATGCCTCAAACTTTTTTATTTGTGGTTAAATATGGTCAAATATTCATTACTTTATAAATATTTTCAAAGTACCGCTCCCATATTTAACTTCTGACATCATTTTTGTATTGCAAGCTAATTTATGGACATCCTCAAGAAAACGGTAAACATGAAGGTCTAATTGTAAAATATATCTCATTTGAATTTCTTGAAGGGTCTATTATGTGATAAAATTGATTATAAGTGTCTTGCCATATAGTTGAAACGTTGGTAACAATGATGTGGCCCGAAAATACGAATTTTTTACTCTCACAAAACGCAAACAAATCACCATCTTGGCAAAAATGTAAACTATAATCAAAATGACGTTTTGGGTCATAACTGATAAATTTTTGTTTTTCTTTTGTACACTATTCAAAGTTGTAGTTCTTGTTTGGCGACATTCAAATACAAGGTCTCGGTTTTTTAAAGGAATCATAAAATTCAACTTTTACTATGCATATTGCGCATTAAATTAAAACATTTAATATAGGTTTACTATATATCTAAAAAATATGTATTTAAACGGGTAGGTATACAAGTACAGGTACAAAGCAACAGGTCTTTGTAACCATATCCAAGTGAAGTTAGAATTCTGAAAAAATAAAAACATGGTAGAAATTGTCATTGTGTTGATATTTCATTACGTCAAGACATTTCCAAGTATGTTGTCATCTGTCACATGAGCATAGCACAGAGGTCGGATGTTTTTGTACAGCTGTTGTGTAGTTATTGTTTTGTTGCAAAACCACGCTTTGCGGTTTAGGGCGCACTAACACTAGCCAGTATTTCCTTGTAGATGAACAATATGCTCATATAGTTTTAAAATCGAAAAATAGCGAGGACTTGTTCAATTTAAAGTCTTTGCTGGCTCTGTGTCGTATAGAGCACGAATTTATAGAGGCACACTCTTACAAAGATTTGTGTGTAACTAATAAGGATTACCATAAGAAGTGTTGTAAACCATGGTCTGTAGCAAATTATATAGCAATTTTACACAATAGAACATCGTGTTTAGCAATTACGGTAAGTGTGGAACGTTGGAAATCGTTTGAGTGTTCGCAACTTGATTATAGGAAGAAGATATTAACTCAACAAAATCGTTACTGATAAATTGTTCGCAATATTTTCATAAATTGAAACTTTCGCCAAACTGCGTTGACAAAGGTTACTGTGATGCACCTTCAGAATGTATTCGACACGACGCTGTTTTCAATGTACTTAATTTTTTAACTAGTACAACGTTTCTACCACCTAATGTAAGTTTGGAAAGTTTTGAGGCTATTTGTAAGAGTTGGGTTTCAGAATACTATCGAGGGTACAACGTTACAAGAAACAATGATATTCCTACCACTAGCATGTAGTACAGCAATGTTACCTTATTATCACGAAATCATTAAAATGGACTTAGAATATGAAGGCATATCAGTTGTAGCAATGGAATTTGGGATAAAAGATGTTTTATTTGACGAGTGCCTGTTGCGGGACGCTTGGTTCATGAGTTCCGGGGCTCTCTTTGTCTTACTATGTATGTGGCTATATACGGAATCATTGTTCCTGACTATCATGACAATAATCGCAATCATATTCTCACTGGGGATTTCGTATTTTATGTACATGCTCGTTTTTGAGCTAAGTTTCTTTCCATTCATGAATTTACTCGCCGTGATTGTCGCCATTGGTACGTTAACCCATCTACAAGAGAACATCACTAATTATACTTCATAGGTATTGGCGCAGACGACGCTTTCATATTTTGTAAAATTTGGCAAACCGTTAAAGAAGAAAAAAATAGTTCCATTGTCAAATTAATGGGTGATACTTTCCATCATGCGTTTATTTCTATGTTTGTTACATCTTTGACCACCGCTGCAGCTTTTTTAGCGTCATACGCAAGTTCAGTTACAGCCATTTGTTGTTTTAGGTATTACTCAACCACTACGATCTCAGCGTGCCGTGGCCATTCCATCCCGGTTTTTTTTTTTTTTGAGCACACTGAGATCCCAATTTTGTTTATTCTAGTTTAAGCTGAGTCTGAGTTGCGCTTGTGGTAAAAACGTTTCGGCAAACATTACTTTGTTAGATATTGTCGAAAAGTTTTTACTATGCTTTAATTTAAAACTCATATTGGGTCCATTCTTGCGTTTAAAAAATTCACAATCACGTAACACGAGGTGTACGACTCGGATGGAATGCACGCCTCCATGCATGTTGGTACTGCCGGTACTGATGTATGTTTTAATATTGTTATTTTTAGCATTTTCTCCGGAACCGCCGTAATCACAAACTTTTTCATGATGGTGACCTGGTTTCCCGCATGCGTTGTGATATGGGAACGCTCATGTTGTTCAAATGTTAATTTGGCAAAAAGTTGTTTAATGGCATGTTTACAACGTTGGTGTTGTTCAAAATTAATAAAACCGACGTGGAACTTGTCAACAACATGGCCGAAATGCTCATTTTTTGCAAAAATATGGAGCTCCAAAGAGCGTTTCTTGTTAGAAAGTGTTGTCAATTTCAGATATGTATGGTTGATCGTATTGTCCTTAATAGCTTTAATAAGTACGATCATAGTCTTGTACTATCCAAAGTTTCAACTACCAGATTCCTCCGCATTTCAATTGTTTGACAGTTCGCACCCGTTCGAGCAGTACGACTTTAAGTATAAGAATCACTTTTGGTTCAAGCGTGAAGAACGGGTGAGTATGGTGGCCATCGACCGGTTTCGTCGTTAACGTGTTTGTTGTAGAACAATTTGGAGACGGGTGTAAACTTCAAGCTTCCTTTAAGGTTCGTGTGGGGCGTGCTTCCTGTGGACAACGGCGATCATTTGAATCCTGAGAGCTTGGGTAAACTGGTACTGGACCCGGAATTTGATATATCGCAACCCGAGTCGCAGGAGTGGCTGTTGAAATTTTGTCGCCACCTCCACCGTCAGCCGTTTTTCCAACCGACGTTTGGTCCGCTTCTTCCTAACTGTTTCATTGAAACGTTCATGAAGTCGATGCAGAGGGACTGCGTTGATGCGTTCTCGTCGAGAGATCACTCGCCGTGTTGCAGAACGTCCAAGTTCCCGTATAACAGCAGCGTTTTTTACGAATGCATCGTCGAAGAAATGGCCCAAATTTACGAGACACCTGATCAGTATTTGATACCTGGAATGGCCGGTCCTAAATTTTCTAAAGACCAATTTCCGACAATAAAAGCTGTTATCGTAGAGTATGATAGTAGTTATAGTTATTCAATGTCTTATGAATATATGCATGATTTTTTCACGAAAGTGGAGAATTGGATGGTCGAGGAAATGAAGAGCGCTCCGAAAACCATGCAGAACGGATGGTTTATTAGCGAGTTGGAGTTCTATGACCTGCAGAGAGAATTATCGGAAAATACTATATTAGCAATTATAGTGTCAATGGGATTAGCTTTAATAGTCTTGCTTCTATCAACATTGAATATTTTGACAAGTTTATATGCGATTTTAACTATAACATGCAGTATTTTTGTAACTGTTGCTGTATTAGTTTTGTTAGGATGGAAGTTGAACATTTTGGAGTCTATAACTGTGTCTACAGCTATAGGTCTTACTGTAGATTTTAGTTTACATTACACTGTGAATTATAGATTATGTCCGCACGCAATGGCGGACGAGCGTATAGCTGCTACAAAGTACGCATTATCCTATATGGCAGGACCTGTATTGATGGCAGCTTTAACCACCGGCGCCGCCGGAGTTTTCATGATGCCCTCATTAATCTTGCCGTACATACAGATTGGAAAATTCCTTGTAACTGTAATGAGTGTTAGTTGGATATATGCCACATTCCATCTGGGAGCCATGTTGGCCATTATTGGACCCCAGAATCAATTCGGCCAATTCCACTATTCCAAGCTTAGTTGTTGTCCTTCCAGTAAATCAAAGACGTCCTCTAGCGAGAGAAATCGTCCTGTTAACTCCTCTCTCTCAGACACTCACGAATTAGATTCGTTAACTTGCAAGAGTGGAGTTCGGCCTATCCCTAGGGCTCTACAAAGATCCTTAAGTAGTGGCGGTGCTGGCAAAAATAACCAAAACAGATATGTTTTTACAGATCAATCACCTTCTGCTACCAGCGCCATTACTATCATCATGGCCGATGACAATTAAATGTAACATTAGGACTAAATGTTCTGTGATATACTCTGTATTTCTTTTTTATTTTTATTTGGATTTATTACATAAATGCTCTTTCAACAACTATCATTTACCTTTGTTCAAATGGCATTTAAGTAACAAATATATACATATATAGAGACTTTACCGCAACTTTTTTTTAAACACCTCAGACTTCGTAAAGCTTCGACAGTCCTCCTCAAAAACTCGAGCTACAAATGATTTTGCAAGGGGTTTTACAGTACCATTTGCAAAAAAAAAGATTGCGACCAAAAAAAAGCATTAATTTAATTATTTTCAAGGCTGTAAGGTACTTTGTGAGCTTTTACGTATTAACATTAATCGAATCGCTTAAAAAATATATACGTAAATGATACAAAACTGGTTTGATAATTTGTTTGTCGATCATTGTATTAAATTAATACAATATCCTTGACTTGTACCTATTTTTTTTCCGGTATGATGACAAAATACGCTTGTTCCAAGCCAACGATTATCTCTTTACTTACTCTTCTTACACGATCTTGTCCATCACCGTGTGAACATCAGTTTCACCAACTTTCACATAGCTGGGACAATGACCGTAAAGATTATTTTACGAAAGACACAATTCAGTGAGTGGAAATTCGTCAAACATACATATCGAAGTAAAAAAAAATCGTTATACAGTATTTTGTTGATTATTTTCGTCTACGTTCATTTAACTTGACCTCCATATATTAGTTTATGCTCAAATACCACCTATACATTCGGTTCCGCTAACTTTGTAGGTATTGAAGAGCAAATTAAATTTTCATTTGATACGGACAGTTTCAAACCCAGTCACTCCAATAACCAGCTTATATACCGCGTACTAGAAGAACAAGAGTCAGTCGGAATCCAATAACCACATATACACAGCATGGGTTTGTTTAGTGCAAAATGTGTGTCAAAGGCCCGTTTAGAAGGTAAAACCGCGGTCGTAACTGGCGCGAATACCGGAATCGGAAAAGAAACAGCAAAAGATTTTTTTAAACGAGGTAATACTGTATTACTTAAAATTCCGTTAAATTAGTCGACATTTTAGGGGCTCGAGTGATCGTCGCTTGCAGAAATTTAGACACTGCAAACGCAGCAGTCGAAGAGATCAAAAAACAATGCTCCAATGATGAACAACTGGGTCAATTACAAGTCGCAAAATTAGATTTGAGTAGTTTGAGTTCAGTTCGACTTTTTGCGAAGGCGCTCCTGGAATCCGAAAATAGAATCGACTTGCTAGTAAACAACGCAGGAGTTATGATGTGTCCCAGAAGTAGGACGGAGGATGGTTTTGAGATGCAACTGGGAACAAACCACTTAGGGCACTTTTTACTAACTATGTTGCTACTGCCCAAAATATGCGAAAGTACCCCCGCAAGGATCGTAAATGTGGCGTCCTCTATGCATATGTGTTCGTATACAAACATTAATCAAAATTATAATCAATTTTACAACGACGCCGCCGGCACAAAAATTGTGGGATTACGCATATTTGTTATTTTAATTATTATAAGCTAGTCAACATTCTTAAGTTGGCCCTGGGTTATCTTAATTGCCAATAGGCAACGACGCAAAACAATTTGTCCATCTGGCGCCAACTTGAGGTCACTTTTTGTTTTTCTTCTTCTTTTTTTTTTTAATATCAACAAATTTGACACTAGCAACAAAACAATTTCAAATATTACCATAAAAATACAAACATTTTTCAGTCGGGCACATCGATTTTGATGATTTACACTGGGACAAACGCAGATATAGCGCTAAGGGAGCATATTCGCAAAGTAAACTAGCGAACATCTTATTCACTGCAGAATTGGCAAGAAAATTAGACGGTAACGTGATAAATAACCTAATTAACAAAATGACGTGTTTGCTTCTAGAGGCTAACGTGAAAGGAGTGACGGTGTATTCTTTGCATCCCGGTGCTATTGCCACCGAGTTAGGTCGTCATTTGGACGTTGTTTATTTTCCGGGGCTTCGATGGATGTTCCGAAATATCTTTAAGTTTTTTCTAAAAACACCTGAGCAAGGTGCCCAAACGACGATTTACTGCTCGGTTGATGAAAAATGTGCTAACGAAACAGGACTGTATTATTCAGAATGTGCAGTAGCTAGCGTGTTCCAACATGCGAAAAACGTCAAAGATGCTGAGCGGCTTTGGAAAGCGAGCTTAACGCTTGTAGGACTTGGGGAAGATTATAATCCGTTTGAAGCGATCCATTAGGGTGGAATTTATTACGTATGGTGTATTTCAGCATATTCAAATAAAGGTTGTGTGTGTTAGGATCTATTTTAATGTAGTCGGCGATTGGATTCCGTCGTACTTCAAACTATTGTTTACCTTGGGACATCCGCTGCATCGTAATGGCAGCTTTGTTTACTTGGCCACTTTCTGTTTTTTTTATTTCACGAAATGCATTATGATCATAAACTGAATAGGTTGCTTGAATTGATAATCAAGAATCCAGTTTCATGGGAGGTGCGGAGGTACATTCCGGTTCTTATGTTGAATTTCTCGTCTGATTAGTCTCGATTTGGATTTGCTATTGCCTTCTGATGGTAGAACGTTGGCGAAATAAAAAAAAGAAGGATATATAATATAGAATTTTATTGTTATCATTTCATTCATGATTACTCATAAAATGTACAATAAAATGAATAACAGATGGATAGAAACAAATTATATGAGCAATAGTGAAATCTCTGTCATAAAAAGGACCAAGCAAGTCCAACACTTAAATGATTACTCTAAAGTCTTTCTAGTTTATGGCAAATATACAAATCCAGAATAGCGTAAGTATTCAGGTGAATAGAGCCCGTAGGGGCAGGCAGCTTTGTACATGAACAGTGGATGCCAACCCTTAACTGCACTTGAATTCGATGCGTACACACGAAAATGTACAAAATTAACTCACGTAGTTATTATTGCCAGATTACTCATTAGTAATATCAAAAATAAACCAAAATACTCTGTTACACACGCTCAGCACCACAATTGCTATTTAGGATTAAAGTAGGGCGGCTGTTGGGTGTGCGGTGGCCCGGGCCCCGGTCCCATCGCCTGCCCTCCCATCTGGCTCCTCGTCCCTGTCGCATACAACTGCTGCTGGAAATTATGGTACTGCTGCGCGTAGTTAGGATCTGAAGTACTCGGCCCTACGAACGGCGAATTCTTGAACGTGTTGTTCTGCCCCATCGACGGCGGCAGTGGCTGACTGGCGTCGGGCGCCATCCCCATCGGGCTGCCCTTCGGGCCGCTGACGAACATCTGGGCGTTCGGGTTGCCCATGCCCGGGGCCGGGTTGAACATCTCCGGCCCCCCAGGGGCCGGCCCGTTGAAACCCATCTGCGGCATGCGCATCATGCCCGGGGGCCGCATCGGGCCCCGCATCATCGGTAGCATGCCACCCGGCATGCCCATGCCGCCGGCCATCATCGGACCGGCGCCGTTGCCCATCGGCCCGCCCATCATCGGATCGGGCTGCATCGGCCCGTCCATGTGGGCCATGTGCGGCGGCATCGGTCCGCCCGGGCCCTGCATCGGCCCGTTGTTCGGGAAGTACTGCAGGTTCTGCGTCGGCATCTTCGAGTCCATGTTGGAGAGCGGGTTCGCGAAGCGCTGCAGGAAGTCGAGACTAGGTGGCCCCCGCGGTCCCGGCGCACTGCCAACCTGCGGTTTCGCGGGGAGGTATTGTATCGTGTTGGGGGCGTTGGGCTTGACCTGCACGTTGGCGCCGTTGTAGGGGTTCGGCCCCGGCGGGCGGCCCATCATCCTCGGCATAGGCATGTGGTTGGGAAAGGCACCTGGCAGTTTTGGCGAGAGAGAGCGGATGGGGGCCATCGGCGAGTTCGGGTGGAAGCCGTGCGGTGGCCCCTGCATGCCCATGCCCATCATCCCCGGACCCTGGTCCATGTCGGGCATGTTGTGGCAGGCGCCCATCTCCATCATCTGCATCGACGGCGACCCGAAGTTCATCATGCCCGGGCCCTGGTTGCCTTGCCCGTTGAGGGAGCTCGCCACGCTGTTCGTCAACTGCTGGCTCATCTGCGCCAACGACGATATGGGGTCGAAATGAGACACTTTCGCGTTGCCCGACATCGTACTCGTGCAGTTAGGGTTAAGCGGCACGTTGTCGCCCCGCGCACAATAATTCGGAAGTTCTAGCGGGCTGGGCTTGCCCGACGGCGACACGTTCACGAAACCTCCCCCCATTTTAGCACCTGGAGAAGCGTTCGGGCCCGGAAAACGAGGAACGTCCATCATGTGAGGACTCGGAGTAGGAAACAGGTCGCCTTTCAGCGGGTCCGAAGTCGGACCGGGGGCTGTCTGCGGGCTCATCCCGGGCGCTGAAGTCGGCCCAGGACCGGTAAGTCTCTGAGATTTATCACCTGACAAAACCATAACCAACATTTAATAAAAACACACATATGGTTGACTCTCTAGCCGCAAACTACCCAACTGCTACCAAAAAGACAACGCAACGCAAATTTGTAAGCTTAAAAAGAAACGAAAACGATGATCTTAAGTAATGCAGAAAGGCACAACTGATCCATAATTAAATCATATATTCTACGTCGACGCACCCAACATAACCGTAAGCACGACCTAACAGTGGTTTATACCCACCAGAATATTAGATTAATTATAACCAAAACCAAAAATGGAACGCATCCACGGTTCCTTCCCTTCATTTTTCAAATATTTACTTCTTAATTGCGTTTTCCTGAGGTTTATTACAAAATCAACTACAAGCAATTACCTGTTGATGAAGTCGAAGGCGTATGAGGACTCGGTATTTGAAACCGGCACCCTTCAGAAGAAACGCCAGGCGTAGGAGGAAATCTAGGTCCGACATCTACAGATGTAGGAGTGTTGGGTCCTGATATTCTAGTGTGAGGAAGATCCGATGTATTGCCCGGGAATCCACTGTCAAGGGTTGTTGGCAAAATACTATAATACAAAACCATTATCAGCAACCAGTTGACAAGGAACACTATTATACTATCTAAACCTAACTAATTGCAGTAAACAACTTCAAGAGTTAGTTTTAATGTGTAGTCTGCAACAATATTGTCTCCAGTTTGTGTTAGTAACATACACCAGCGTTTGCTGACAAGATAAGAAACTTCAACAGGTAAAACTTAAGTTTAAAACAGTGGCGTTCTTAAATTTTTAACGTTAGAGGCTTCTTATGACCTTTTATTTCAAGAATGTAATAGTTTACTTTCCCTTTGGAAGCGTAAACATAAATAAACTTGATCTGACATGATATCTTTACTTAATTTAGCTTCAAAGGAATTACTAAATGAAACATCAATCAAGTTACATATGTCACTGAACTGTCATGTCATTCGTTCACGAATGTTACACAATCTACTTACTAAGATGAACAGTGTTATTTATATATGCGGATAGTAAAAAAGAATCTAAATTCCAAGTTTTTCCAAATTGAAAAATATTATTATTGATGTCATAGAGCAGAGGCAAGAACCTATTATGCTCGACTCGAGGAACCCTGTACTGGGAGCTGTTATTCACTACCATCTCTATTAAGGGGGTGCTCGAACGACGGCTGGAACATCTATATACATATACTTTTTTTTTTTAAGATCCGTCAGGTGGTTGTATAGTTTATTATTGTCTGAAACTTTTAAAATATTTCTATATATTTTTCCAATACCAATCATATCTTTGAGATGTAAATGTTTTAGTACAAATGCCCAATGAGTGTTACTAGAAATTCATTAGATTTGTTAAAAAAAAAAACAGACATCCCATTACATTGTACTTCAACAATTGTGTGAAGCACTTAACCTCACTTTTTGAACGTAAAGGTGACCAAATTAAAAAAAAATTAAATAAACGTAGACTACTACAATGTCTGTTATGAGAATAAAACTAGTTATTATTGGATAAAATTTCAAATTCCGTAATCTTCCTTTATGTTTTCATCATATTTGTAACAGTTTTGATGCTACAAATATAATGTCTTTCTGTTATTGTTACTGTTATTACTATTGTTTTTTCTTACGGAGGAGAAATCATGTTTCGCTCTTTAAGACTTGTATTTGGTTGTTTTTGTATAATGAGTTCCTGCCCTTCGAATGCGTTGAGGTACTGAATTTGTTGCGGCGAGGGAACAGGCATGAGATTAGGCTCCTTAGCCCCGGCAGTTGGGGTGGTCGAACAAGAAGTCGTCGAAGTGTTCATTTGTTTTTGTTGTGCCATTGACTGGAGGGTGCGCCCAAACATTCCATCAACTGCGGAAAAAACGAGATTAGAGTCGATCGTCCGGCGCGAGATCCAACAAACCTGAAGACTGATGGGTCGATGTGGGTTCGGTGTTACTGCTATTTACACTGGGAGACAGATGTGACGAGACGGGCGTGCCGGGGTTGCTGTGGTTGTGCCGCGGGGCGGAGGGCGAGTCTTGGGAGGTGGGGCTCTGGCCGGTGCTCACGTGTCTGGTGAGCCCGAACTGGCGATTAGGGTCGGCGGGCGAGTTGAGGGCGGAGGACGCCCGGGGCGAGGGCAGCGACAGGTTGGAGGTGGGGTTATTGGGCGAGGCGGGGCTGGGGCTCTGCAGCGCGATCGGCACGCTGGCCGAGCGCGGGGTCTGGTGGTACGGCGGAGGCGGTCCCTGGAGGCGGGGCCCGGCGGCGGGCATGCCGCGCGGGCCGGGTCCGCCGGGGCCCGAACAGGGGGCGCCGGAACTTACGGGGCCGATGGGCACCGGGCCCCCGGGCCGGTCCGGCTTCGGCTTCCGCTCGTCGAACTGGTGCATCTTCAGCCACTCAAGCTGGCTGCTCATGAGCTGGGCGCCCGGGGGCGCCGGCCCCCCGGGCATCATGCCGTGGGGCAGGTCTATGGCACTTGCGTTTCCCGGGGGCGGCTGCCCCTCCATCGCTTGGTTCTCGGGGAAGAGCATCTGCTGCATCTTCCGGATGGTCGCCAGCTGCTCCTCGCGGTGCTGCCGCTGCTGGGGCGTGAGGTTCTCATCAGGCACTTTGACACCCTGCAGAGAGGGTTGAACGTTTGAGAGGGAGGGACTGCACGCGTCCATGTCGGGCCCCACGTCGGGCAGACCGTTGCTGACGCCTTCGAGTCCTTCGAGATGATGATTGTTCTTCTGATCCCACGGTAAGTCAGCGTCGCCCAACCCGATCTCGTCGAGACCGTCCGGACCGAGGAAATTGTCAATGGAAGGTTGGCTCTTGGGGCCCAAACCGGGGCTGCGAGTGCAGCCCTTGTTCTTCATCATGGCGAGATTGTTCAGCCACTGCGCGGGGTTTTGGCGGGTGAACTGGTTCACTTTGAGGGGGTTCTTCTCCAGGTACTTTTTAGTGGCCGGCTGGGCGCAATGGTAAGCGATGATTGTCGCGTACCGGCCCTGCAGCACCTCGTCGGCGCCGTTGTTGGCCATGTTCGTCGAAAAGACGAATATCTGGCTCTGCTGCTGCATGTATTGCACTTCCATGCCGCCAGGTTGCTTGTTGATGACGTTGCTGGCCAGGGGCTGCACTCCGTCGGGGGGCGTAGGATGCGGGGGCGGGCCGGACAGCCCCAGCGCGAAGGCGTCTCCGGGCAGATCGTTGTCAATGCATTCTTCTGTTTTCAGCGTCAAGTTAGCCGGATCTGCAACCGATGTGGCTTCCTCGCCTTCGGTCTTCCTCTCGGCCCCGGCCTGTAGAGAGCCTGTATTCGTGGAGCCGATGATGCCCCCGTTTTTGGTGACAGGACGGCCGGGTTCCTTCTTGACCGCACAGTTACTGCCCGCTGCTTCATCTTCTTTCTTAATCCGAACATCTGTACTCGGAGCTTCTTTGTCGGAACTCCCGGGCTCCTCCTTCACGCTTTCCGACCCTTTCTCGTGCTTTTCTTTGATCATTTCGTATTTTTATCACATACCCCTTCCTTTCATGCTGTACACACACTAACACTGCACTTGTATCATGTCCAAAACCGCGCTAAGTCCTCTATTCGAGCACTAACATTTATTTTGAACCATTTCGTTTATTGGAAATCCACTAAATTATCTTTCATATCACATATGTTCTAATGTTTTTATTTGCATTCCATCATTTTTTATTTTCATCTCTTAACCAAATTTGAAGAGACGCATACAAGGTGTTCTGGCCCTTCTTACCATTGCACAACCACTAAAAATGGAAGATTTTAATCCTCTGCTACCGTATATTTCTAATGACATGTATGATTGTTATAATTTTAACATTTAGACCATAATAAAAACTTTTAACAAAAATCTCACATCACAAAATGCCAAACTGTCCACACGCGTTGCTACCAACATTGACATTTTTCACTAAATTTTAAATGTCAAATGTCACTAAATAGCAGCACCATTTTCAAAAATCTTCCGCGATCTGTACCTTAATTAAACACGATTAAAAGAAAAAAGCAAATCGATTCGACTTTTTATTTGCAAACAAACAAACGGAGAAAAATAAAACACCCAAAAACAAAGGAAGCGCCAAATTTAATATCTACCTCTGAACCTTTATTAACGACTTTAAAATACGACATACATTCCTCGCAAATATCAGATTACTTTTTATCTTAATTGAAATTTATCTCATAAGATTGTTTCCACGAAATTAAAGCACATACAATTAATTTTTTTTATTGAAAGTCGACGAAAATACAAATATAAATAATGAAACTCAACGCAAATTCTGCAAAAATCAAAACAAAAATTACAAAATGACAATCATAAATTATTTGACTTCTTTAGCAACCTTCACCCACTGGTTGATAATATCTTTACAATCCTTCTCGCTCAAATTTTCCACGCCTGCAGGATTCTCCAGAATCAGAGTTCCGCTAACGTTTTGTTCCACGAAATTAAATACTTTACAAAACGGTAATTCGTCAACTTCAGGCAACTCGGTTTCTTTATTTACAGGCACGACAAAAATCGTTCGTCCTGACAAAGTCTGCAAATCCTGCTCGTTCACTTCCTTTCCGTTGTTTTTCAGCAACTTGCAGTTATCAATTCCAAACAAACGAAAAACGGACGAACGCAACTCTTGGAGTGTCACTGGGCTATTTCCTATTTCCAATAGTGCTAAAGCTTTGGTGGCGCCCTTACAAAATCTAGCTTCAACACCGACCAGCTGAATATTTACCCATTTACTGGTAGGTATTATCACGTCTACATGTTTAGTCAAAACCAACTGCAAGCTACAATTCTTCAACTGTTGAGAATCTTCAATTATTAAATTATCAGAACCTTGTTTTTCGTCGAGAGGTTTGAACGACGCTTTTATAGTATTCTCGATAAATTCGGCGTAAGATTTAGCGACTCTATCAATATCACCAGTGGCTTTATAGAATACTGATATTTGATCTGTGGGTACAAGATGGGCTTTCTTTCGCAATTTCTGAATACGATTTATTATTTCCCTAGCTGTACCTTCGTCCTGCATTGAACTATCTGGAGTTACATCCAAAAGAATGAGAACATCGTTATCGCTGTTTACTTCATACTGACTAGTGCTGATACTCTCAGACTTGAAGATCAATCTGACCTCAGATATATCAATACGTTGACCCGCGACTACGCGATATCCAGCTTTAACCATTTCGTTAATTTCGACATCAGTCAAAGCTTGGATTGCCGCAGTAACTACTTTAAGTTCTTGTTTGAGCCTCGCTCCTAAAATTTTATAATCAGGCTCTGCTCTTAGAGTGATTCCATATTTGCTCTTATCAGTTGTGGTATTAATAGTACGGACGTTAAGTTCAAGATGGATGTAGTCTTTCAAAGATAGTATGTCTGAGATGTATTGAGGATCCTGATGGACTACTATGACTTCCGGTAGCGGATACTTAATTGGGATGGTCTTTCTATCACGGAGTACTCGTCCCAGTTCTATAACACTTTGCATTCTAGCAACTGCTCTTTCTATATCTTTGTTTATAAGAGAGTTATTGGGCGTTGGTAGCATCAAATAATGGACACTATCAGCTGATGTTTTCATCAATTTCTTCAAATATTGATACATGGTTTCTGATAGGAAAGGCGAAAATGGTGCCATCATTTTTACGATGTTTAGTAGAACCTCAAATAGAGTTAGAAGAGCGGTCTTACAATCATCCACTCCGCCGTCGCCCTTTAGACGTTTTCTATTCATTCTCACGTACCAATTGGTTAAGTAATCTATAAATTTGGTGAGTCTAGGAACAACAGTGTATAGATGGTAAAGACCCATTTCCTTGCGTACGTAGTCTAGTAACGACTGGGTGAAAGAAAGTATCCACTGATCCATTATATTAGTGGGAGTAAAACTCCCTTCAACGTAATAAAACGGTTGATTCTGCTCTTGCACGAAACTCTCTACATTCTGTAGAAGGAAACGGAACGCATTATACCAAGGTAGGAATACATCTTTCAGAACATCACGCACTCCTTCCTCTTTAAATCTCAAGTTTTCGGCACGTACTACCGGTGAATTAATTAAGTACAGACGCAAAGCGTCTGCGCCGTACTTCGAAACTACGTCCAAAGGATCTGGGTAGTTTTTCTTTCTTTTGGACATCTTTTGACCATCACTTGCCAAAATCAACCCGTTAGCAATCAAATTTTTGAATGGTGCTTTACCAAACAACGCTGTTGATATTACAAGAAGAGTATAGAACCACCCTCTGGTCTGGTCTATACCTTCTGCTATAAAATCAGCAGGGAAGTACTCTTCAAATTCTTTTACAAATTCGAAAGGGTAGTGTTTTTGCGCGTAAGGCATAGAGCCCGACTCAAACCAACAATCAAATACTTCTGGTACTCGTTTCAGTGGGGGATTGCCGGGGATTTTCGACGGAATTTCCAAATGGTCAATGCTTTCTCTATGCAGGTCAGTGATCTTCTGACCAGTTAACTCCTCTAGTTCCGCAATGCTGCCAATACAAAGAATTTCGTCCCCTTTTGGTGAGATCCATATAGGTATAGGGGTACCCCAATACCGGTTTCTACTAATAGCCCAATCCCTCGCTTCACGCAACCAGTTACCAAAACGCTTGTCTTTAACAAAATCGGGTACCCAGTAGGTGTCAGAGCTAGCTTTTTGCAGTTCTTCCGTCATATGTTCAACTCGAACGAACCATGATGGTACCGACCGGTAAATCAACGGAGTGTCAGAGCGCCAACAGAATGGATAGCTGTGCTTAATCTGTAAAACACAACTCAGAAAAGTGTTACCAACATCCTAAATTCCAATACCTGCGATTGGTGAACTAAACGACCGCTTGCTTTCAATTGTGCGATGATTTTCTTGTCGGCGTCTTTGACGTATAAACCTTCAAAATCCACAACGGGTTTGACAAATCTACCACTGGCGTCTACAGGACAGACTGGTTCTTGATCCTTGGTGATAATACCGGCATTCAGGCAAACGCGGTAATCGTCCTCGCCGAAATACGGAGCTTGGTGGACAACGCCAGTACCGGATTCCGCGGTTACATAATCGTCGTTCAATACTTGAAAACCTTTATCTTTTAAGTGTGCAAAGAAGGGGAATGGGGGTATATATCGCAACCCTTTTAATTCTTTCCCAGGGAATGTGTTCAAGATTTTGTAGTCTTCAGGTGGGAAAATTGTTTCTATTCTAGATTCAAGCATGATGTAGCGTTTGCCGGTGCTAACTTGTTCGAAAAGTGCGTATTGAAGGGCTGCATTAACGCAAGCTGTTAGATTACTGGGGAGAGTCCATGGAGTTGTGGTCCACACGAGAAGAGAAGCGCCATCTTTGTGACCAACTATGGGTAGACTAACGGTGACAGCGGGATCCACGACGTCTTTATAATTCTGACCAGACTCAAAATTTGACAAAGGGGTGTTGCATGTTGTAGAGTACGGCATGACTTTGTTTCCTTGGTACACTAGACCTTTTAAGTACAATTGCTTGAAAACCCACCACACGGATTCCATGAATGAGGGATACAAAGTCTTGTAGTCGTTTTTAAAATCTACAACCCAGTATTACTAAATGGAAAATAAAAATCACCAAATTACCAATCCATCGTCCAATACGTCCTATAATGATTTCCCACTCTCTTGCATAGCGCATCACGATTTTCCTGCACTCGGCGTTGTATTTGTCAATACCCATCTTCATTACATCATCCGGGCCTTTAATATCTAAAGCCTTGTCAATTTCATATTCTACAGGCAAACCGTGACAATCCCACCCAAATCTTCTTTCTACGTGGAAACCCTGTTGGTGGGAATAGCGTGTCACCACATCCTTGATCGTTCCAGCAAGAATGTGCCCATAATGCGGCAAACCGGTCGCAAATGGTGGTCCGTCGTAGAAAGAAAATCTAAAAAAAGTTCAGTATTTGTGTCACCATTTCGTTGTTTCTCCTACCTGGGTTTTCCTTTAGACTGTTTCAAACATGTCTCAAACACGTCGATTTCCTTCCAATATTTTATGATTTTTTCCTCTTCTTCGGAAAAGTTGATGGTTTCCGGGACACGTGGGATTTCTTGCACCGGCATGTCGATAATTTGTTTGCTAAATATACGTATTACACCTGTTTTTTATAAGTTAACATATCACATATTTTCCGCACTCATGGTGCATCGAACACAACCTCAAAATTTGCGGATGATGCAATGGTGCCAACACAGCGACACGTCGGGATACTGGGGCAAACTGGAAATCCCTAACTCGGAACACATAAAAGGTTTTATCAAAATTAGCTGTTAAGCCGGAAAAATTAATTTAGATTCGCAGCTTTATGGTTGTAAAGGTATTTATTGCAGGTGTTTTATACCTGGCGGAGCGATTTATCTGGATGTTATCAATTTCTGATTTAATGTGGTGAAATAAAAATGATGCAATTTGTATTTACACACATTTTTGTTAAGCATTGTAATGGGGGTTGGTAGCTTTTTTTAAGTAGGGAAAGGCGGGGTAAGATAATTAGGTGGTAGAAAATATGTCCGATTTTAATGGAAATTGTGATTTTAATTAGATTAGTAAAATTACTCTCATCAGTATTACCGCTAGCAGATTTGCTACAAAATTTTATTGGGGTTTAACGTTAGTAAAATAATATGTTGCTGTAAATGTGATAAACGTGGTAAGTATGAATAATCACCGGTAATTACCCGTATTTTCGCAGCACCACAGGTAAAATAAAAAGTTTATTTACACTATATTATATCGTAGGAACAACAATTTATTTTGTATGTACACCTATAGGAACAATACTAAAAGTAACCAATTTTTTATAACTGAATTTAGCGGAACTACGAAATGAAATTTTAATTTCTGGAATTTTATTTAAATTTATTCTAACGCCAAATGGGTAGGCTTGCATTTAAAATTTAAATTTGGTTAAAAATTGCTAATCATACTCGTGGTTGTAGGCGTGACTTATGTGCGCTATAGCTCTAGTTCATTCCACTGATATGGTCAGCTCTTAAAACAAGTGCAGATAAAAATCCGCCTCTTATACATAGCGCAAAAGTGAAAAAATTTAAATTATAGGGTTAACTGTAACGCAGACCATAATTCCGTTATCTGAGCTACTGCTCTAATGTTTGATTCTCTCTGGTTGAATAATTCGCACTGAATGAGTGGTAAATTATATTGGGATAGTAGTAACAAGTGACAAATAAATAGTAATAAATATCATAATAAATAATCAAAAGTACATACAGATTGAAAATTAAATAGAATATATCACAGCTACATAAAAATCTCCTACCGTATTTACATGTAATCACTGTTTAAAATATTTATGTCAAAAATGATATCGTTAACCGAAAAGTTTACAGTGTCTATTGACTTAGCGTTAAAGAAGACTCCTTTTTTTAGCTTCTTGATTTCGTTATACGGAGTGTTGTTCAACGAAAACACGTTATTTCGAACACTCAGTATGACGTCATTTTCATCCCCTATTAACACCTTAACTTGCATATCGAACTCTTTTGCAACTCTCCCGGTGTCCATTAGCCAAGTCCACAAAAACACATTTTCATTTTTAGACCTAAAATAGAACACTTTAACCTACTTTTTTTGTTAATATAAAATGATTTCACTAATAATGATAACACGTGAAATGTTCTTACTGCTCATTTTCATTATCCAGTTCTATTTTCAGAAAAAATATATTTCGCTCAATCTGTACAAGATAACACAAATCTCTGTTTTCTAATATTTTTCCAAAATTAATCCTAACGTGTGGCTTAAAATATTGGGTTAACGGCCCGTCGTGAACCAGCTGGAAGTGTTCGATGACATTTTTTCCTAAAATAAAATAAAATAAAACGTTGTTTCCATTGCGATAGCTGAGGCTTAACAAATACCTTTAATTACACAGTTACAACTGGCCATAAACGGGCAATAAAACATCAAACTCTCCTCATCACTCTCTCTGTGCAAAGTCTCGAAAGATCCGTGACAACTCGCTGATCGGTACTCCGGATCAAGGAACCGATTCTTGTCATTTCGACTCAGTCTCGATATAGAATTCGCCCTAGAAACCCCAGGACTCTCCGAGGCAAAAATTTCCTGGGTCGAAAGCGACTTGGCCCTTAGAAACCCATCTTCGCATGCATTTTCTATTTTTGGGTTGGCTAAATTGTCAACCGAATTCGCTTTCCCGACAATCCTTGCCAAAAACTTATTTGCATGAGACGGAGTCACCTTTATTTCGGGCACGTTTTTATTTTTGTTCTTGATTTTGAAAATCTGCTGCATTTTCGCGTTCCGGGCGTCCGCTGGCTCTTCGCGTAGGTTGAAGGAGTCCACAAGGGCATTGTAAACCTAGGCAAATCGAGATTAGGTGTCCAAACAATAAAATCTTGACTTGGTGTTAAAATATGAGCAAAGACTATTTACTTAAATCATTTGGTTCGGTTTGTTTTGCTTAAAAAAACACACGAGAATTGAGTACCGTTGTACCACCCAACCTTGACCAGTTTTTGCTCGTAATGAGAATTATTTTTATAAAGAGTCGACACAGATTGACAAGTTTATGACTCGGAGGGGTCTGTGTAGGAATATGAGCTTTGGCACCGTATGCGTCGAACTCGATAAAGGGTTCTATACCTGATCTGCCAGGAGAGATCGTCCTCTGCTAAATCTGAGCCTGCAAACTGGACATCGTTCTGATTTGGTTCTACAACGCATGCAGATAAGATGACCGTTTTCGCACTGGTGGGTGGGAGGTGGGATGGTGTCTAGGCAAACTGGACACTCCAAAAACGCAAGGATCGTAGACATACATGCTGATAATCGTTGTAGGTTCGTTGGCATCGGCCCACAACAAATTGCCTAAAAAAGGGTGCGACGTTTCGTATTTCGTCTCTATATTAGCAACAAGTTTTGGATTTTGAGGAAATGGCGGTGACCATGTAGATGCAGTCATCGAGGATATAAACCCGATAAGATAGGGAAAACGGATGTAATTCTAAATGTGAGAATGTTTATCATTAAAATTTTCATTAGTGGCAATAAAACAATGAAATAATTATGTAAATAGAAATGATCTAAAGCACTGACACAATTAGAATCACGTAGATGTTCTTCGTTTGAATTTTAATGAAACGGTGGATTCCCTCAATTTAAAAATTTAGTACAAAGAGAATACGCCAAGTGAATACGAAAATTTCTAATTAAAGTAAAACCGCTTGAAAAGAAAGTCGGGCGGGTCTTTCCTGAAAAGAATTGTTAAAAAGTTTACTTTACCTCGGGCGTACATTGAGAATCGACGCCGGCATTCCACAGTAAGAGTGAAACTTGGTTAGGCTTTGATTTCACTATTTCAGCAACGTCGCTGATCCTCCGTCCCAAAACGTCTTCACCGTTGACTTCCAGCAAGCAATCACCAGACTTGATTCCGGCTAAGTCTGCGGCTGTGCCAGCCGCCACAGAATTCACCCATGGATAAGGGTCCCATTTGCCTCTAGTCAACTGAAAACCACAATTCGACCCATTTCTCTCTAGACTTATCAGTCGAACAGAAGGACTATAGTGGTCTTCAACGTCCGTGTCACTCAACATGTCGAACCACAATGAGACCTTTATGAACAAACTTTCATCATTTTCACCTTATGTTAATATTCTCAAGGTTTATCTCATTTCTATCACGACTTGTTTACCTTCGATGAACATTCATTATCGAATTCATTTTTTCAGCGCATCTTCACATTCTTCACGCTGTGGCCTAAACAAACATTAGTATGCATATTTATGCTGACTTTTGTACAACGCAAAAGAATAGAAGAGCTTGTTTTTCTGTTATGGAAAAAATGCGCTTGCGAACGACCTTCTACCAGATATTAGCCTAAATAAATACGTTTCAGAGGGTTATGGTTATGAGGTTGGCCAGAGGCAGCACTTTTAACACCCGTTCTTGTCAAGACCGAAAATGGCGCTATGAGAAGTAGGTCTGGTCCAAATTGGTTAGCACCGAAGTGCTAATGTTTAAAATAAATGACAGACTCATTTGTGGCCGTTTTTAATGTAAAACAACAAATTCTTGTTTAGAATGACTTTCAAAACGCGAAGACGAAGGTGTTAAATTTAGAATAAAAAATTACCCACTTGGTTTTAGTCTTCGGAATCTGGTGATGGAAATCTAGGAATGCCGTATGTGCCCCGAGCAAGCACTAACAAAAAATTCTTTTAAATTATCTCAAGTCTCTATTATTAAATTACTTTTCGCTGAATAAAACTACCTTGAATTTAATATGGACGTGAATTTTAAGTGAGAAGTTATGACCTACGCTTCTAATAATTATACTCGACCGAGGGTCATCATCATACGAGTTACCGTTTGTTTCAAGCTTTTAAATTTATCAATGAGATCTCGGGACGTCTCAACTTTTAATTTCTATAAAGGTCATACTCGGCAATCCAGTTCGTAGCTAGTAATTTATTAATATTTTAAGAAAACATAATGTTGGAACTACGTCTCGATTTTTTCCAGTGAATGTATAGTCCGTCGGAAATATATATTAATTAAATGTCACCAGCTGTTACGATATTTATTTCTAAAATCCCCAGCGGTAGTTGGTAAGACGAATTGTATTTTCTAGGAAATTTTGGAATTACCAACTCCTCAAACGTCAACACGGCATGGTGTAACTCACTAATTAATGCATATTTAAATTATCACAAAGAAAGCATACACCTTTTCCTCTAATTTAAAGTTAAAATCAGAAAGTTTGATTACCAAACGGTGATGTAACCATCGAACCACATAAACAAGGGACTTCCATTACATTGTGTTACACAACAAATTTGACGTTTAAAAGTAAGAAGATTTAATTATGTAGTTTCGTTGTAATTCTAGTAGAACGGTTGTCGTTTATTTTTAAACAAACAACCACCTACTTTAAAATAATCATGACACTTATGCCGAATAATAACCTAGTTTTTCAACGAAGAATAATTTATGAGATATTACACGCCGTGTAAGCGCTTCCTTACACGTGTAAAGTCCTCACATATTAATATTCCGAGAATATTTTGGGGAGTTACTTCAGATCATCAATAAAAGTCGTAATATGTGTGGGATACACGGAGGTACGTCATGTTGGGTTTAATTTTTGTAATTCCAGTTCATCAACTACGCATTCTAAGAATTTTAACACGGTAATTCAATCAAGATACAAGGAAATTCCAAAATAATTATTCAAAGCGAAAAATGTATACCTACAATCCATGCAAGCATGTAAAAAAAAGCGAAGTTAAAATCGTGTTAGGACTGTATTCTTTGTGGGTGATTGCAACGATAGATCGTAACACAAGATTCATTGTTTATTTAGAAAATGATTGTTTGGCAATTAACATAGTACCGGTGGAGTGGTAGTTAAAAACAGTAAGGTTTTGGAATAGTATATAATTTGAACAAATGAATATGTGATGTAAGTGGTACTTAAGAGTAAAACGTGCAGAGTCATAGAAAAACCGAGTCGTCACAAGATGACTAGAGTTCCGCTATGTTGTGGACAACCTTCACCCAAATAAAAAGAAGACTTGATTACGATGTTCGTGTCCCAAGTGTACTGGTAACGGAGGAGAGACTCAATCAAACATAGATTTTCATAATACGTTTATTTTTACACATATTATATAACATATTTTACAAAATAATGGGTACTAACCATTCATTCAAATAAACATAACTAATAAGTCGTAATCTCATATTGTAACTAAAAATAAATTCTAACATTTCACTAAACTAATGATTTGTTCTCACGGGTCATGTAATTTATTTTCATGTGTAATAACAGAAAATCTATTGTTTTATCTTATTATATCATCGAATCAATTGTTGGAACGTAATTGGTGTTATCGTCGCATATTTGGCATTGACGAGTTAACAGTCAAAGACATATTTGAACAGTTAATTGCATTGTGTTGTGTATTATTTTGGTGTCAGTTTTAATAATACATTGTTCGTACAAACCAATAAAATTAATAGTAGAATCACGATAACCCACAAATGTTTTAACTCCTGAAGCATGCTCGAAACTTTTTGCAGGGAAAAATCGATGTTACAACGAACCGAGTTGTTAACAAGTAGAATTGATTGTTTTGCATCGTGTTATTAACAGATAAGAGAAATAGCGTGCAATGATTGAATTTTCTCCGAAAAAAAAGAGAGATGAGAAACGAAAGCGCTTCTTTGATCGGAAAATGATCGCGTGTAGCGAACAGTTCCGCATCATTTAATGTCACCATTATTATTTATGTAACACCTGTATATACTCAATAATAGAATTTTCAACGTGATTTTGCCAAGGTCACTTGTTTAATAGCGAAGCACTGGTCATTTTAAAAACGTTTCGCAAGTCTTTCGCGAACCACTGCTCACTCAGAGTTTCTGCACGATGTCAAACTTCTGCTTGAAATCCATGGACTCCTTTTTCGGGTCGAACTTCTTCTTAGAGGCCAACTTGGCCCGCAGCTCGGCGGCCGTCATGCTCAAATTGAGCGTTCCGTTTTCCTGCTCCTTCTTGTTGACGTCATTGTTCTGTTTCTCTTGCTTGTCGTCGAGCTCGGGCTCCGTGGGGATGATCCCGTCCTCGTGCGGGTCGACCACCAGCAGCTTAGTCTCGTCCGGGAGGTTCTTGATCAGTTCCACCACTTGCTTGTGGGTCTTGTTGGCGATGCTCTCGCCGTTGACTTCCAGGATGCGGTCGCCCTGCCTCAGGCCGGCCGCCTCTGCCGGGGAGCTGTCGTCCACCTTGCCGATGTACTGGCCGGGCTTGCCCTTCTCCGCGTGCAGATTGAACCCGTAGCCGTCGAAGTGGTCCCACTTCTTGATGTGGCACAGACGGGCCTTTGGGTGGCTTTTCAGTTCGGAAGACATATCGGATATCGATTCAGCCGCTGATAAGGGAAGAGCATCCGAACATCGCGCACAGTCACTGGAATACAGGTGCACACCGCGATCGCCAATCAACTCTGCTGGTAACTAGAATGTGATACTGGAAGTGGTAAGGTAAGCGAGCGTCCCCCCCGCCGCTGCGGCAGCGGCGGACCCAGCCGGCTTATCCGCCTGATTCGCCTCCAACAGCTTTGACATCGACGATTACCGCGACTCTTCGCGCGCTGACAGCGGGGACTGTCGATATCGCATGGGTGCCGCCACGTCCCGACTCGCGATTCGACGCCCACCGGACCATGGACCATGTCTTTGCCGGACAGGAATTCGGACGAACCAGAGAACGTCTTCCGCAAGGGACCTCTCCCATTCATACCGACTACCTGCATACCTGAATAATACCGTAAATCCGTTGGCTGGAGCCGACCAGAGGTGACTGATCCTCGTAAAACGAGATTGCGTAAAAACTACCGAACGACTGATACTAGGGACGGCGAAGATACTAAAGAAAGTGACGTCACCTTCGAGTTATTACAGCATCGCACTATACACATGTTCATACGACCGATGTCGTGGAAGCATACAGTGAAATTACAGAGATTTCATTTTATTAAAACCTCTTGGCCAATTTAAAAGACGCAAGTAGCATCCTTAATCGAAACACAACAATTTTTCTAAAAATGCGTTAACTATGCCAAGGTGTCCATTTGACAAAGCGATACATGAAAATTTGCATCCAGTCATTATTTAAATTTAATTCATGACACTACATGCTTGACTAATTGTAGATTAGTATCACAGACTTGTTAAATATAAACCTACTTATAAATTTTTTAACTATAAGTATGTGATTCCGGTACAATGATTTAGAATGAAGTTTAGTAGATACAAACAAACAGATGCTAAAGAAATTACACTGTTAAGTTAAATCTCACTCAGCTTAGATGTTATACATTACATTAATCTCTTCTAACGGAAACTCCCCTTACATATTTATAAGAACATACAATTATATAAATCAAAACAAATAACGAAGTTGAATTTTTATAAAAAGTAATAGTGAATCACGATTAAGGATTCAACTCGTTTAGGTCAATATGAGTTATAGTTTCGTCGTCCATTAGATCATCGATTCATAATACTTTTTTGACTCAAATTTGATCAAATTTTGTTTATTTGATGATTCTTCTTACTGAAAACAGAACACCCCTATAGTAAACCATAAAGCACAATTGCTTAGCTTAGTTCATGGTCTACGAGACCGCTCTGGACTCTATTGTGGTTTTGTAATATAATAACAGTTGTAAAACTACTCATTACGATCATTTATTACTTCCCTGCTGGTCCGCCAGCCAACCAACTGACGTAATTCTGCCTTTAGATCCCAAAGGAGGAAGTGGCGTCAGAAAATCCATTTTAACAAGGTCTGCAGAATTACTTTTTCGTGTTTATAAGAATAAAATATTTGTTTAATCGCTTCCAAGCCCGAAATCGTGATGTTTTAGAAAGTATTTTCAAGTTTACGTTATGTTCACTTATACAATAAAAATTTTTTTTGAACCACAATCAAATAAATCCACAACAACATAGAGACAAAAACGGGAGACCTGCTTTTTCTTACTCTAGAAGCTATAATACTTCAGTAACTTAGTTAACTAGAGCAAACTGGTAGCTTGATTTCACACTCTTGTTGCCCTTGCGTCATTTGACACAGTTTTTTTTGCATTAATGTACACAACAACATGCTATTAAGTAATAAAAAAAGTTTTATTTAATTTATAAGAGTCACTTTAAATTATTAACAACTGAGGAATTTTATTACACTAAAAGACTCGGGCGGTTGAACCAAATCTGTAGTGGCGAGCTATTGCTCTTCTTTATTAATAATGAAAGGGCTGAATAACGACTTTCACGACTTTCTGATAAGCTGACCTTTTGAGGAACAACTTTTACGCGTAAAATAACAAAACAAAATTTTAAAGAATTTAGCAATTGCCGGGTGACAAGATCTGGTATTCAGTTATTCGTTTAGCGCTTTTAAACAATACAGTTATAGAACAAAATGTTTACGTCGAATAAAAAATTCAATGGACTTAACGATTTTTTTCGTTTAGATTTATTTTAAAAAAGGGATAACCAAAAATATTTGAATTATGTAATGGATAATAATAGTAATTACCAGTTTCCGGTGTTTTCAACGTTAAATATAAACCGTGAAAAAATTAAATTATGAATAGAGACTTAGAAAAATTGCTCTCTGAGTAATATTTCCAAGTCTTGTTTTCCACCACAGTTTGTCGTTGATGTGTCTAAAACGCCGATTATTTTAAATTTGGTTATGACGAATCTTTACAAAAATTGATTTTTCCAGTTTGCTTTTCAGCATGGATTTATAAAAATTACGCGCAGTAACGTCCATTTTTATGACACTAAAACTCGAATCATTACAATGGTCTTTGTTTAATATTTTTATAGTCGTTTTGTTTCTTTTATTATTGTGCGTTCAGTTTTCTAATTAGTTTTTAAATTCTGCCTCTTGTTCGACGTTGTGCAATTATTCGATACATGAATGATTCAGCAAATAAAAAATTAAGAGTTGATAAATTTCTCATAACTTATATCAATGAGCAGAAATTGCATATCTTAAGGATGCAGGCTCCGGAATGACTTAACCAAGGTTGTGTGAGTCACCTTGTGATCATCGTAATCTTAAAACTTTTTCATTGACACGTAATTCACTATTTCCTTTTTTAATTACAGTAGATGCTAATCATTTCGCGGCAGAGACAAAAAACGCTGCTTTACAGCACCATGACTGATGTCTGTTCAAATTAAAATTAGGACACCTCACCTAAAGAAGATCTAAAAATAAAATACTTCGTCAGACGTAATTTAGTTCATTCATCGAGAATGTTAAACAGATAAACGCTCATCGTATATTCGATTAAATATTTACTTAATAGTCAAAAGAAAAACGGCGGATTTAATTTTTTTTCTTTTCAAAAATCGATTAACAAGTTGAGTTCAATACCCACAGGAATTGACAATTAGTTGAGGCATTTTACATAGCTTGCAGTTTTTACAGCATATCCTGCATTCTATGGTCGATTACCTGACACAGTAAAATAGTCATAATTTGTTTTCTGCAATTATTGTAGTATATATGCGTAATGGGTTTAATTAGTTGACTAATTGACTACATTAGGACACTTTCACTAGTAATTTAATAAGAATTAGGAAACTTGTGCGTCGGGTAGCGACAAACAACGTTTTGATGAGTTTTGATAAAGTTAGTCTTTGACTTAAATGCGAAGACCCGCACGAAGCAAATTGAATTTTAATAAGTACCGCTTGTAAACAGAATGACTCATCGTCACTAATATAATTTTGATGTTTCTTCAAGGTAGTTTATAATCCTACCAACTTATTGACTCAAACAATTGGTAGGTGTTTCTTCGTAATAATTGCATCATTCCGCTTAAATTACTCAGTACCTACCTACATAAACATTTGCTTAAGTCTAATCCAAGCTAAGGACGAATTTTACATTATCCAAACATAATCAATTTCACAGGAAAGTACACTTTCCTTGTTATGGTGGTGATTTTAAGGCCAAATCTGTGTTATTGAAAGATAATCAACAATAGCGGTGACAATTTCTTCTTCCCATAATTTTCGTCTCAAGGGGAAGGGGGAATTCCGACTAAAATTAAGTCGTATTAAAGACAAAGGCGTAGGTATCAACAAATTAAATGCAAGTTTATTAGGAAATAAACAACATAAAATAATATAACAACACAGCCTCACAAAGTTTATAAATATATTGGTACTTATAGCAGTACTTATAAAATGGTATGTTGTTATGGTGCAAACAGGAACACAATGTAAATAAAATGCGCTTAAAAATATGTTATTTGGTTAAGTTTACTTTGAGTTTTTCATCTCGGCTTTGTATTCAGTCAAAGCTGTGTGGATCCTAAAGTGCAACCTTGACTCGAGAGAGTACCCGGAATAGTTTTTCCTGAAACAAAAAATTTGCATTTCTCTTGAGGAAGAACAGTACTCACTTAGCATCTTCTAGAGCTAAAACAGCTTTCTCTTTGTTTCCTTTCTCCCACTCGATAAATGCCAATTCTACAATCGCATATGGAACTAGATAATGGTCTTCGACGATATCTTTCTGGAGGGCTATAACATTTTCGAGACAGTTGAGAGCTTGTAAAGGACTCTTCATCTGTCTCAAGCATGCTCCTTGAAGAAGTAACACTAGTCCTTTATTGTCGGCGTAATATTTGGAACTTGTTTGCGAGTTTAGTTCTTTGAGAGCCTTCTCAACTAATTTGTACATTGTATTCGCGACATTAAAATTTTTCATTGTTTTAAATAAATTCCATATGTACATTAATTCTACTACTGGTAAGACAAGATGATGACCCTGTTCGAAGTAACGTTCTGCTTTCTTCACAGCAAATTTTTCCATTGGTAACGATTTTCCAGCAATTCTTTGCTTAAACTTAGGTACATTTCTACAATTAACAGATAAGTAAACAACCAAAACTCTCGGAAAATGTTACTTCATTAGACTATCAATAGTTGTGACTTCGGAAGCCGTCAGATCGTCCTTCATCATACACATCAGTGCGGCCTTTTGGTAACTGTATATAGTTCTAGACCATTTGCTACCTTCCAGAAGGTGCGTGCAATAAACCAGCGCTTCTTTCCAGTCGGTTTTTAAACTGTAATCCTTTCAATGCATTTTATTCATCAATTAAACGAATTGTCTCACCAATGAACCCATAAAAGTTCCCAGAAACAAACATGATGAAACTGTGGCCACAAACTCTGGGATTTCCAAGACTTCTTATACCATTCTATACTCGTGTCAAGATTACCTTTCATGAATTCCAAACGTCCTTTAAAAAATAAAAACCAAACTCCTTCAGGGTGTTTTTTTAATTGTTTCTCTAGAATTTCCTCGCTAAGTTGAATATCACCTTCTTGATGGCTTAATACGTAAAGAACTATCAAATTGTATCCAAGAAGCGTCATCAAACATAAGATTTGTCTAAGCCCGTCCGTCTTGTAACCTTCTATCAAATCATGCAGACCCAATTGCTAGAATACAATCATAAGTCAAAATTCGAGCTACGTGAAGACCGTCACTTTATTCCCGGAGAACCCGATAAATTCTAACAATTTTATAACTCTTGAAGGCAACATGGAAATCATCAGATTGAAAGTACCGATTCCCATTTTCACCCCGCTTTCGAAATGGACTATAGTCGAATTCTCCCCCCACTGACTCTTGGCTAAGATCTGTTGGCAGTCCCTAAAAACAAAAAAAAAAACTTGTCATGGTTCCACCAAACAAAACCACTTTGTTACTTGTAGGAATTGTAGCATGACCGAATTTTAATTCCCGCTTTAATGAAACTACTCAAAGTTTCGTCCTCCATGAACGTTAACATGGACTTGAGCAAAAGGCACTCGGCGTGGCAAAGCTCGGCATGCGCCTCTTCTTCAGAATACTGATCAAAATTATTTCTCTTCACCATCTTCCCTAACGACTCCCCGATTGTGTTCTTCCTCCTGTGTTTATTACACACCCGGATGGCATGCTTCAGAGCCGTCGACGCATTTATTATAGATTTGTGCTCGAAGGTGAGTATAGCTTCCAAAAACAAAAAAACCGAATGACCCAAGGAATGGTAAATGCTAGTGTTAGCACTGAAACATTCTCGGTTAGAACGCCTCGACGCGTCGTGCGATCGCGCCTTTGGAACTCACTATGGTGTCATTAAATTTTGGGCTTCGAGGAACTGGTTGTTAAAGAAGTAATTTATGGCTCTTTGACTTTCTTCGACGGCACGTTCCAAAGTCATGTCACCTTCTGGGCTAAAATTGGGCTTTAATTTAAGGTCATTGATGGTTTAGAGACTTACGTTGGCAAGTCAAGGTCGTTGACCGCATCTTCGAACTGTAAGCAATAAATTTACAATAGGGAAAGTGAAATTTAAGGCCTGGGTCATAAAGAAAGGTGTTAATCGTTTTTCAATAGTTGAATTAAATGAACCATAGATATTCTGAGCTGAATGCTGCATTTCGCCACCGGATAAAATTAATGGCTTTTGAGTCGCGTGATGCATGTGGTTGGGTTCAATTTAATATGAGCTTGGTGTTTTTGTGATATAACACAATGGATGTTGGACTGTTTGCTTTTTATCAATACATGAATCAGAAAAAAAATTATCATTTTTTATCTGTCTATGAATACATTTTTACATCTCCTTGATGATAATGTTTGTAGAGAAAGTGACTAATAAAGCCAAATGTGAGTCGAGTGGTGAAAATTGTTTACTAAATTTTGTTAGTCCGTTAGACAGAAATTTTGAAAAACATAAAACAGTCCCTAAAAAATATCGATGACGTCACGACTTTGTTAGTGACAATTCGAAATTTTCGAATTTGACCCAACATCGAATAATTACAGGTTTTTTACATAATCTACTCCAAAATACCCATGATGACATAAGTTTAAGAATATTAACGGGAAATTTCACACTTTCATTTATTAATGTTTATACCTGGTTTTCGTAATAAATAATAAAAAGTTCTTTTTGTGCGTGAATTATGCAAAAGTTTTGCATTATGTTAGAGATTCACTACTTTTTATCTTTCACATTCCTGTTCTAAATACCTCTATAACACTTTAAACACTCAGTACGAAGAAAAACTATTTAAAACACATTTAAAGCTCGTTAGGTTGTGTACGTGACAACTAATATATATAATTTATTAAAATAAAAATATGTAAAAATAAAAAACTAAAGGTAAGCACATGAGGAGCACTGTTACCTTTATTATTATTATTACAAAAGAAAATCAAACCATTCGGGAAATATCAAAAGTAGTTTGTGGCTGTTTTACTATATCAAGCGACCTTCAGTTTCGGCATAAAACGAACTTATTTACAATCTTAACTAACTAAAACGTGTCTATTTTGGGCCACATAAAATAAAGAGAAAATGGAATAAAAAAAATTTGGGAAATATATTCATCGTCATTTCAAATTTATCAATTCAAGGTTGCCTTTCACATTATGGTTCGTATTCGGAAAAATGGTCACACTTAATTTTTTTTAACACAATAAGTAAAATTAAAGTTATACCTCGTCCCAATCCTGATCATCGACATCACTATCGGAATGAGAAGCCATCACTGCAGTTAACAAAAGATCACTAAAATAAAGACATATTATTAATCCACATTAGTCAATCACGGTGGCCAAAGTACTTGTTTAATTTAATTAATCTTAAGTTAAGTATTTTACATACTAATCTTGTTAGTTACGCGTCTGTTTATACACTGCCAGCTAAAAGATTTTGGTAAAAGTTGAAGAAAGTAGGGACTAACCTCGATATAATAAATACTCTCTCTTATTCACCTATAGACGAAGATGTACACTCCCCGAGGGACACAAAGGAAACCGACGTCGGTCGCACTTATCGCCAACTGATAAAATAGTGCAAGACTGCACTGAAGTCTAAATGAAATCAAATTGGTTCCCGCCAAAAATGTGGGTAGTTATTAGACTAATTTTGTTCATTAACGTTCGATGATAATTACGTGGGAATTAATTATTAGCATTAATTGTCAGTCCTTAGTTAAATCAAATGATGAGTATAGCAGAGAATTGAGTACTTACATAGGTGCGAATGTCGAAACAAATAATCGCGAACCAAGTTGTTGATAAATAAAACGCGCTTGAACAATATAACGTCAAAACCCGTTTCTACGTGGAAATGGTTGATAGTCCTACACCACAAATATTTATTAAATACTTTTTTTTAATAGTTGCATGTCTCTCTGAAGCACAATAATTACTTAGCTTTTGTCTATTGTTGTACTGAATTTTGGAGCGTGATGCCGAATATATACATGAAAAATCTGACTTGCAGTATTAACTAATGATTTTATTATTACATTAATTAAATTTCCGAAACGGTTACAATTAGAAGTAATGAATTTTTAATTATCGTTTTGTACGCATAATTAAATGAGATTTTGTATAAAAAATGAATTTTCAGATGCGTGATGTCATTGTCATTGAGCGGCGTGTTCACTCACATGCGGTTACCTTTTAATCGCAACCCCTGGTGATGACGTCACGCAAATTACTGCCTATTTCTAGGCTATGGTTTTAAATTTGGATTTAAATTTAAACCCACTTGGAAACGACAACAAACAATTTACCGTTGAATCGTAATCAGTAATTGATAAGGTTACAATCAAAGCGCAAGCATTTATTGCTAAGCAGAAACTATAAGGAGTGTGTTCGTGGGAAAATAAATCGGGCGGAAGCCATGACATATATTACAACAATACGAAACAAATAACGAACAATTACTTAATTGCACACAGTCGAAAAAACTACGAAACTACCTGTCTTCCCAACATGGTGGGTTTGACACGTGAAGCTAAAAACCTAGGGTGACGTTTTCTCAAAAATAATCGTAACTTGCGTAATCGAGGGGCGGCTCAACCCCATCACTGCCAGAAAGTTTCCGACAACCCCGTTATTTTCGAAAAAAAATAATCATCCCGAGAAAAAAACAACTCAGTGGTGACGTAATTTATTTTGACGTTGTCGTGTTTGTTGACAGTTCGCGAATAACCTCAAAATTTTGGGGTTCGCTCTGGTGAAAATAATGGCCAACGAGCGTTCGATCGGGAAACCACTGTAAGAATGGAAGGCTCGCGGAATCCGGACCATGACAAAACGTCCTTCTGGAAGAAAAACAGCAAAACCGTACCCGGAAGGTAAAACTCGGCGTCGCCAAAAACCCTATTGTTGAAAACCGCTTTTCAGACCGAGCCCGAAAAAGGATGTAAAAAGCAACGTGAAACCGAAAGTGGTCGGCGCCACGTCCTTCCAGGACTTCCAGGCGTCGGTCAGCGACGCCTGGGCCATGGATGACGACGACTTCTGCATAATTTCGGGCTTAGAGAGTGAGTGCGACGTGAGAGATATCCTTTTGATAAATTTTTACATTCTAGGTACGAAAATCTCCAAGAAGGTGTCGCAATCCGCGGCTTTGAACGTGCTGAATAGCCACCGTAACAGCACCGATATGCCAGTAACCTCGAATGAAAAACTAGAAGCTGTAGCTTCGTACGAAGTAGACTATGTGAGAAATAACCGAATTCCAGGTAGACCTCAGCAGCTACGCTGTCTCAACCCTCCGCAAGATGAGGATAGTGAATCTAAACTAGAGCGGTTTGAAAGTGTTTTAGCTAACCCGCCGAGTCTGCCTGAGTTATGCAAGCTGAGCTGGTCGGGTATTCCGGTTAAGGTCCGCGCCATCACGTGGAGGCTGCTATCCGGCTACTTGCCCATCAATTTGGAGCGTCGGAGCGGCGTGCTCGAGAGGAAAAGACAAGATTATTGGAATTTAGTGGAGAAATATTACTATGCTGAGCATGATGAGACGAATCGTGATATTCAGCATCAAATTAACATTGATGTGCCAAGAATGAACCCTTCGATACCTTTATTTCAACAAAAAACTGTACAAATTATGTTTGAGAGAATTTTATTTATATGGTCGATTAGACATCCTGCCTCAGGTTATGTGCAAGGGATCAATGATTTAGTGACTCCATTTTATGTTGTGTTCCTTCAAGAGTTTATTTTAGATAATCAAGCGTTTGAGACTTTTCACGTTGATACCTTAACTGAAGAACAACTGAGAATTATAGAAGCGGACTCATTTTGGTGTTTATCGAAATTTTTAGATGGTATACAAGATAATTATGTTTTTGCACAAGTCGGTATACAAAGAAAAGTGCATCAATTAGAAGAGCTGATTAAGAGAGTGGACGAAACTTTACACCGCCATCTCAAACAACATAATGTTAGTTATTTACAATTCTCATTTCGTTGGTTGAACAATTTACTTACCAGGGAGCTTCCTTTAAGATGTACTATCAGGTTGTGGGATACATATTTGGCAGAAAACGATTGTTTTGCCTCTTTTCAACTTTATGTATGTGCTTCTTTTCTTCTTTACTGGAAAGATGATTTAATGCGCCAAAACGATTTTCAAGGACTGCTTTTATTACTTCAAAATCTTCCTACTCAATCGTGGACAAGTTCTCAAATTAGTATTTTAGTTGCTGAGGCGTATAAATTGAAAGTTATGTTTGCAGATGCTCCGAACCATTTGCAAAGTAACACTGGTGATAGCTGATTAAATACTGTATGGTATTAAACTACATGTCCTTTTTAAATGTTTTGAAACAAAACTCTTACATTTGTTGTTGTAAATACATGACTTGACACATATTTTTATATTGTACCATATGTGATTTGAAGTAATAGTTACTCAATAAAACCCATCAAATTGTATCTGTTGTTCAAATTAAATTCATTCCATTTAGTACGATTTTTTTGTGTACTTACCACCCAAATTAAGTCGTGCCGAAATTTCACGCATGCGCAAACTCACTCGTACGTCACACACTCGAACACACTGATAATGATAAAATTGCAAAGATAAAAAAATGTTTATTTATGAGTGTCAAGAGGTAACATTGCATCGTTTTGCAACGATAGTTTAAGTACACATTCTTATATTATTCTCACTAATGAACTTGACAAAGCATTAAAATTGCACATAGTATATACAGCAAAACAAAATTATATTAAAAAGTGTAATTCATACATAAACAACAAATTAAATTCATCTTCATAATTAAAAACAACACAAAAACCAACACTGACTTAATTAACTTACTTACTTAATAAAAGTGGTAATCATAAAAGTGAAAACACGTTCACAGTCGGAATCATACTGCAATAAATTAATGATAAAACTAGCGTATCTTAGCTGTTTACACTATAAATAAGGAATTTCGTTGGTAATATAACGACGCGGTTCATTTTCTAAGTTGAGCAACGAAGTCAGTTAAGAAGCATTCAGCCGGAATCCAACCTTCCACAGTATTGTAAACTTCGACCCTTTTGTTTCCACCTTCCATCATACCTAAAACCACACTTTAACGCACAATTGACGTCATCAAAGCAACAAACCTAGTGACTGTAAACCGTGATATTGCGCAATCGCGTGCAACAACAGTCGCTCAAAATAAGTAGGTGGACACTTAACATATACTTGACTTGGTGTCACTTTAAAAAAGGCGATTAAATCATCCTCAGACTCTTTCACTTGTTCCAAAGATAGATTCTTCTTAATTTTGATTGTACGTTTAATTTTTGATGAAATCCTAGCGAAAGGCTTGTCTTTTTGTACTATATCCTTTTGTTTTTTGTCAGAGAAGTCTGCAATAACCTGAGCTTGTTCCTCCTCAGACTTATCAATAAAAGCGTTCCAAAATTGTAAGGCATCTTCGTCCTGCAGTAGCTTACTAAAGGGACTGTCATAAGGTTCCATAATCACAACCAAAGCATCATTTTCCTCCTCTTCTGCCAGAGTTTGCAACAAGCAACCTATATAGACACATCTATACTTTTACTGCAGTAACTCAAACAACCATACCAACGATTCTGGTATCTTCTTAGTTTCTTTTTACCAGAATTCCGTTTCAGATTTACTTGTTCCTCAGTTTTTACGTTTACGTGTTGGGGCAGAAACGGTCGTCTTCTACGCAGGGGTTCATTATGCAAGGACTCAGCGTCACTGGTAGAAGCACTAGCCAAGCTAAAAACTGATAATCAGCAACAACAAAGGGGGTAAAGAGCAACATACTGTAAAGATTCCGCGTCCGAGTTATTACCAGAATTCACCGGGAAGGAATAATTACGCTTTCCTTTAGTGACCGTCATGTTTTTTGCGTAAACGAACAAAAATTAATTAAATTTAAACACTCATTTTATGTAATTATAAACACATCCATCAAAACAAATGAACTGGCTCAAACTGTCATGCGCGCGGACAATGCGCGTGCGCCTTGATTACGTAACCGTGATATAATTATCAGGGTTGCCAATAGTAAAGCGTGCGCGATTTAAACTGCAGACACAAAAACACAAAATAGAAGTAACAATCGTGGTGATATCGTAAAAATTGTTGTTGTTAATTTTTTTCTTTGAATTGTGCAGACGATACGCCACTGAAATCGGTCCAGGAACGTCTAAACGTACAACACCCTGGTATAGATGGCGCCATAAGCTACATTTTTTTTTAAATCAGGGGCGGGGGTGTTTTATATTCACGAGGGTGAAGCAGTGATAACCTCTCTTGTTACAGCTTTGTTTTCCACGATTTACTACTACAATATAAAAATGTCGGAGAGACTGTCTTCGAAAAAAATGAAGTCGTCGGCGGATTTGTCGCTAGGGGCTGATTTGGCGGATTCCGAAAATCACGACTCTGATATTGATTCGGCTATATTTCAGTTGGAGATGGTTCACATAGAACTGGATAAATTAAACGACAAAGAGAACGACGAAATACTAACTATAGAACAAAAGTACAAAAAGTTGCGTCAACACTACTACAACAAAAGGGGTGAAATTATAGAGACAATACCCGACTTCTGGTCTACAGTTGTATCCTTTTTGTCTCAATGTAGTCAATTTTAAATGAGTAGATCTTTAACCAAACAGTTTACTAGTCATCCAAGTATTTGCCACATTTTGTATGAAGATGAAGAAGACTGTCTGCGCCACTTGCTAAAACTAGAAGTAGAATGTGCCGAAAATATCAAGTCTGGATATAGCATCAAACTCTTCTTTAACGAAAATCCATATTTTAAAAACGACGTTTTAATCAAAGAATTTTTCTATAAGCAAGGTTTGATGGGTAGTTTTAGGAATCATGTGCTTTGACGTTGGTTTTCTAGGGCACTTATCATCAGCCAGTACAAAAATTGAGTGGAAAAAACCCCATCCCTTCACAGGAAGTAAAGAAAGTTCTTCGAAAAATGCCCGCAAGCGCACGCATTCCACTCAACAAACTTTTTTTGGATGGTTTGCTAATAATGAAGACGCGTCTAGTGATATAATCGCGGAAATTATCAAGGACGACATCTGGGTTAACTCTTTGCATTATTATTTGGTTCCGGATCCTGATATGGAAGGCAACAATGATAAAGACGACTCGAGCGACTCCAGCTCTTCTGACTACGAGGAAGAAGAATTGTTTGAAGTCAGTCAGGCGCAGGAGAAGGCATCTGGACAACGTAATATACCTGTGTCTCATCATTCCAGATGAATGTGACTTTTCGCCACTTGTGTTGTCTATATTTTGTTTAATTTTGTAAATTGTTTTTCTTCACGACAATAAAAGAAAATGTGAACGAGTTTAAAATTATTTAGCGATTTTTTTTAATTAAGTTATGTACTTAAGTAATTTATGCGAATTTCAGGTTCTGGTGACGCTAGCGCAAATAACAACAAAAGAAAAAACAATGAAGATCACAAACGCAGAGTTTGAAGTGTTTGAAGGTCCGGGGCAAGATTTATGTGTGTACATAGAAGTGTGGTGAACAGTTTTATTAAAGTTTTATAATAAAATTTATTACTCCTCGTGCTGTGTTTCCCAATCCGCGCCAAACTTGCGACGGCACTGGATTCATGAAATTTTTCCGACAAAACATTACTTAAATTTTTGATAAAAATAAATTTTGTTTGTCGTTAATTGTGTAATCGGCTCGATAAAATCCGCATAGAACGTGTTAATTTGTTTTTCTCACGTGTTAATGAACACCAGTTCGTCACCAGTCATATTTGAAACGTTTGAAACCGGGGGCCAAAAAATCATTTTCTTTTTTAAAAATGCCGGTCAGTCGCCTCGATGTAATTTACCGAAAGATACTTTTGACAAAATTTTTCACGAAAGGATGGGGCTCCGCAGACGGTTTACTTCAGTAAGTAAAGTTTTCCCAGATTTTTTTTTGAGGTTATGTTGACAAACTTTGCAGATTATTCAAATTTCGGAAAGTGGTGGCGAACAGAAACTCTTGTTATGAATTAGTGCCAAAAGACTACCCCATCGAGATAATCAACGTGAGTATCAGGGTGTGAAAATTTATTAACTGGTTGGGGATTCCAGGCACAAAAACGTCCAGGTTTCCAGATAATCGAGGGTCGATTTTGGACTCCGTTTAAGATGTATTTACCCACGTTATTAGTTCCTGAGATTCAGCAGGTGTTCTTTCAAATGATGGTGCCATCGAAGTGGCCTTGTCCAAACTACCGACCTATGTGTATCCACCTTGCTGGAACAGGCGATCATGTAATACGCCAAATTTTTAAATTTTGAGTTATTTTGTAGTTGTAGTATTTTTGGAGGAGACGAAATTTAATGGCAAAGCCGCTGTTACAAGCAGGGATCGGGTCAATTATTTTAGAAAACCCCTACTACGGGCATAGGAAGCCCAAAGATCAACTCCGTTCTAGTTTGCATTTTGTCTCAGATATTTTTGTAATGGGGGGCTGTTTGATTTTGGAAAGTATAGCTCTTTTGAATTGGTTGGAACGTATGGGTTTTGGCCCGTTGGGAGTTTCTGGAATCTCAATGGGTGGCCATGTGAGTGTAATTATGTTGTTAAATTTTGTGTTATTTGAGATTTGCATTAGATGGCTTCCTTGGCGGCTTCTAATTGGCCAAAACCTTTAGTGCTTGTTCCTTGCTTATCATGGTCAACTGCCTCTTCAGTTTTTACAGAGGTAATCATGTCATATGACCTTAATAACATGCTTAAGTAACACTTGCAGGGTGTTATGAGTGAGTCTATTGATTGGGATATGCTCCAAGAGCAACTATTTTCAAATACATTGTACTGTGATACTCTTTCAAAGTCATGTAAAATTATTGATAGTCCATTTGCATGCACCCTTAGTAGAATTCCAGGTTTGTTTAAGCTATAGATGACTTAAGTCCGTGTATTAATTATATTAATTAACTCTGTTTGTAGAGTATGGTTTGGATTCTTTAATAGGAGACAAATTTGCGGACGGTTATATAACACCATATGAAATGATGACAATGTTAGACTCAAGTAATTGTCCTGCCATTACCTATAAGCATTCTAGTCAGAACATGAAAGTAGAATCTGGTGAATACTCATCCTTGAATTTGTCGATTTTTAAGACAAACAAGCGTACTTTGAATATGCGAAAACGTGATAAAGACGCTATTTGGTTCATGAGAGGCATGATGGACGAGTTTACTCATTTAAAAAATTTCTCGGTGCCTTTCGATCCATCGCTCATTATAGCTGTGTGTGCCAAGTCTGATGGCTACGTTCCTAGAGTCGGTATTTCTAAGTTAGAAGAAATTTGGCCAGGAGTCACTATTAAATACGTGGATACCGGCCACGTTGGGGCCTACATCTGGCACAGAAAACTATTTAGGTTCGTATCACCGCGGTCCGTAAATTGGGGTGCGTGAAAATACGTCACGTGACCTCGCTTTACGGTGCGAGTTCGGTTATGACTTTGAGGGTTATCAACTTATCAAATCACCTTGAGTGTTTTTTGTTTCCGTTGGATTCTTCATACGAACGTATGACGCGTCATAACCGAGTCTTTGCTCCCCGATCAATAAACAACAAAAAGAAAACCATAGAGTAGTCTCGCCTTCGCCTGTATGGAGGTCACTGACTCAGACTGATTTTCAAACGAGAAATCAAGTTCAAGGTCCTCAATAAAACGCATGTCCCTGTGTTTTCCCGATTGATGTTTTGTTTTTTGTTTTTCAGAGAATGTATTATTGACGCTTTTGAAAAAGCGAAAAAGGTTGTGCAGCCTCCTGGTCCCTATTTTGAAATTTGACTTTAATTTTGTTTTGTTAGTGTTTTCTTTTTTTGTAAATTTTAACAATGTACCTGACTGAGGTATTGTGATAATTTTGTAAAATAAAGACGTTCAATGATGAGAAAGTGTTTTGAAGGTTGACTATTTTTAGCCCGAAATTGATACAATACAAAGAAGTGCATCATTTATCAACATGTTTGTGCGAAAACGAGATGTGTAGCTAGCAAACAAAGTAAATGATTTGTTTGCATGCGTATGTGCACCTTGTTTTAAAATAAGCGCCGTAGCAATTCCTCTCTGTCTGATTCAGAGAATGATGTGTTGTTTCTGCTTGTGCTTATGTTTATTTTTGCGTTGTTAGTAAAATGGCGTGTTCGGATCGGTCACGATTGGTCGGCGTCGGTCATGTGACCGTGACGTCAATGCCAAACAGACAAAGGCAGAGAATCTAACTGGTTGTTGACGAGTGTTGGTGTCTGTCACGTACGCCTTTAGTGCATCTCTTGTATGGAGATTTCAATATAAAATTGCTTGAGGAGAAGCAGTTGGTGTTAAGTAAAGCGTACAAAGTTGTTTTTGGGTCATTTTTGCAACTCCGCGCAAGATGTCATCATCAAAATCGAGTTTAGATGACCTTTTGGGAGGTAAGTTGCGTTGTTTACATTCCATCTGGGATGTCATCCAACGATCGCACCAAAACAATCCCTTCCGCGATTCCCGATTTCTAGAATCCGACATTTCCGTCCCTACCAGAGTTCAACACTTGTCTATAATTAGCATTTGACGTTGGGAAATTATTTTCGCCTAATTAAAATGCTGATTTTCAGAGTCTTGGGTTGACGTAAGTGCTGGTTCGACGTGCTCCCAAGGCGGCGGGACCCCGGCTTCCATCACCCATCAACTCAACGTCGAGGACTACCTGCGCCTCTTGAGGGAGGCGCAGCGCGAGTCGAACCAGTCCTCGGCCCGGGTCTCGCTGGCCGGATCGCGGAGAGACTCGCCCCGAAGTAGCCCCAAGTCGCCCCCGAATAGCCCCGTGCAGGGCACCCCGCTGAACCTCGAGTGGCAATCGTACTACATGAACTCTGAAGCCAAAGATGTAAATATTCGTTTGCCCAATTAGCACCCTTATCTCGGGTCATCGAACTGTTCTATCGCGTTTGTTCTTGTTGCAGGATGGAGATTTTTTCAACGACTGGAGCAGTCGGCCTGATCAGCTGCCCCCAAAGAACTGGTGCTTTCGGCCGCCTAAGAGGGATATGCTGAGCATTCGCTATGCACGTGTGGGGAATACCAGTGTCTTCTCACGCAAGGGATTGTGCACGTTGTTTTTAACCAATCTGATATCACTCATTCTGGGAACCGGGGTTGGACTATGGCTTAGCAAACATGGATTTTTCGTACCGGCCGTCAAAGTCCGCTAATTCGCCGAGTTATGGCAGAGGAGGGTGTTTGACCGCTATTTTATATGCCTATGTGATTATTTTCTATATTGTGGCTTGTGAATGCTGCCTTGTGAATGAGACTGGAATTTTCTACAACACATGAGCCTTCACGTTTAAGGCTACTTTGTATTTCGTTCTAATTATTTCATGTCTGAATTTTATACATGTACTCTTAGGTTTACTTGGTTTGTGCTTTTTTCCTAAAACTCAGGTTAGGAAAACTAAGCACTTGTGATTTGTGCCGGTCTGAACATGGTGCTATTATTCTTCCACTCAACAAATACAGTTTTTTTTTATCAAAGCAATAAGTAGAGTACAAAACATCACTGACCAAACCTATTTAGTGATAATAGATGCACACTCCATATGCCACTACATTGTGGTATTGTATGTAAATTCGTGGAACAATAATAGCGCTGTCATAATTTTATAATCAACCAATTAGAGACTACTATAAATTAACTTTGTTGTCCTGGTGGGGTGTATTGCCATGTTATGTTTGATATTTTTTATAACTTGTTTATTTTCGGCTCTGCCAGTGTAACTCAAATAATCGATTTAGTTCTCTGGTTTAGCTAGAATGGACTATGAGTAACTTTAATCTAGATCTTAGATTTAATAATACACTATTTGTGTTTGAATAATCACAAATAAATTTTTTATCAGTGATGAACTCCTAAATTGACCCTCAAACCTGAAACGCATTTAACACCAAAATATCCTCGACAAACACCAACGACACGTGGCATTCCAAAAACCATAAATCTATCATAAAAGTACACGCAATAACATTTCATACGGAAATTATTTAAACTTGGTGCATTTTACTGTCAATTGTCACGGTTGGCAACCCTCCTCCCCTAAATAGCGAGAACTTGATTTAAAAATATCACGCAAACGAAGTCGCGAATGTCTATATTTCCGAATAAATATCGTATTAGTTCAATTACTGCGTTACTCTGCCACGACGTCATTTTGTTATTTTATGTTGTAAGTAAGTAATAAAAACATTCGTCGTCTGCGTTGACAGTTGCGCTGATAAAGCCTGCCGAATAGCGAAATTGGACGATATGCAAAATTTGGACACATTTTGCTGAGGGCGCTAGTTATCCTTCGTTGACAGTTATCCAATTTGAATGTACAGAAGAAATTGTTGGTTTATGATGTTCCGTGTAGGTTTAGGATTGATGGTGAAGTTTTTCATTGATTATTATTGATTGATGAAAATGGTTTCGGTTAATCAGTTACACACCTTCTTACACCTCTCTCTTACACCTTTGCTAAACTGGGGAACTGCATTGCTTTTTAGCCTGCATCTACCCACAGAATCGTAGAAAAAATAATTTTTATTAAAATGAAGAATACAGACTTTTGGCCTCTCCGAAGGAGGTTCAAAGTTTTCTTAAATGAAATTAACGTTCATTATTACGTTATATCAAGAATTTTATTTATTTTTTAATAGTTAAAGAATGCAAACCTTTCAAATTTTCCCCAAGAGTGATACTTTTATCCACGCAGAAAACCTCTGCAGAAGCATTGGAAACTCGTGGTAGGTAACATTTGAATCACTGTTTGAACAGGATGGTATACAACAATGCATTTTTAATCGTATTTTATTAGTTCAAAATTACGAAAATTACATATACAAACAAATGTGTCAAATTCAAATTTGAACTGTCATTCAAGGATAACTAGCGCCCTCAGAAGGAAAATGGCGTCGAAAGTAACTACTGGATTATCTGTCAAAGGTGGCTATTCGGCAGGCTTTATCAGCGCAAGTGTCAACCATGTGTCAACGCAGGCGACGAAAACATTAGTTCCTGTTTCCTGTCGTCAATAGAGAGGGCGCTTAAGCAGTGTTGCCAAATTTTTTCATGCAATTTCGTCGAACAATTCGTGATTATCGCTAGATATCGTAAAAAAGCGGTCAATTCAAACTCTGTTTTTATTAAGGTACAAAAGGCTTTTTTAGTTTAATTTAAATTGATATAAACACATAAAAAAGAAGAAAACGGCATTAAAACATTTTTTAATAAAAAAATTGGTCTAAAGAGTTTAGACAGTACTTCCCTCGCTGTCGGAAACGTGACGACTGCATGTCTATTATGTTTTTTTATTCGCAGTGGATTTCAAAGAATTCGGTTTTGTAGTTCCTGAGTAAATCAATAAAATAAATTTACGCATTCATTAATTTTTTTTAGTCACCCTGTATATGCAAATCCAAAAAATATTAGTGGAGTGATAGATCACAAGTACAAACTCATCATATTATGTACATTTTAGATATGATATGTTCGTCAAACTTTTGAGCTGACGTCATCAAGTTTTTGGAGGGGATAAGCAAATATATTTTGATTAAACATTTATTATGCTCTTTATAACCTTAAAACACCTGCAAGATTTCAAAGCATTCGGTTTTGTAGTTCCTGATTAAATCATTAAAATAAATTTACGCATTCATTAATTTTTTTGAGCCACCCTGTATATGCAAATCCAAAAAATATGATTGGGGTGATAGATCACAAGTAGAGACTCATCATATTTTGTACATTTTAGATATGATTTATTCGGCAAACTTTTGAGCTGACGTCATCAAGTTTTTGGAGGGGATAACCAAATATATTTTGACTAAAGATTTATGATGCTCTTTATAGCCTTAAAACATCTGCAACATTTCAAAACATTCGGTTTAGCAGATTCAAAATTAAATTGCAAAATGTTGTTTTATAATTTTGATTTTTTTTCCAAAAATCTGGACGTTTCGGGTAAAAACTGAATTCGGAGTCGTAAACTACATGTGTAGGACTATGTTATTTTATACAATTTAAAACCCATTTACTATGTACAGTTTTGAAGTGACGTCATCGCATTAGTGGTGGGGATGATTAGACAAATTTTGGTTAGCGTTTTACCATCTACATGATATTCCTAATATAAGTACAAAATTTCACAACAATCGGTCCAGTACTTTCGAAGATTATCTGTCTAATAAAAATCCGGGACGGCAGACAGACGGACAGACAGACGGAAATGCGAGACCTATTTCTTCGTCGTCAAGGGGTCATGAAAGATTGAGAAAACGTAAAAGTAGAGAGTCGGCCGACGGACTCGATTACAATACTTCCTTTGCTTACGCTCGGGAAGTAAAAATGGTCGAAAGTTATTTCGACAGAACTTATCTCGCTTCTAAAGTACAGTCCAACAAACACTGTTTTTCTGGAAAATGATAAAATTTGATTTTGCAGAATTTTACTTTTTCGTGATAACCTCTATGGAGTAAAAACAATATAGAAGGTACTATTCACAGTATGTTAGAAAAAAAGAAGGTTTCAACTTCTAAAAAAAAGGCAGTTGGGAGCATCGAGAAGATTTAATATTCTTAAAAAAGACACTTGGGGCCCATGAGAAGGTTTTGGAATTTTAAAAAAGGACAGTTGGTACTCCCGAGAAGGTTTCACATTCTTAAAAAAATTGGTCTAAAGAGTTTAGACAGTACTTCCCTCGCTGTCGGAAACGTGACGACTGCATGCTTATTATGTTTTTTTTTCGCAGTGGATTTCAAAGAATTCGGTTTTGTAGTTCCTGAGTAAATCAATAAAATAAATTTACGCATTCATTAATTTTCTTGAGTCACCCTGTATATGCAAATCCCAAAAATATCAATGGAGTGATAAATCAGACTCATCATATTTTGTACAGTTTAGATATGATTTATTCGGCAAACTTTCGAGCTGACGTCATCAATTTTTTGGAAGGGATAAGCAAATGTATTTTGACTAAACATTTATTATGTTCTTTATAACCTTAAAATATCTGCAAGATTTCAAAGCATTCGGTTTTGTAGTTCCTGATTAACTCAATAAAATTAATTCACGCATTCATTAATTTTTTGAGTCACTCTGTATATGCAAATCGAAAAAATTTGAATGGAATGATAAATCACAAGAAGAGACGCACCATATTTTGTACATTTTAGATAGGATTTATTCAGCAAAATTTTGTGGTGACGTCATAAATTTTTTAGCGGGTACGACCAAATACATTTTGATTAAAAATTTACCATGCTTATGATAATTTTAAAACATCTTCAAGATTTCAAAGCATTCGGTTTTGTAGTTCTTGAGTAAATCAGTAAAATAAATTTACGCATTCATTAATTTTTTTGAGTCACCCTGTATATGCAAATCCAAAAAATATGAATGGAGTGATATATCACAAGTATAGACTCATCATATTTTGTACATTTTAGATATGATTTATTCGGCAAACTTTTGAGCTGATGTCATCAAGTTTTTGGAGGGGATAAGCAAATATATTTTGCTAAACATTTATGATGCTCTTTATAACCTTAAAACATCTGCAAGATTTGAAAGCATTCGGTTTTGTAGTTCCTGATTAAATCAATAAAATAAATTTACGCATTCATTAATTTTTTTGAGTCACCTGTATATGGAAATCCAAAAAATATGAATGGAGTGATAAATCACAAGTACAGACTCATCATATTTTTACAGTTTAGATAGAATTTATTCGGCAAACTTTCGAGGTTACGTCATCAATTTTTTGGAGGGGATAAGCAAATATATTTTGACTAAACATTTATTATGCTCTTTATAGCCTTAAAACATCTGCAACATTTCAAAGCATTCGGGTTAGCAAATTCAAAATTAAATTTCAAAATGTTGTTTTATAATTTTGATTTTTTTTTTCAAAAATTTGGACGTTTCGGGTGAAAACTGAATTCGGAGTCGTAAACTACATTTGTAGGACTATGTTATTTTATACAATTTAAAGCCCATTTACTATGTAGAATTTTGAAGTGACGTCATCGCATTAGTGGTGGGGATGATTAGACAAATTTTGGTTAGCGTTTTACCATCTACATGATATTCCTAATATAAGTACAAAATTTCACAACAATCGGTCCAGTACTTTCGGAGATTATCTGTCTAATAAAAATCCGGGACGGCAGACAGACGGACAGACGGACAGACGCACAGACAGACAGACGGACAGACGGACAGACAGACGGAAATGGCAGACCTATTTCTTCGTCTTCTAGGGGTCATGAAAGATCGAGAAAACGTAAAAGTAGAGAGTCGGCCGATGGACTCGATTACAATACTTCCTTTGCTTACGCTCGGGAAGTCAAAAGACATTTGGTGCTCCCGAGAAGGTTTTATATTTTTAAAAAAGACAGTTGGGACCCCCGAGAAAGTTTCATATTCTTATAGAATAGATTTGGGGCCCCCGACAAGGTTTTACTTTTTGAATAACGGGGGGCTTATTCTTACCTTTTCGAGACGGTGGGGTAATTTCATCAATAAAAATTTTGTTATGAAGTCATAAATATAGATAATACACACTGCGAGAAAAAAAAAAAAGAAAAAGCTCTGGTTTTGTTGCTTGGTGAACTTGAAAAATCTTTTGAGCTTTTAGTGTTTTATTTTTTACGAATTTGAAAAAGTCTTTACTGCCGCAGTGTTTTTTTTTAATTCGGGAGACTCTTGAGAACCCATGGTGTATTATTGTGGGACCCCATGGAGATTTTTTTTATCATTTAAAAGAATTTTGGGGGACTTTGATCTATTTTTGAAAAATTCTGACCTAACCTGTTTTTGAGTTAATTTTGGGACGCCGTTTTTCTTTTTTTTTTTTTTTGAAAAATTATAACAATTTTGAGGTTCTAGGTATTCTTGTTTGGAAAGAATTCGAAAGTGCTTTGAAGCCTCTGGTGTCTTTTCTTATAATAACTTAATTAAATTTCTTAGAGGATACGTCATTTACCAAAATCAGTCTTATCTTGGCAGCTACTAGCCCCACCCACCTACCCTCACTCTCTTAGCGGATATTTCATTTGCCAAAATCAGTTTTATCTTAGCAGATACTAGCCCCGCCCACCCGCCCTCTCTTTTCTTACAGGGTATCTCATTTGCCAAAATTAGTCTTATCTTGGCAGCTACTACCCCCGCCCACCCACCCTCTGTTTTTTTGGAGGATATGTCATTTGCCAAAATCAGTTTTATCTTACCAAGTACTAATGACCTTAGATCATGTAATATTTATTAATTTATTACATGATCTAAGCTGATGACTAACTTTTACAAAAAAAAATATCAAAATTTGGAAACATTACGAGCTTACTTACATGCACAGCGCAGGAATTTTGAACATCTTCTCTGTTGTTTAGTTGGTTATGCTTTAATGAACTTATCTTTTGTTGGTTTTGTTTTTGTTTATAATTTATAAATGTCTTATTAAATGTTTTTTTGTTTATTTAAAGAAAAATAACAGCTTGTTTTATTAATAATAATGCACAATGATTACTGAAGAGTTAATCCGCCATTTTGGAGACACTCGGTATTGTTGTATAAGAGTTAAATCAAATAAACATAGAATTCTTTGAAATGACGTCATCAAATTGTTGGTGGGGATGATTAGCGAAATTTTGGTTAGCATTTAATCATCTACATGATATTTCTAATATACATACAAAATTTGACAACAGTCGGTCCAGCAGTTTCGGAAATTACGTGCCTAATAAAAACGGATCCACTTCTTTCGTACTGTAGGGGTCTTGAAACGTCGAGAAAATATAAAAGTGCCCATTTGTCCTTTAATGCAATATATAGTTTGTGTGATCTGCATTTTTCCAGTATACATAATATCTGCCAAGCTATTACATGTTAGATAATTTTAATTACAATTTATTTTTGCTGTTTTCATTCTTTTTTGTTATTTATGCTATAATCTTTAATTTTCTTCCCAGTGTTAACAACTGTATAGACTGGGTTAATTTTTTTGTTCTATTATTGGATACTTGTATCTGTCGGACAATAAATCATTTATTTCTTTTATTTCTTTTATTTATTTATTGATTTATTGATTGATTGATTGATTGATTGATTGATTAATTGATTGATTGATGGATTTATTTATTTATTTATTTATTTATTTATTTATTTATTTATTTATTTATTTATTTATTTATTTATTTATTTATTTATTTATTTATTTATTTATTTATTTATTTATTTATTTATTTATTTATTTATTTGAAAAAGCAACCAAAAATACATTGAACAAAAATTTAACGAAATGCGTCATCAATCTGGGGTTAGAAGGAAATAAAGTTTCATTGAGCTTAACGATAACGTTTGCGAAATTTCAAAGCATTGTGTTTTCCGTTTCCAAAAATATACAATTTTGATTTTTTTTCCAAATATCTGGATGTCAAGAGTAAAAACTCAAAACGGATTCATAAATCACGGGTGTAGGTGTATCTTATTGGTTATTTTATAAAGTTTAAAGAACACTTATTCGGCCAAATTGTAAAATGACGTCATAGGGGGCAGGGGATAAACAGAAACACTTTCATTAACAATTTACCATGTTTCCGATAACCGTAAAACGTTTGCAAGATTTGAAAGTGATCGATTAATTAATTTAAAAGTTAAATTGTAAAACGTTGATTTTTTTCAAAAATCCGGATCAAAAAAAAATTATATCCATGTAAAATTTTACAATTCTAACGTTAAGTATAAATCCCGGTATTGTAAAATCCACATTTGCCGCAATTACACAGAAGTAGGTTATTTTATAAAATTTAAAAATAACATTTACTATTGTAAATTTTCTAGATGACGCCCGTCGTTGGCGGGGGTAATTAGACAAATTTTGGTTATCGCTTTACCATTTATATGATATTCATAACATACATCTAAAATTTGACAACAATTGGTTTGATAGTTTTCGAGATTGATTGTCTAATAAAAATCTGGACAGACAGACAGACAGACAGACGAAAACGGGAGATCTATTGTTTCATACCCTAGGGGCCATGACTCATGACAGGTCCAGAAAATATGAAACTAGAGATTCTTCTTTATTTATAGCTTAATCGGGAAGTAAAAATTGCTCTAAGACAATTTTATTTACACTGGTCTTTCGAAAAATGAGTTATTTCTTCACAAACTACACCACTAGAAATCACAGGTTTGTTTTTTGCGTAAATGTTTAATTAACAATTTATTTTCAATTTAACCCATTAGGGATTGGCATATAAATGACGTTTCGCCTGGGATATAGGCAACCAAATAAACAAGAATAGCCACGTTATATCTAATGGGGCTCTTGAAGAACCCGACACTTCATAGCATTTAGAAAATCTGTACCGACAAAATTACAGTACGTACTAGGACTTAAAGTGAACAATTATCCAAAATTTTCACTATTTACAACTTTTTTTTCCGTGGCCTGGTAAATGTATTCGAAATGAGTAAAAATTGGTAGATCTGGCAACGCTACTGGTGTTTGACACATTATTTAAACCTAGTGAGTTTCCGCGTTGCCTTCATCGGTTGGCACCACTACCTTTCAAATACTGTTGTTTATTGACTTTGTGTATTGCTTTATCAAAACCTTAATTGTAATTGAATCGTTTATAATTTACATAATCCCCTATTTAATCATGTAAAAACACTTAATTTTGGACGACCTAGCACTCGTCTTTTCCCCTAAACCCAAATATTTACGTTGTTCTGTGTGTAAACAATCGGTGAGATAACCTGCAAGACGGGAAAATCTTCAAACATCGAAACAAAAAAACCTTCATACTACAATAACAGCAGCCCTACGTGTTCGTAGCGCATTCAACAACTTCGCCGCAAGGATATTATGGATGGATCTGCCAAAGAAATTGAATTAGCAAGTAGTAGTTGCAATGGCGAAGAAGGAGGCCGAGGTTGTCGCAACAAACGCAAATTGTCTGAACCCATTTGTTGTCCCGTGTGTAGTGTTACGTTACGAATATCCGAAGTCCAGTCGCACTTTATGCTCGAAGTGGACAAACTAAGCAAAATCCCATCGACCAAACACAAGTCCAACGGACGCAACGCGCCTAGCTCATCAAACACCAGTGATAACAACCCCGACAAGACGTGGGACACGTTCCAGAAAGTGCGACTGAACCGCCAAAACAGGCACCGATCGAAAACAAAAAAGCGCAAAGCCGAAGAAGTGCTGTGTCCGATTTGCAATAAGGAGACGTCTGAAGAAATTACGATGCATGTGGAGAAGTGTCTGCGACGCACTGAGCGGAATGAGAGTGAGAGTGATGAGAGTATAGATGTGGAGGCTTTCGAGGAGTACGAGTGGGCCGGACAATCGCGTGTACGGATCACGTCGCTCCTGCCTGGGGGTGTTATAAATTTAGGGACTTCCATAAGTATGACTGAAGAGGATGAAGACTTAAACGTGGATGGGGACGACGCGCAGACGTATGGGTCACCACAGTACTCCGAGAGAGACATTATTCTTTTACCAGGGGACCCTGAAAATATTGCGCTACGCAAAGCGGTGATTGGGGAGGATCCAAAGAGGATGCAAACTGAAGAAAACGAAGTTGTTAATAGCCAACCAAAGGGGGATCCACTGGTGGAAGTTCTAAAAAATAGGATTAGAGAGCTCGAAAGTAAGGAGAAGAATAAAGAAGAAGTTTATAAATGTCTGATTTGTATGGAGAGGTACCGCACTCCGGTTATTTCTGTGTGTTGTTGGCACGTGCATTGTGAACAGTGTTGGTTGCAGACTCTAGGAGCCAAAAAACTTTGTCCTCAGTGTAATATGATTACTTCTCCATCAGATCTGAGAAAAATTTATATGTAAAATTTAATTTACGTTGTTGTATTTTATATTTTTTTTATTTAATACGAATGTGTGATACCAGTTATTAGGTTATAAGAAAATTTATTATAATTTTAATAGTGAATACTCGACTTTTATTTTCCTTGTGCGTAGTTTTGAAAATTCGTCCCCTTTTAGGTGATAATTCTGGTGGAATTTGCTTGCTCCGCTGTCAAGTTGGAAAAATCTGGTGATATTTACGTCATCAGTGTTTTGCGACAATTAATTTAAAATTACGGTTTTGATACAATTTTTGCTGAACAAATTCCATAAAATGGCATAATTGCATTCCAATTAAGTCACACAACACCCACAAAGTCGATGTAAAAAAAACTGTTAATTTGAACATAACCTCAAAAACTGTCGATATAAATTTCCAAGAACTGGCGATGGATTCAGCGGAGCAAATAGTGTGGAAGGAATCCTTTTTCAAGGTATTTTCACAACTAGAAGTAACTTTTTTTTAATATTAAATTTTAGGACAATTTCAACGTTGATCACTGCCTATCAAAATACACTCTAAAATCAGACTTAGAGACCCTTCGAAGCGATTTAAAAAACTACGGTAATGAATTACACCAACAAATGGCCGAAATTTTGAAGACTGAGACCGAAGCAATTGTTAATTTGGCTGAATATTTGACAAATTTGAGCTCAAAAATCGACGATTTGTCGTTACCCATTAGTCAATTACGTGAGGAAATTAAGGTACGTTTGAAAACATTTTGGTTTAGAGTTGGCCGCGAGTCACTCGTTACGGTTGGCATGATTGACTAAAAATGACATTAAATTTAGTGTTGGGCGATTACGAATGATATAATCGAGATATCTCGATTATACCCGAATAATCGATCATTCGATTATCGTTTAGAAATCATTCGTTTATTCGATTATTCGTTTCGTTTTTCGTTTCGATTGCGCACGAGTACACGAACCGATTACGATTCGAGATTTCGAAATAATTCATTCGGATTCAGGCAACTAAGCGTGGAAAACACAAACCACCTACTAGAGTAGATAGTTTGTGGTGGAAAATAATCGAAATCATTAGGTAAATTTAATTTGTTAGGTTGGTGGTAGTGTGTTACAAGTGTGACTGATTATAACTAACTGCATAATATAATAATTTACAAACATATTGGGCCGTATGATTTCCCTTTTGTTAAGCCAATCGGTTTCTAAAATTTTGATTACAATGAGTGAGAAAAGAATTAGGATAAAAGTATATATCAAAGAGAAAAAAAAAAAAACGAACGTCTCTAAATATTAATTAAGGGAAAAGACTACGGACCACTGACAATGAAACTATTTTCAATCAATAAATAAATCGTAATTGAATGTTCGATTTAGATTTCGTCAAGCCACGCATGCGCACTGGACAATAATCGAATTTTCGAGTGATTATTCGATTATTTTAAACGATTATTTCGATTCATTCGATTAGTGAAATATGTCGATTATGCCCAACACTAATTAAATTAACCTCAAAAACATGTTTGCAGATGTTGTATGATTTGATTAAAACAGCGCAAGAAAGTTACTACGTTACGTTAGAAAGCATTAAAAATAATAACAGTAGACGCAACTATTTAAATCTGAAGTTTGGAATTATAACGTCAGCGCTGTACATCAACGAAATGATTAAATCGCACCAAGAGGATTTGTTTGATGATTCCATCATTCTAGAGAGGGCTGTGAATAAATATTCTTTCGAATTTAATTACTTGGAGGCGTTTGGGTTAGCCGCAGACATCGAGGAGATCAGTTTTGTCGGAAAAAAATTGACTGACATGGTTAATAAAATATTCCTCAAATCAGTCAAAAATCACGAACTTGATGTCATACTGAGATGTCTTAGAATGTATGATAATTTAGGAGAGCAAAAAGAAGCGGAGAAAACATATCAAGTTAATATTGTGAGACCAGCACTGAAAAATGTATTCACTGAAACATATTTAGAGACTTGTAATCAAGACGTCAACCGACTTTACGCTGAAGCGTTAGAATTCATAGACTCAAAATTAGTAATTTTGTTGGAAGTGTTGAAAAAGTAGGTACAATAATATTTATGAAAGTCTAAAACAACAGTTTGTTTTTTTAGGAGCGGCGAACTCAAATCTTTCAATTTCATTCTAAACAGCTTCTGGGTTGAAGTTGATAAACTCTCCCGTGACGGTCTTCCCTATATCACCGCTCCCGGAAATCCCGAACTGTTCCAAAAACGTTTCAAAAGCACCTGGAATTTTTTACAAAAAATTGCTGCTAAATGTGGAGAGGAAAATTTAATTTACACAAATAAGTCCTTCCAAGACCACATTAAACGGTTTAATTTACCTGTGTATTTTGAAATTCGTTTTCAACAGATTGCTGGGCAGTTTGAAAGCGACGCTATAGTGAAGGCAGGCTCTAAAGCTTATATAGGTGACAATGAAATCAAGTGTCGCTTAAAAATCACGTTAGGTTTATGGAAAGCGTTACTGCGCTCATTTAGTAATGAAGTTTTTATTAATAACTTAGCTGATCAGTTTTTAAAATTGTCAATGTTGCTATTGGCGCGGTATTTGAAGTGGTTTGACGTAGCATTAAAGGTATTGCAACTCTTGGTCGTTATTTCAAGTTTAATAGTGTGTGTGTTTTAGGAATATAATTTTTTTCCTGATGGGGGAGACGCTTGGGAAGACTTTATTATCAACTCTATTGGTGATTTAAACATTATACAAGATCGGATTGGCTTTAAGTCAGACGATTTAGAGCTAATCAGTAACACAATTTATAGTATTATGCCAACACATACAAAGTCACTACTAGTCAAAGTTTTTCAAACAAATACTAATCAAATTTGTAACACCATTTCAAAGTTACAAAATAACTTAATTGGTATTAAAAGTAGCGAAAGTTTATCGCAGTTACAAAGCGTCGCCGCCATTCCGAGACTCTACAGACGAACTAATAAAAGTGCGCCTAAAGAAGCCAGTAATTACATGGTAGAGGCGCTTCAACCGATATTAAAATTCCACAACAAATTCAAAACTAACATGAAAAACGAAGTACAAGTTATTTTAGACACAGTTGTCTTAAATAATACCAAACAGTAAGTGTTACAAGTCGGTTTCTCCGGAAGTGACTTGTGGTTTTTAGGTATCAGAGTCTGGTTGAAGACGTGTTGCGTTCCGTTTGTAAAACCGAAGAGTCACTCAGACGCTTAAAAAACAGGAATACTCAGATATCGGAAACGGTTTCTGACGCGGAAGGTTCAGACACGATGTCCGACGAGATGAAAATCCGGGAACAGATTAAACTAGACGTTTGTTATTTTGTTGACAAGGTATTCAGACTCTTTTGGGCGTATTTTTGTTGATTTTGTGTTTTAGCTTAACCCACTAGCGATGGAAAAGTCTAGAAGTACTCTAAACAAGCTTAAAACGCAGACTTGCTGACGGAAAGTAAGGGTTAGTTAAAAAAATGTCACATTTCCAAAACTGGTAAAATTCATTTGTTATTTTTAATTTATTACAACGAGTCATGTATAAATGAGTTTTGACATGTTTAAATAAATTTATCAACTGTTTTAACAAATTGCTAAACTTGGATTACAAGGAGTAGAATTGTGTTGCTGTTGATGATTGCAGTTCGATTTGGCCCATTTTGAATTGTAACCTTTGTAACCATTTCAGTAATACGGGATTATGTAAGTTCATTTTTATTTTATCGGGTAGGGTTTCTAAGTGGATGGTGGGCGGGCAATTCCGACAATTTTGTAAACGCACTTGTAGATGCCCAGGAAGCTGGAAAATTCAATCAATGGCTAGAAATAAAGATAAACTACTTACTTGTATGTGATTTGAACAAAGCACCGGTGTCCATAGAGGCAGTAATTTTGCAACGAATGTGGAGTGACATTCTAAAAGGGTTTCTAACATACTTAGAAAATGTAGACTTACTATTTCGCTCAGCTGGAAACGATTTCGTTACTATATGTTGTATAAAACACACTAGTACATACCATTTTCGATTGTTGGATTAGCTGCAGTATACACGGCGTTACTTTACCCCAGAATTCAAAAAGTATATTCATGGTAACATTGTAGGCGTCCGTTATAGGCAAGTTAGTGTGTAGGCTTTGCTCTAAGTAAACAGTCCATAGCTGAAATGACGGTATGAAATACCTGGAAACATCATGACCGAAATTTTCGTTATTACCTGACATAAAATGAAAGTGTGAAATAGGGAAGACATATGTAGGACGGACGTTTTAGGCTGTTCAGCAAATCCTGCCATTATTGTTTGAATATGGTCAGCGATCTGACAAGACGCTTCTTGTGGTATAGGTTGACTATTATTCGGACCTTGATTTCCATGTAAAGCTGTGTAAGTCAAAGATCCCAAAAGTAGCCAAGATAGCAGTCTAATATGGCCTATGCATTCTATAAATTCCCTAGGACTGAAAAAAAAAACTATATACATAGTCATGCAAAAGACACGAACTTACGATTGTTGTGACACTGAAGCATTGTAAAGCCAGGGAAAATATCGAACAACAGCTCTATTGTCACGACCATTACCCTTCGTAATTTCAAGGGCTAAATATTGAGCAACACTACATTTTATAATACCACCTAAAGTATCTTCATTTAGGCCCACATTGATACCTTTGCAGTAACTTTTCATTTTAGAAATGGTATGAAAATCTGTTAAAAATTCTAAAATGTCTCCGAGATGCATTTTCATGCATTCTGATATGCCTGTAGTGACTGTGGGGCCGTATTCCATCGATAATGAGGGACAGTCCTTGATTACTACATTTGTAGGTATTGACCCACCCACATCCTGCAAATTTATCACCAACACAACCGTAAAATCGTGTTAAACATAACACAAACATTATTATCCCCACAACACCGAAAACTTCAACACCGATTGACGCGTTTCAGCAGCTACATCACTGTTGAAACACGTTTGTTGAAACTTTCGATATTGTGAGAATAGTAACCTGTGTGTATTAGTGCCGTTTTGAAAATTCTATTGAAAATGGCTTACTTGTAAAATTAAATTAATTAACATAAGCAAATTTGAATCCGGGATTGTTGTCTTAAATTTTAAGGCTTGCACTAGTTCAAATACTACCATTCTACTTAAAATTAGTTTATCTCTTTCCTGGAAGAAACAAATGAGTTGTTTTGCACGTCACACTAATAACGAACTCACTTTTGTAAAGGCTCTATTACACAAATAGCAAATTTCAATTAAGCAACTATATTTTAATATATTAGTTTGGATAGCGTGACCCAGTACTTTTGAAAACGGTTCTAAAATCCCCTAAAACCAGTCGTTAGTGTTTTGTAGATAAATTAATTAAAATGTACCTTGAACTGTGATATTAAAGGTATTTTAAAAACTGAGACCATTATTTTTAACAGAGGCATAATATCGTCTATTGTACTTAACAAAAATAACATCCGCCTGAAGAGATTTTCAAGTTGTTGTAAAACTGTGCTCCATAGCGGCGTACTTGGACCCAGGGCTGCTTCCAAAGGCAAACAGTTTAAATAACACGCCATATTCTGAAGTATTGTAGGCAGCGTTTCAACGGGTAACGTCTTTTTAGAATTTAGAGTCTAAAACAGGAAATCATCAAGTCGAATACCACCCGTGCACGAACCCTACCTCTAACAATAATTGTAAAGGTGCTACAGGGTTCAGTTCGTTAAAATCTATTAGAGCCTGGATCACACTTTTGAAAAATTGCACTCGCACAGTTTCTACAAACACATTTTCGGTAGGTGTTCATCGTTTGAAAAATTTTACCTGACGCGTTTGTTTGAAACATTTGTGTGAAAATACCATTTGGAGCCAGTTGATGTAAAACACAACGTAAAAACTGGTGGGCCACGCTAATGGCACCTCCTGGGAGATGAATATTACTTTCACTTTGCCACGGATACATGGCATTCGTTGCTACCCTAAAACGTCTCAGTTTTACAAAAAAAAAAAAAATTATACTGTTGAGAAGAGCTTAAGTTACTTTGCTACGATACTTAATATATCTGGAAGTAAGGGTGCAGCTAGCGCTGGTTCCCTATGAATGAATGTCCCCAGAGTGACAATACAGAGCCCAATTTCTTCATCGCTGTATTCTTCTTTCACGGTTCCACATTCTGAGCACCTTTCAGTCACACATTCATCGCCAATTCGAAACGAGCTTTGCTTCATATCACTTCCCTCCAGTTTTGGAGATAACTGGGGGCTGAACCAAGCACCAGGCCGGCGAGGATCGTGGACTGAATATGAACCCATCGTAAATGGACCCACCTTGCGCATGCGTTGTCTTTGATTAATTATTGCTTCCCCTGGAAGGTAAATTAAGTAAAGTTAAACTTAAGACTGTGTAGGTTTGCTTACGCTGATTATCAACTTTGATTGTTTTGAAAAAGTGCCCGTTGTCATCGATATCACCTTGATTCGGGGGACTTTCTAAGGCCACTTGCTTTATTAGTCTTCTTGGACTGTGCGACTGCACGGTCTCTTCTTTAGTATTGTATATTTTTTCCGGTTTTTTAATTTCGAGCTTACTTAACTGAGCGTTAATCCCAAGAGCTTGACGCACTTTATCCACCAGCTGTGAAATGTCTTTAGTGTGTTGGCCTATCGGCAAGAGTCTTTCTTGGCTAGGAATTTCCAACTGGGATTCAAGTGTAGGCGACAGCATGGTTTCTCGGGACGATTCTAAAATGAATATACGCAAAATCGACGATTCGGATTGTGCGGTTTTAGCCCCGCCCACTCTCTCCCACTTAGCCTGGCGAGAGGAAGGCGGAGCGTCTAGCAACCACTCGGGTAACGTAATTGGTTTACCTGTTGGGCGAATGGCACCTATTGGTAACAAACGTTCCAATGATGGCGCCGGTAACATCGACTGATTATTCTTGAAACAATCATCACAATCAGATACTGGGGTACACACAGGGGTTATACTAGGTTCTATAACTTTTTTATGTTTCCCTAAAGGTGTAGGTTTACTAACATGTTGCGTATCTACAGAACTTAAAGCAATTTGTTTATGAAAATCGTTGTTCATGGCCTTCGCAAATTGCGACCCGTTGATCAAGTTAAGTGACGTGGTGGAATTGATTTTGGTACAGTTTTTAGTAAAATCACACGGCGATTTTGGACCTTCTTGGATCTTTTTATTGTCATAGGTCTTTACTGTTTCATCTTCACTTCCAATAATCCACGTTGGTCTTTTATTAGTAGTTCTAACTAACTGGCTGATATAACCTTCCTTTGGCGATTTAATGACGGCGCTATCTAAAGGTTCCTGAGTTCTGATGATTCCACAGATTTGCCGCCCTTGCATGTGACAGCACGTGTCGTCCATGCCTTCGTCAAAAGAATCTTGTATGCTACCATGAAGAGTACTATCGGACATATCACTTTCTGGTATTGCTATAAGTTCCGACTCGGTGTCGTCAGCGTCCATACTAAAATCTGTAATTTTTTTCAAGTTCTTTTCCCACATTTTCTCGGGCTGGATACACTGGATGGCTTCTTCCCAATGTGTTTCCATACTAGTAGTGGAAGACGGTTTTGCATATACAACTTGAGCTTTTCCACCTTTAGAACTAATAGAAACTTGAACGGATTGACCGTCGGATGAAAACATGGGGGACAAAGGGGGTGTGGTGCGTTCCGCATGTTCGTTTTCAGCACCCAAAGATGGTTGACTTACGTCACGTGATCTTGAAGGGGGTGCACCCATGATAATAGTTGCAGGGATTCTTCGACAGTGGTGGTGCTGCGAATCCAGGGTATTTAAGACAATTCGAATGAGGGACGTTAACTGCATACAATGAGGTTGTTGGTTGTACTGGTACTAAAAATGAAGATTTTTATTAGATTTGGAACGTTATACAGGGATGGGTACCTTGTAAAGTAGTACCACTAGCGCCATAAGCCAGTTTTTTCTAAAATGCGGCTCCAAGGTCCACAGACTATACGTGGGTTGTTGAAAATCGAGAGTGTTAGACATATAATAGGGCGAAGGCGCGTATTGCAAAAGAATTAGGCACGTTGGAAGAAGCAATCTTCCCATAAGGTTGTTTTGATCGAGCAGTTGCGGCAGATTTGACAAAAACACACTAAATGCCGGCGACGACCTTAGTCGTTGTGGTGGCAAATATAAACCCCTATCATTCTGACTGTAACCAAGTAGTAAATATAAGTGTCTAAGGACGATCCCCTGAATCTTCGCTAAATTTTTTTCTTCCGCTGGATATGCTTGATCTGATCTTGAAAGAAATTGTAGTAAAAGAAAAACTAACAAGTGCATCGTTTCTTTATCGGCTTCCTCTAAATCTATGACTCTTTGTAAAAAATTCAATATATTGGGATCGTCAGCCATATTGAGCGAATGCATGTGTCCATCTGGAACGAAAGCCGTTTGAACTTCTAGTTCAACGTGGAGTCGGTTAATACATGCCATGCGGCCGTAACAAAAATTATCCATTTATAAAAGAAAACAAACTTACGTACATTCATGCGGCCACTACAGCAAGACACTACATCTAGTTTCTACCTGGAATGCTGTTACTAGTGCCTAAAAACTGACCGATTCCAAAACGAGAACTTTTCCTCTTTAATATAGGTGCGGAATATTGACGACTGTATACCTTCTCTTTTGTTTCTGTAATAACTAATCCGACAGTTACGGGATTTTTTCGGGTTAATATTGTACCTTTATTTTCGTGTCTGGGTATAATAGACGCCGGCGCCGACATTGTACGTTTATAAGGCCATTTTGTTCCAAAACTAGCACTTAAAGTTTTAACAGAACTGGCAGCACTGCCATCTGATTGTGACAGAGCTTCGTGAGCTCGGTGCAACTTTCTGAGAAAAGTTTCACTGTTTAGGTCAGTATTGCGTAAATCTGGAAAAATCGGTAAGTCGGGAGGTTCCACAAGAATTCAACTCACCCCGCAGACAAGAAATATCTCCAGTTTTTTCTAAATTTATTTGGGCTTCTAGAAACAGGGTATCAAAACGGTTTAGAAAAAATTCCCAAGTCAAAATTTTTCGTTCACTTAAAGAATTATGTAACTGGTAGAGAGATTGTAGCACCATGGGTCTATCAACTATGACGGTATCAAATTGCGTTTCTAAACACATAATCAAAGACTGAAACATATAGTTAAGTACGCGTAGTACCAACGGGGATAAGTACCTTGATCGCAAAATCATGAATAGTACCGAGGTACAACGTAGCTCTTTGCGCGACATATATATTCGTGTCATCCATACTCGAAATCAAATAACAGAAGGCGTTGGCGAGAGCGGCTTGCAACGGTAAAATATTGCGTAAAGGACTCGAATCCATAAACCTAGCAATCACCGTAACTCTCTCGACAGCTGTATATCGTACACACCACTCATTACTATGAAAGGCCTCTTGAATCACTCGCCAGAATACATCTGATCCTGCTGGAAGGGTTATACAATGTAGCAACAAAGGAACTGCCTCCTGACAAATATGGGAGTGTTCCGAATTACACAACTCCCACAAACTGAAAATAGCCAATCACTTTAGTTTATCTAAAACAACTTCCGATTACTTTTTAATCAGGAGATTTTCTTGGCACCAGATAAAAAACCCTCTGTGTTCCTTCGACGCCTTCGTGCACGCGTCACCGTGCAGAATCAAGATGTTGAGGCACTGTAGCATATAGTACAAGATATCCGGTTTATCCACTTTTGGTAGCTCTTGGAGGAGTTGATGAATATACTGTAGGGGTTGTGGAAGGTCGTCTACATTAAACTTGAATTTACCGACCGAAGTTTGCCAGAAGTTGTCCAAGTCGTCGCCGGGCTCGGGTTCCACGGGCTCGTCGTTTTCGCCGATGACTTGGGGTTTGGCAATCTGCGCTGTGGCCGTCGCTGCAGAAAAAACAACCATTAGGTACAAACAAGGTATAGACGCATTTCTGCGACCACCGACAAACCACCCGTACTTAGAGCGTCTCGGGGTACGCATCACTCAGGGTTCGAACGACGACCGTACGAATGAATAGTCGGAGCAGTGTCAATACGCACACACAAACACATCGCGACTCAGTCATTGGGCACAATATTTGAAAGACCATTCGCCCGACAATATAAAAAGGTCGTTAAACAGTGGTTACAACTGGATAGAATTCGTACCGACATCCGTTTCGGACAGAGTGATGGCCCTAGCAACAGCCGAGACGACCTTCTCTGCGGGTATAATGGCGGCAAGGTCAAGTTGCTCGGAGACCGTCTCCACTGTGGCGGTCATTATCTGAAACAGACCAAAAGGGTCGAAACTATTATTTGTTCTTGCAAAGTGTTGCGGGGATGACTGATATGTAATGAAACCTCAAACGAAAATTCATGATTTTCGCTTGAGAATACTATTCTTCGTACAGAACACACGTGTGGCATATGAACTAGAACTCCTCCTACAGAATGCACTTCTGGAATGGGCATGTTGAGAACTACATCAGATTTTGATTCTTTCTTATCGCTCTCTGGTGGGCTCTTCCGGCTGTGCTCGTCCCAGGTGTCTTCTAGGGGTGGCTGCAAGCACAAATTACTTCTGGTGTGCGTCGGAGGACCCAACTTACATCTGGTGGATGCGCCGGGTATATAGGCGAAAGGTACTTGATGAGCTGGAGCGAGAGCTGGTGCCACATAATGCTGGACTCGCAGTAGCTGCATTCCGACTTCGAAGTGCAGGTGTGGTTCCCGATCCAGGCGGCGGTGATCATACATTTCAAGAGCCAGCAGACGTCTTTACATAGCGAAGAGTTCAATCCCGTGTGCTTGTCGATGTCTTGCAGTTCCATTTGCTTAAGTAAGATGTCCAACATGAGTATGCAACAAAAAAGGTTATGCTCTGCGTCTGTTTCGAATTCGGGTTGTTGTGAAAAACGGTTTTCGTCATCTGAAAATGATGTCTTGACTGAATCGCAGTCTTCGATTACAGGTGCTACAAGAGCCAAGATGGAGGTGCAATTAAAAGTGCAGACACCTAAACTACTTACAAATTGAGCCACGTTTTGGTCCCTCATTTACTTCGAGATGTTCGTGATATTGGATGGCTTTTTCGGCGTTTTCGTCCGTTCCTCCTTTCATGTACGTGACGCCGTCGCCGAAGATCGCGAAGAGAAGATGTAGAGGAATGATGATTTCTAGCATGGTTAGGGTCTGGAATGGTGTAAGTTAGAAGAGGTTCGGAGGTGTTTTGGGGAGTTTACTTGTAACCAGTGCAAGGCTTGCTCTTGGACTTTGGCGCTGGTCTTCTGGAATCTTCCCGCGACGAACTGGTACATCTTTTTCGCGTCGAAACCCAAAGGGCTCATGTCAGTGTCGAGGATTTTGCTGAGGATGATTCGGAGTTCTGTGAGTTCTTTTTCGGGGACGTCGTTAACGATGGCTTCCATCCAGTGCGGCATTACATAATCCCATATTTCTTGCGTTATTACTTCGTAGGGTACTAGGCAAAATAGGCGATTGAGACCATCTTTAAGATGTGACGTTCGTGAGGCTAAAGTATCCCTGAAATACACACAGTTGGAGTATTTGAAATTTTCACGAGTTCGGTCGTACCAGTGCCCTCCAATCCGGGCGTACTCAGGAGGATGGGGTAAAAGACACGAAATAAAAAGTTTATAGTGGGTTTTGCTGATATCTCTCAGCCAACCACATACATTTTCAGTCTTTAATTTCTCTAAGGTACTTTCTTCCTGGCCTGTACAAAATGCAAGATAGTAGTTACATAGATTTTGAACGACACTCATTTTACCATCATATGAATATGCAGTCATATGAAACCAATGGAAAAGCATTGCTAAAAGCCGCCCTAATACTTCTGTAGGTGTATTGTCTGTTGGGGTACATCTCCCCACCAACAACCAAACACCATATCTACCTAAAAGCTGTCTTTCCTCTACCGTTATGTTATCAACAGCCGGTATCGGAGCTTTACCCTCCACGTTTTCCTTTGTTTCTACCGTCGGGATTTTTGCCTCTTTTAACAAACTGGAAATGAAACTTGAGTCACATCCGACTTCTATTTACGTATTCCCGGTTATCGTACCTCACAATCGCCTCCACCATGTACGTTTGCATCTCTGCATCCATACTCCACGTGGGTGGTAAGCTCCTGTGAACAACGTGGTCGCCTCCTCTTCTGTTATTATGGCGATTATTGTGGCACTGCTCGCAGTATCTAATCGGATGATTACCATTGTAACTAGCACATTCAGTCGAAAAACATATCGAAATGGCGGATTTGTCCGTCGACCGACAATTCTACAACAGTGAGTTACCACGACACCGATTACGTTCATTGGACTTACTTTGTTCTCACAAATCATAGACACCTGTTGCATAGGATGCAGAATATCGAAAAACATCTGGTTGGGGTGTTCTCGATGGATTTCGTTTGCACATTCGATGCACAAATAAAGAGGGGGTGGGGTGTCGTTGGCGAAGGTGATGGAGATGCAATGGTCGTAACAAACTTTGGCGGCTTCAGCGTTTCCTGCGTTCGGGCACATGTCTCTCTGGCAAACGAAAGGCGTTGGATCTAAAGAGCTACCCGATTACGGCGGATAAAACACACGGGGCTGATTTTACCTGCGAATTTACAAATAAGGTTCTTGCGATCGAATAAATTAGCATTAAACGTAGGCCAATAATAAAACAGAAGTCTGGCTGCGGAGGATCGTGCTGTTGATGTTCCGTAAGCTATCACACTCAAAATATCCTTCAAAATGTTCTGCTTGAGGGTCATCAGGCATTCGAGGAGTTGACAGTGGTGGGCAGGGTTTCCCGAGTATTGAAACACCATCATGATGACTGCGGACACGGACTGACAGATCTCTTGGTCCTTGTCGTTGTGTCGAGCTAAAAAACAATTGTGAGGTTTGGACGTGACAGTGACGCGGCTATTACGTATAGTGAAAGGAAGAATGTAGAAACACAAGGAGTTGACGATGTCTTGATGGAGACTGCTGGGTAGGACTGCTATCGACGATGCTGTCAAGTAAGGCAAATTATCGATCAAATCATGTTCTAAGAAAGGCAAGAGACATCCGAGGCATTGGAGAGTAGCTTGTCCGAAGGCTGAAACAAGGACGATGACGTAAACGTCGTTACGGTTGTTTCGGGCTCTTACAGTGAATTCCGTATTGGATGAGTGGTGCAACTTCGATTAAAGGAATGAGTGAATTGTAGAGTCCTTTGTAGTCTAAGCTCGGGAAAAGTCCCATGCGGATCGAATCCATATCTGGATTCTTCAAGAGATCGAAAGGCGAGTTGGGTACATCTTTGAGAACGGCTGAAATTGGATTCGGTGTAGCTGCGTTTGGTGGTCCTGCGGGACTTACTTAGGAGCGTTTGTGAGAAATATTTGATGGTGTTTGCTATGTCAACCCCCGAAGGAGGAGGCATAACGCCCTGCATGAGACGCAGTTGGTAGTCATATAAGCTGCGTATTTTGGCTGTAACTAATGTAGGGATTTAAAAGATGACAACGCGTTGATTGGTTGGCACCGACAAGAAACGAACCATTCCAAAATATGGACTTGTTTTTTTTTGAGATATTAGAGAGAGAAGTGAAGGAAAAAAGTGTCGTCTGATTAAAATCTCATATTTTGGAGAGTCTAGCGCCCGACGGACAAGTGGTGTTCTGGTCAGTGCCAATGATTACGGGTGAGCACATCAATATTTACAGACACACTGTGAAGAACAACAACATAGAAGGTATAAAGTTGCTTACATGCAGCAGCACGAGTACCCATGTTGACAATGCAGTCACAATAATCAAACGCAAGGGAAACACTGAGGTCACATTGTTTAAAACGTGCGGGAATCTTCAACATGGGGGCAGCTTCGTTATCCCATTACAAATCAATAGTGGTAGAAAATAAGGGACAACTGAAGGATTCTACAAGAACAGAGGGACATAGACACGTGGCTAGGCCCCAGCAATCCCAGCATCCTCTCCTATAGGAGATCGATAGCATCCTGACACCCGACACTCGCGCGCGCTAAAAATACGATTGCTACTTACAATTAGCACTTACATCGCATATTTATATAAGAGCGCATATTTAATAGATCTGTCGTGAACATCAGTCTAAATTTGAGGAGAAGCACTGAACATCAGCGGTCTTAGTTCGCAACCAATCGATATATCTTCATCAATAGGTTCTCTCCCAGAGTTGCGCCTTTAACCGAATCCGGCACTATTTGAGAGCTACTTTAAAACACGAATTTACTTAAAACTAAAACCAAAACCTGTCAACAACACATACAATCTAGCACTTGATGAACTACTCGTTTGAAACATTGAAATGAACAAAACCCAAATAAACACTTCTTCTACCTCCCCTTGTACTATACATATATCCAGTTGGTCTCAACAGTGGTAAAACAATAATTACATCAATCAGTTATGCTTCAGCTCCGTAAGCAAATATGACCAACAACAATTTTTCATAGAAGAAGAGAAAAGGTGTCACACAAATTTCGACAACGATTAGTGCAAAATCAAAAGAAAAACAGCTAGTTATCCTGGCGGGCAACTTACACCAAAATTTATTTATAAATTCACGAATAATTTTGTTCAGTTTTTCGCACTAAAATATATGAGAATATTAGCACTAAATTTGCGCAAAAACAACCTATTTTCTCTAAAAATTTAAGCAAAATAGTCCGGTAAACACTGAAATCATCGGGGATGTGTCTGCAAGCGTGCGCAACTTTCAGACGAGGGTGGGTCTTTCATCTTTTCGATCCGTCCATCATCCAGTTTCCCCAGATTCCCACGAATCGTTTGGTCCAGTTCTAATGTTCATGCTGTCAAATCAATAATGACAACATCACGGGGTTGACAGACGCATCAAAATGGACACAGGTATGACTACAACCCTATTTTTACATAGTTTTGCCAAAATCCTCACGCCGCATCCATTTTTTCTCAAAAAATTCGTTTCGTCATTTCCCCCCTTTTTGTATCTCAAAAAGTTGACGTATTTGCCAAATCAAGGAAATTTATGCTAAAATATGCTCGTTTTAAACCTACATGCTCCTAACACCCCTAGAAGAAGCCGGTATTGATTTATCATCCGTCAGATGCCGACGGCAATTAAAGCAAACAGTGTTTTCTTACGCCTTTATTTGCAAATAATACAACATAACATATTTATGACGGAAAAAGTTATACTAAAACAAAAAGTTGTAACTTATAATATACCGACTATTACATTAATCTGAAATATTTCTGGTGTGTTCTAAGTAACGAAAAACCCGAACTGTTTTTATAGTCTCGATTAATAATCTCACTCTTGACGTCACTGCCCCCACTAGCTAATAATACAACAAGTGGTCAAAGTGGTACATCTCTTTTTACTTGCCAAACGTACACTAAAGCAGTATCGTGTAAATTTAATATTTTTTCGGCGTTTCATAACTTCTAAAATATGAAAAGTAAGTGCCCATTTCCATCTACAAGCTCCGAAATTAAAATTTGTGGTGAAACATATAAAAAAAACGTGGAGATGATCCAACCAAATTTTTGCAAAATACTATTTGATATTATTGTGATTAAACATCTATGCATTAGTTATTTTCTATTGCTAGTCTTTTAAATGTCGGTGGTGTAATAGTGGTTCAATGAAAAAAAGGTTCACGGCTAAATTTATCACATTTGACGTTTCCACCTAATATGGTCATTTAAAACTTGGATCGTTTATTCTCGTTTCTAAGCTTAAAATGTATTCTATTTTTATCAAACTGTTCGTTACCATTCGCACTTGGGTGGTTTTAAAGTTACTATTGCGGATCTTACTCTATTTACAAATCGATAGCTCTGATGTTTACCTTATACATCAACTTCCATGAATCCATGACTTACCTACGCTTCCACGAACATTTTTCATTATTTTAAAGCAATACCAAGAAATAGCTTCATGTTCCTTCTTTCATTATTGATACACTCCGCAGTGCGTACGCGAAAGATAGAATCAGAAAATGTAAGATAAGCGACAGTTTAAGCAAAAATAGCTTTGAGCCCTCTGACATACATTTACATAAAAAGTGCACATAGAAATAATAAACAATAAACTACGGTTGATAATTTAGATCACTCGCCCACTTTTCTAAATGGACCGATCTCTGTTGTTATTTAATCATTTTAAGTTTACCTTGAATGTAATTCTCGCCTCTGTGTTCTCTTTGATCCAGTTAATACTTTTTTAAAGTCGGTGTCATTAATATTGCAGCTGTCAGTTCTCACTTCTCAGTATTCTCTGTTTAAAATCGAACGGACGAAATGACGTCACAGACTCCTTGTGTCATTATTATTATAATTTATTATTGTTTAAGTAGCTAAACAAAATAATCGTTCGTTTATGGTCATCGTCCGATTTCGCCTCAATTTAGAATCGTCGCAAGAACCTTCACAAACCAGACATCGACAGATTTAGAATATCCAGTTAAAAATAATTGCGGCCGGCTGTCATACAATGCCTGTCCTTTCATTTTTCGTGCGTTGAACCTCTTGAGATTTTTTTCGACTGAACCACCCACTAGTCACAAGTGAGATGATTAAAGTGATTTATCGATTTTTACCTGAGAAATTTTGAAGTACACAAGTCATTTCTAATTGTAGAAGTTCTTCAGCAAAATTTGTGAGTCATGAGAAACCTACAGTTGATTTATATTCGTTCTTTGGTACATATTATGTTCTTAGTCATTTTATTATTCTTTTTAAAATTGTCGTACTAAAGAAAGTGAAAGTGGTCAACAACCTCTTTCTCGGTGAAGTAATGTATATTCTCTACCGTGACGCTAGTGAGAAAACATTTTGGACCTTTTGCTCCACTCGAGGTGATGTCATCGGGTCATCGCCGACTCATGCGGCAGGAATATTCCGAGAATACCTGTCTGAATTCCTGCTGTGTGTATATTTAGTTGTCTACGTTCCACGAATTGTGACGAAATTCCGGTGGGGTGTATGTGTAGTTGCCTATGTTGTGGAATTCGCGGAATCAATTCCTGCTGCGTGTATTTGCAGTTGCCTATGCATATATATATAATTATTATTTTTTTGCAGAGCCGACGGGAGATACCGTCGATGAATTGCGGCAGAGATTGAATAATATGAAGAGATTGATGGCCGAGAGGCAAAGAGCTGGGGAATTGGACGAAGGGAGAAGGTCACACGCTGTTGGAATAATTGATGGAAGTTTTCTTAGTGTAGTTTTTGGCATAGCGTTATTAGTTATTATAACGGTTAGTGTGTACGCTTTTTATAATTTGTACAACGCTATTTTAAAAAAGTTCCCTTCGCACCACGAGGAACTGTAAACGGGGTCCTTTTGTTCGATTTTGTATCAGTTTTATACGTAAATTTGTACTATTTGTAATTTTCTTATTAAAATTGGAAACCTTGGTTAGAAGTATGTCTGGGGGGTAAATAAAACACAAATTCGGTATTTTTTGTAATTTTAAGTTATGGATTTGAACCAAACAACTATATGGACAGTCTGAACTCTTAAATCAGAAGTTCCTTACAAAACAATAGTGAAGGCACAATTTTGTTAATGCGATGGTGTCGCTAGAATATACAATGTGCACCTATTAGGTAATTAGTGATCTGATGATAAGTCACAAAATTTTTCCGCACCTTTTCCGACTATATATCCGTGATATACTTAAATAATATGAGAAAAATCACAACGACAATTTTAAATAAATATGTTCATTCTTCTAGTCATAAAAAATGCTTCCTAGGTTTTAAACTAAAATAATATTCCAAACAAACAAAGTCCTCTACATATCAATCAACATAAAAAACGTACGATTATTACCATTAAAAACTAAAAACTAAACACTGACTTATTTTTTCAATGAACAATATGTATGGCAACATTATTCTTTATGACATAATATAGTAGATTTTTATATAGTTAGGCAATATATAAATTATTCACTATGAATAAGTAATAAATTAAATACACTAAACGATCATGTCTGATATTGAAATTCTCTTTGCGACAATACGACTACCTAAACGGTTTGTCATTTTATGTATACAATTACTGACATTTTTCCGCGACTTAAGAAGTATCCTTCTACCACTAGCCACACTCAAAGGAAACCAGCTGCTTTAAATAATAATAATAATAATAAAAAAACAAACAAAAATACGCGCAATAAGTTCTACTGCATACTACTTTATAGTGAATATCTTTATTGGTACACAGCCATTTTCTGAATAGTAAAGCATTGATTATGTTATTACACGTAAAAAATTAGTACTTTAAAGCTACCTAATTCGCACAGGCTGCAATAAATAATTTTCCTTATGACTATTTTTTTTCCTGCATTTAAAGCTTTTATTATAAAATCATCAGAATCAATGCTCTACCAATATATAGACTAGAATGAAATTAAATGGCGAGTTGAATGACTAAAGTTTATTTATTTGAGGATCGCGTCAATACCTCCTCTAAAGTTCATAATGCATTCAAACACTACAGCCTTGTGTCACTTCATCACTGGATTGTTGACTCCAGCGACACTGATGATTGTTATTGCTACCACTACGTAAACTTTGTTCTAATTCTAAAAGTTGTCCCATGAAATTTAAATTCGGGGAAATAATAGGCCGGCAAGCTTTCACCATTTTGTAGGCTTCAACCATCGACATTTGTTTATATTTCATTATATAAGCAATCGCTATTGTGGCGCTGCGTGAAACACCGGCCTGGCAGTGTACCAACACCCGTAGGCCGTTATTCCTTGCTTCCTCTGAAAAACAAAAAAAAATCGATTAAAACTCCCGCCAAAAACGCATTTGCGCAGAGGCGCCACCACACAACAATCGCCGAACTACGCCGCTGTCTGTTCTCCAGTTCTTCATACTCCCCGGTTAATATGTCACAAACCAGGTCCGGATTAGTCAGTCTACCGGCTAATAATAAATCATGAGTAATATTTCGAATTTAAATGGAAAGGAAAAATGTGGCGCTACGGATTTTTATTATCTTTGATGTGGCAAGGTTTAGTCACCGTTTTTGAAATTGCAGGATTAACCTACAATTTTTTGGCACGGAAATAATCGCCGGTAAACAAAACCATGCTAGTGGGTAACAATTGATCTTGTAAACTGAGTTGGAAGAATCGCTTAATTAAAGTATTATAGAAGTAATGGTTTAAAGAGTGATAAAACGTAACTTTAAGGTTAAAGATAACATTTACATGTTTACGTAGGTGTTTATAATTTATTGCATTATTCATACAAAACAAACTAAAGGAGATTATTTTTCCCGACCTAATTTAACAATGTAGAGAAACGGGGAGGATTTTAGTTGTTGTAATATGGTTTCTCGTTGACATGAAAACGTAGTTAAATATATTCAGATTTCCCAACGACGTGCGTAAATGATAAATAATTACTGCTTCTTGTCGTAAAACGACAAATTAGATAAGTCACCGTGAGCTTAAATTTTAGTACACAATGCTTTGTGACTTAAGTAATAGAATGTCAAGACACGAGTATGCATTTTTATTGCGTACGACCTTCGCAACAATAATTTAAACACTAATTTTGCAATCCTTTATTTATAATGGTGATTGCAATGAACTATCGAAAGTATTTTGTTTTCTTGTTCAGCTGAACGGCGAAATACGGAAACGGAAATGATTCGAGGATAAAAGCACATTATCAATATATAAATTATAATATTGACGTATGCGCCATCTATCGGGAAGTTGTCGTGTCCGAGGTCGAGATTACCATGAACTGTGTTAGCACTTCCGGAACTCCAGTAGCTTAGGGCAAGTATGCAACCTTCGATGCGTCAGCAGCGAAGGATAACGCGGTGTAATTAAAGTAATAATGAAATTTTATTTTTATTTTGGAAAGTATTTGGGGCCGATTAAAATAGATTGGAGCGAGTGGGGTAAGAGTGTACGTGAGTCATTCTTCTAAAACTCGGTCTTTATTAGAAGCTTAGTTTATTTTAGAAGTTTGTATTTATAGGTATCTAAAAACGAAAACTGGAAGATGAAACACCATAAAAAGTAAATTGTGCATTTTTATTGCGTGAGCGGTTTATTTCCATTTGAATTGACAAACACGTGGCGTTTTATGAATTATTATCGGTACGACGGAGTGGAAATGGTTTGAAATTATGTAAGCAAATTTCACCGGTGCTGACATTTCGAGAAATTTAATTAACAATAATATTTATAAGAGTGTTGACCTGGAGGTTTCATAACGCGAGGGAAAACGGGATAGTAGTAAACATTGGGCGAATGGTCGTTAAACGGTCTGTCTATTGTTGTAATGAGTAATTCCTTTATAGTGGATGATCACCGCTGTGTTTACCAACAGAGAGGTAGGGCTTTAGGGCAGTAATACAATTAATGTCTTGTGCATATGGTTATGGGATACCGCGTATGAGTCACGGGAACGTCGGCCAACGGCCCTTGAACAATGAGTAGGATGAGTAATGATTGCTGTGACTCAAAACTCTCGACAAGGCCGTTACCCAGCCAAATGTGCGCCATTCATAAGAACATGCACCCATGCTTTCTCTTGGTACAATGAATGCATGGAATGGAACGTGTACGCTCCACTCTCAAATGATACAATTAATCAGGGAAAATGAACCCGCACAACAGGAAATCAACACCCGACATAAAATCCTTCGATTCGCGCAAGCCACCGGTCGACAACGTATGCGTAGGGTTTTTATACGTGGATTTGAAAGTAGCCGGAGAAATTCTGCAGTCCTGCGTCCCCGGCAACAAGGCCGTCGTCATATCAGACGAGCTTCCGCCTGGAGGTCCCCGGGGACCCTCCGAATTCCGCTGGCAAATAATTGGGCAATTACGTGTGGTTTTTACGCCATCTGCATGAAAACAATGCTTTCTAAGAAAGCGCGACTTGAAAAACAGATGAGTCAGTAACTTACCGATAAATTCGAAAGCTTCTTCAAAATACTGCTTGAGGTTTTGGTGTCCGTTGTCCGTCGCAGGTATTTGCTTGTACGTGATCCCGCAGGTTTCGTGGTACCCGGCCAGCTGTGGTGTAACATTAAGAACGCAGGTGGTACCGAGATCTTGTAGACAAGACAAGTCAGCTGCATTCTTGCTGTTGCCCAGATACAAGAAGGGCAAAACTCGAGAGGCCGGATGCGAATCTATGTCGGCCAGGGCCGGACACGACGCAGACGACGGCAAACCCCGCGATGATAAACCAGAAACCAAAGTGTCTTCGCATAAATCCTTATGTTTACGATGGAATTCGGTGTGACCTCCTGAAAAGAAACAGAATGACTCATAGTTGAAGCGTTTACAATTCTCCGTGTCTGCGATACTGACGTAATTCCTACACTACACGAATTTCCCGCACTACCTTTCAAACCATTACGCCGGCGAGCCAAAAAAAGGACATTCTGATAACTTTCATGACTAAGCTATACTATTATTAAAATGGGCGCGTTCGCAAGTACGTTCTTACAAGGACAAGGAAGACAGGTAGTCGATGCAGTAAATGTAAACTAGACTCCGACTCCAAACCCGTTCCAGTTCCTTGTCGAACTTTGCGTTCGGCCACTGCACAAAGACTCCGACCGCGCTTTGGGGTCACCACCACATTGTAGTACAACAATTCTTTTTCGTATTATTATTATTATCATTGTCAAGTCAAGGAACTCCGACCCGAAAAGGTTTTCATACCCGGCCTTGTGGCGCCAATTTCGAAAAATTCTATTTGGGACGTTATGTAAGCCCGGACGCGTGATTGACAGCCCGTGGCCACGTGACCACATTAATTAGCTCATTATTGGGTCAGAACAAGCAGAAATATTCACGCAGCATTTAAATTAGTTCATTTTATTCATGAGTAAGACAAGAAGGGTACAGGAATTCGAAATCATGAATAATAAGGCGTCATTAGAATTACAAACGAAGCTAGTGAGTCATTTCGAAAAATCTGGTGCATATTGGGGGTATTAATAATTCAATAAAAATTATTTAAACACTCGGGTTCATGATTCATATATTCAACCCTAATAGTGGAGGGATCATTCAAAACCGTGTTATTTGTTGGTTGGTGAGTCACATAAGATGGGAACAATAACGGATCTTTCCTCTGGAGCTCTTACAGGACCAGATGTTGCCTCCCTACTTTTTTATTTAAATGCAGTACAATACGCTACCCTTATCACACTAGCTCAGGATAATTGTTTACAATCAACACCCCGAAATTGCAGATTTATACACCCCTAATTTGATACAGTGACGTCATCCGACCGCACAAATACGCAAACAACAAACAACGTAAAACGTATAAACAAACAAAAGGCATCCTAGACTTTATTTTCGATGACTAAGTGAGATGTTTGGATAATAAAAAGCACAAAATGTGCTAATTGTTTATCATATCAATAACATCCACGGCATTTACGTATGATCAAAACACGACGATCAGCTGCTCGACTCAAAAATCAACAGCACCCTCGAAAAGAGAACTTTGGAAATAGTCGACTCATAACCTCTTCGCTATCACTACTATCGTAATTATTGTTGACTATTATATTAATTATCTCGTGAAGTATGCGCCACATCAGATAATGAGATGATTGCATTTAATAAGTCTATTCGAGTTAATGGAGCTACTGGTATACATTTCACAACTTGTGGAGTCACTCAAGGTGATTCACCCTGTAAAGGGTGCGTAATGACAGATGACAAAACGCAGTGAGTCAAATCGAAATGTTGTTGTTGGTGCACGTGCTTTAGTCACACTTGTGTCTAACTGAAAAGTCTCGATAGGGGTGACTAAATTTTCATCTGCGGGATCCCCCGGACACGGTGTTTATGAAATCACGAAAGTCACCTTCCGGTCACCGGCGCATCGCTACGTTTCGTACTTGTTACTCAATTGAAATTTATGTAAAACAAACCGGGGTTATCGCTTAAATATTTTATTCATGTTATTCGGACTCCGTACTTTTTGGAAATAAAGCATGACTCACTCGAAAATTTACAAATTTAAGCGCATCCAAGTGTTTAAAAAATTTCAATTTTAAATGAACTGGATTTATGAATAATAATCGAAGTTGAATGGGAACTCACTTGTTTGTTGAGGCATGGGTCTAAACCGTAGTACCAGGCAATTGCTGGGTCGTTTAATCCTCATTTTGGCCACTTTACACCCTTATTCACTCACAAAATTTAATCACTTCAATAACATTAACCGACTAGATGTCTGTCAGATACCATGCAAGTGATTCCGCAGCGAGCACGATCACTAAAGTGATGTGTAGAGTGGTGGGGAGTATGCGTCATTCACTGTCCATTTAATGTTTATGTTCTGCGTCATTTTAAACACTCAAGGACGAAATTGAATTCCCCTTGTACTTCCAGAAAACACCACAGTTTTTTTTGTTTACCATATTAATCCTGTTTTGTGGGTAATTTCAAAGACAAACGCTTTGAAGAACTTCTGACTAATCCGACGCTGTTATTGTTTACTTGTACGGAGCGATCGCGATAATAATGATGTAAACGTGTGCAAACTGTTATTTGGATTAGTGAGTAAAGCCTCTCGAACCGCTTCAAAACGAAAATCATCGGCCTGATAACAAAACTAATTGTGTATGATTCACCTGATAGCGCGACTCGTTGTAATCATTGTGAGTACAACTTTATCGATACGGGTGACATATGCCAAATATGGTCATTTCTGCGAATTTTAAACTGACTTTTTCGGCCGCTTTTCTATTTTAAACGCAAGATAAAGACGTGACAGAGATTTAACGACACGTTGTTGAATTAAAATTTCAATGCAGTAGTTCCGGATTGGCGTATGTCTACCACGTGGATCAAGACGCAGGCATGATTAATTCAACGTATGAAATATTTCAAACAATAAATATGTATTAAACCATTAACATAAGTTATTCGTGAATCACTAATAAAATACTCCAAATTATCTAAAGAGGAAACTTCTGCGCTTTTGCCCGTTGCGTTGTACATATTGCAATGTTTACACATACAGATACGAAAATCAAATTCTTCCGTGTATGAAAATCCGCGAAACGACTACTAATATGCAAATTTCGTGATGATTTATATTACGCTAAACAATGACATTTCAGTGGAAGAATTATTCAACTTGCGGTTTAACTTTCAGCAACAGGACGATATCAATGTCGGATTGTTATGAAACTGCTTCGCAAATGGTCGATGTACGTTTACATTAGCGAGGGTGCGTAACTTTTATTATGATAACAACGCACTGACTCAAGTGTTTAATGTGCAACACCTGCTTTTAGTCATGCTGATTAAAACAAAAAGCATTTTGGGTGTAGTCCGAGCATATTTATTTCACTGGAAATTACCAACTGGAAAACTATTTAACACAAAGAGCGAGCTTTTTTTATCAAATGTAACCTTTGCAACGTCTAATCAAAATCATGATTTTACAATTTGAAACAACGATACCTATCTGATAAGTTAGGGTTATTCATCACGAGATAACATCTTGTATTTGATAACAATACTTGAAATCTTTCGATGAAATATAGTTGTTTTTTAAGAAAAACCAATATAGGTGCGATAAGGGGTTATTTTAACGCGGGAAGTTGATAAACTTGACACTTGTGTTCAATACGAACGTATTGTTTCAACAGACAATACACAACCCTGCGTCGAGGGAGACAAGATAAATTCTCTTATCTAATTGAATTTTCCCGCCAAATTCGCAAAAGCATCTCGACAGTCATTAGTATTTACACCGTCTGCTTTAGTCATTAAAACATACAAAAAGACTTTTGGCAAGACCAGTCATCTATAAATAGTCGAATGACACAAAGTTTTGTTTTTAAAATGTCGCAAATACATTCATTTTAAACGGAACAAAAGTGTGTCCACTAGTTTTCTAGGAAATGTTTCGAGTTCTTTCAGCGAGTCATAAAAGTCACACATAATTTTGCCTGCTACAAATGTAATATAGTGTGACTGTCGGAAACCAGTCTCTATTGTTACTCAAGGAAAGTTACTGAAGCACACCCTGTATGGTTCAGGGTGAAGTTAGCGGCTACATTTACAATTAAAATTAGTACGAATACAATTAAGATAAAAGCAAACAGAAATCGATATATACACAATTGTACCAGGGTAGCTTTTTCCTATTTTCACGGAGTGGTACGAGATAACGATTTCCGACATTAAAGTCAAAAAGTGCCTTTGCACACTTTCATTTTGTAATATATCAATATTTGACTCGGTCGATGCAGCAGTGGCAAGGTGGGCACGTATCGACCTTTCAATGCCACCGAGTGTATACAAATTTTTAATTTAAATAAAATGTACGTAGACATGCAATAAGAAAATAAAATCTTGAACACGCATACTCGCCTGATTTAGACCAAAAATAAAATTAATTTAGAGGCATGAAACAAAATTATCAAGACGTCGAGTTTTCGTATCAGTATCACAATAGATTAAAAAGACCGCTGACGTCATTACTCTCATGATTGTTGTTAGAGCTATTATTTAAAAACAAATTTATCGCCATCGTTTTATGGACGATAAGCGCTTAAGAAGGTACTTGTGAGGCAACATAAATCTACAGATTGAGGATAGTGAGTGTTGAGTGCAATTTGGGCCCTGGTGGTTAGTTATATCCATAATTACCTAACACTTCACGGACTGTCAATGCGCAAAGTGCTGTTGTCGTTTTATCGGATTGTCATTGTCAGGTTATTTTCACGGTCCTTGATAAGACACACACGAATATATCTACAGAGTGTGAAAATCTATTTTTGACTGTGGTTTTAAGATCGCGATTGGATTCGAATGATCGAGTGGAATATTAGATATACATAAAAATCCAGCGGTGTTATTTTGGCCGGAGTCTGTTGATGGTTGCTATCTATAAAATCATTAGTGGTGATTTCATTATTGATGTTTTTGTCGAAGTATACTAAGTTTTATCTTTAAAAATTTACTCATTCATCAGCAAACCGAGCCGTGCGCAAAATGCAAAATTGTCGATTATTTTTGTACGATACGTCACAAGCGCTTAGCTAAGGTGGATAACACTTGACTATTGATTCAGCTGACAATTTTCGGCGCGATACGAAGAGGCCCCATTTCGATAAAACCGACGTTGCATTTAAAATTTTATTTGTACACAATCGAGCAAATGTGGCAAAACAAATTTACAACGCATTCAATAGATATGAATAAATATTTAAATATTACTTAACAGTTACAACAGTATTGCTCAGTTTTAAATCAAACATTGGTTGTCACGTCTTTTTATAATGGCGAGTTTAGCAAAACTTGCAAGTGCCTCGCAAATTTTTACTACGCAGTTTCGCTTTACCCGTTTCGACCCCAAATCCCGGATGGGGACTCGAGTAATTAGCACAGCGGCGTATTCGAGTGATTACGTCACGCGATTCGCTTAACGAATGTTTTATCCATTCGGATTTGCGGGATTTATATTTTTGGGTAAAGTTTGAATAGATAAAGCACGGTTCGGATTAGTGACGAAAGCCATTGTTGGCGAAGTTGATGAGTAATGGAGAAATAAAGGTCGACGTTTTTTGAGTTTTGAGCGTAAACCCGGAGTCTAAAATAAGAATGGGACATGGCGCATATATGGCGTGTTAGTCACTGCCATAAGTATCGGCAAATAAACAAACGTAAGGCGGCAATGCTGGCCGAGTCCCAAGTGCAGGTCGCAAGAGGAGCGTGGGCGTGGGCTTAGCAAGAACTCACCAATGAGGAGCGAGGGCTCTTTGTTGTCCTCCACCAGCGAAGACAGCACCAGGAGAAGCGGTTGCGCCGCGGTTATCCGCTCCTTGTCGCACGTGTTGTCGTCGTAGACGATCACCTCCTTGAAGGCCCTGCGCTTGAGGATGTCCTTGCCCTCGCGGGTGGTGGCCAGGTCCGCCAGCGTGGCCTTGCCCTGCTGCAGCCGGCGCCGGTTGAACCTGTCCGAGCAGTTGACGTTGATGGCGCCGTTGATGTGGTTGACGTTGTAGGAGATGAAGGGCCGGCAGTCCAGCACGACGAAGGTCTTGGGCCCTTGGCGCGCCGCCTCCAGTTTCACTTTAAGGCCGTCGGGGTCCACCGTCTTCACTTTCTTGAGCACGAGGGCCCGCTGCAGCGTCGCGCTCTCGGCGCACGGGCTCGTGGGCAGGCTGACACTCGGGGTCTCCAGCTTGCACCGCTTCGGAGGACTTAGTGTGAGATGGCCGGGGGTCGGCGGGCCGGGCTCGCTAAAACTTCGGTTTAGAGGAAGCTTCAGACCGTCCCGCGGCCGACTGCTTTCGAGACACACTGACATGACGCTAGATTCGCGCGTCACGCGCTATATCTGGAAGAGTTGAGGAAAACTCACGTTTGTGCCAGCATATGCTGTTGTTCTCTTTATAAAAGCTATTACACCTCGCACCCTCGGCCGTCTTTCGACCCCCACGACGGCGGATTCGACGCGGTGGCCCCGACCACTGACTTATCGTCAACTGACTTAGAGACGTGAATAATGAATGAAAAATTCACTCAATGACTGGGTTATGCTGACCTGGGGATAATTACCGCTTCCTGCTGCATGCAATTAGGGCGCGCTGATGCCACCACTATACAGATTGACATCTCTCGCTGACGTTCGACGCTATTCAAAACGTTCCCACTGATCCTATGCCAAAAATTACTTTCGTTTTTACGACGTTCTATTTTATTACTAAAGAAAAGTTAAACTCTTATCTCGTTTCCTATCACGCACGCAAAAACTGAAATGACAAACACTGTTTATTTTGATTTTTTGTTTCTTATCTTCCTCGGTTCTAAACAGTTATAAAAAATGACCACCACGTTTTTCTTCTCGAATACCTTTCAAAATCAGGTGCAACACAACAACACGACTTGGGGATTTTAGTGCAGTTTCTTCGCTTCAAAAACAAACATCTTAGAACTGTAGTGACATGACTGGCAATTTTAAATTTCAAAATGCACTATTTTCGAGTCCGATTTTTTTCATTATTTCATTGCTGCTTGTATTAATAGCACGATATACTTTTCTACAAGGAGGCACAACAGTACTGCAGTTCATTTTTGGACTAAGCGGCAAATTATGAAATGAAATACCATTATGCACTGTTGATGAGTTACCAATTACATAAAACAGGTTTTCACACCATATGTATGTATTAGGTAGGTATACATATTGTTGACCATACATTTTCTACAGTCCCACTAAGAAGATAAAAATCGTAAGATACACCATATGATCGTAGGCCACGAAATTTGTATTTAAAATAATCAAGTTGGCGTTGTAGCTATTTGACAGTAACTGTCGTCAGACGATTTTATTTCTCATATGATACAACCAAAACTGACGGAATACATTAACACAGAACACAATTTTATTACAAGCTTTTCTAATTATTTGTACGAAAATTACATTTTTTTTCACTGAAGTACAAGTTTGTTATCAGCGTTTTTTTTTTTATTCTAAACAGTGACACTATTCTCAATTAATCTTTTTGTTGAAGTGAGATAATCTATTAAAAAATGTATGAATTGACGATTCTTATCATAAGCCACAAGTAGCACAGATATTCTTACGATAATTATAAGTATATTAAATACGTTTACTTACTTTTTTATTCTTACAATGGTTACTAGTACTTGCGCAGCCCCTTCTTAAGGTGGAAAGTTCCAAGTTATAATTGGAAAAATGATTTATTCAACTGGGATTAATTATAGTTTCGGTTTGTCCCGGAACTTGACTTTGCTTTTAAGAAAAATTATTCATGAACAACTGACTAAAGTTCCTGGAAGAATTTCGGTAACTTCAACAAATAACCTACCATTCTTAACGCAAACCGTGATTTGTGTATTCTCTTTTATTAGTGATAAGATAAAAAGGCACCTTATAACAACAATGACATTTCGAGGAGAAAGTAAAACGTAAAACTTACGTTTACGGGATGACCTTGAGTATAAATACATAATGACTTCATTACCTTGTTAAAAGTTTTGAGTGCAACGATAAACTCAAAATTTTACATTTAGGTTTACGTTCTCCATGATCACAAAAAAGTGTTTATTAATATTTGTAAGTTCACAATATCAGTAGTAGAAATAAAATTTACAAGTCGATTGTCTGAAAACTCTAAACGTCATCCTGATTGTGGCGGAAATCGTTCTTTCCATTGTATCCATAATCCCCCTTATTCCGGGATCGTAAACTTTATTGAATACGCTGAAACGTCACTACGAACAAAATAAGCGTAGTCGTGTTTGATGCACGGTCTCATAGTTCACATGTACGTTTATGTACATTTTCCAGTTTATAATTATCAATGTTTTAATGACATACTTGTCAAGGCTGCAGATTTTTGACAATGACTCAACGCCGCCTTTACAGCACGCAAAATTTTGATAAAGTCGGTTTCACAGTCGGTTAGAATTCCCCGATTAGTTCTGCGTAACGGGAGCAGGGGAGAGTGTTTGATTAATAGCTCCGGAATCTGGATTTGTGGGTAATTAACATACACTTGTCTAGTATCTCCTCTATCAATTCAAGGATAATATAAATTAGCGCCATGTTTTGGATCACTCGCATCAACGAATGGAACGAAGGGGAGGAGAAAAGCAACAAGTTGACAACAGATGAAATTTATCTCGTTAATCGATATTACGATCAGAGAACACACGAAAACATTAACAACGTTTTAATCAGGAGCAAATCGCGATTGTTATTACTTTAACTACCAATTATTATTACAATGAGTGATAAGATAACAATGGGTTTTGATAAGATCGCGTTCGCGGGATGGCGAAATTTTGACAGCTGTCAGGTTGTCACAGAATTCGCTGCCGCTGCTGTTTTGTTATCGGTGTTTCCAGTCCGAGCAAGCGGAAGTAAATGTAAAAGTTCAACAGAATTATCTAATCAGTGGGGAAATTGTGGTGGAGTAAACCGCGTCCGTTTGTAAATTTTCATTCAAGAATGTATCAATTCATTTCGTGCAGGATGTACGAGAAAAATATGTAGAATGAAGAAACTACGAAGGAATTCGAGAGAGTAGCGTTTAGCATATTAGATTTTAAAGGCCAAAGGAACGTACTTCTAAATATAGAACGGGGAAATGTCAACAAAGCGTAAGAATCGGAGAAAACAGGAAGATGTAATTGTCAAAAAAATAATAATAATAATAATTTAAAAAAAAAACTTGAAGACGAGTCGTGCGAGGTATAATTTTCATGTTTATTGATTGTTTATAAAATTGTCAGGCTTTGAACTGACGCACGGAATCGATGTAAGTTAAAGGTCGCGATGTAAATAAAACTTACCGACGAAGAGAATCCGTAGAGCCGTTAGGACGAAATAAATCCGAACCGTTTGACAACAGGTATTTAAAGCATTATTTACAAATAGGAACTACACTTAACAGGCACACTTCTCACACGGGCCAACATTTTCCCAACACAGAAATTTCCACTAGAGTTCTGGGAGTAAATGGGAGAGATGTCCAATATGGAACATCCTTAAAAGCGCGAAATTTGCGATACCAACTAAAATAACCTCGTACGCGTACAGCCGATGACGGATGAATATAGTCAATGAGTCATGCACCATACAAACCATTCAGTTCATGCCCGCATTGCTATTCCTTCTTTGCCATTGGCTGGGCCCGTCAGAATCACGCATGCGTGATGCGCCGATGACTAATACTCATAATTCCAGTCCAATCTTTCGAAAATGATTCATTGTAGTCGATAACTTATTCCCATACGACAGTCGGTCCGGCTATCTTGTTTAGATATAGCACCATTATAGATATTACATATAGACATTAGATAAGGCCGGCCAATTATTTGCCAACATTATTAACATTAAATAAACCTTGCTCACATCTGCCACAAACCGAGTATTTTCGAAATATGACTCACAAGCTATTCAATAATTACGCTTAAAGTCAACATTCCAAATTTAACAAATCAAAGTTTCGCCAAATAAACATTCCTTCTCGACTCCTCATTCGACAAATATTCACTTTGTGTCGCACCTGCTTGCGCTCTACATACTGAAAAAATTTCTTCGACTCGGACGCAAAATCGCCTACATTATCACCCTGACACGACACTTCTATGATTCATTATTTGTAAAAGCGCGTCATGGAACTTCTAACAGCATAAGTAAACATCGACAATAAATAATATCAATTAAAAAACGAAGCGCAATTCGACGCACACATTTTTATTTATATTTCTTAAAGGCTGCCGTAAAAGACCAAAATAAAACACTTAACGTGCTCACAATAGAATATCGACCCAAATACCTATAGATGTTACAAACGATATCAACCATGAACCATAGCACACGCTCGTACTCTACTTAATTAATCGTTAAATGTCGTAAAAACTACGCGAAAAAACTAATCGCAGTTAAATCAAACTTTACCTACTTTCTATGCACAAAATGATTCAACACTCATCGAAAAGAAAAAGTAAAACACTGATGACCTAGCTGTCGCTGGTGACTGCCGCTCTTTAAAAGATAACTTAATCAGTGCTCATTTTAAAACCCATCATCAAAATTAACACGGAAATGTGCTCCTGTTTTCGTTATTTTTGTAATATTTAAAAGCTTCGAAAATTGGCGGCCGCTGAAACTCTGCCAAATGATTCATTTTCCTACAACATTACATTTTACAGAATCATTGTTTGGAGGACCATTATCAAGAAATGGATAATAATGCAACAGGCGTTGTTTTGCATTGTCATTTTACATTAAGCCTCGTTTACACGATGTGTACACGTGAGTGGAGATTAACAAATTTCACACACTGGAAACCTCCACAGTGAAACTGCTTTTCCGACTTTCACCTTCTCTCTCCTCAAAATCATCGTACTTACGCTAACCCAAACAACAAAATTATGTTAAAAATACGAAAATCGGATCTCCTCGTCGGAACTGACAAAAAATTGCTTAACAATAAAAGTTTTCGGATTATAATTGACTGGTTTAAAACAATGTAGAACGCTTAAATTTCCCCGCTAATTAACCAGCTAACAATAGAAGATAAATCAGCGACGACTTCTGTAAAAAAAATTTTCTTTGTAAATCGGACTTCAGTTCACGTCAGCACGCTCAAAGTATGAACTTACAAATACTTCATTTATCGTCGTTTGTGTAAATCTGGTTTTAGTGGCCATTATGTAATTAACGTTTTAATTGTCTCCCCCACACATCGTATTCTTGTTTCAATTGTTCTGCCTTTACTTGTTATTGTCATTGTGTCTGTATTTGTTCTTTTAAATAATTATGTTGTTGTACACTGTCATAATTAAGGTTTTCGTTTATCCAGTGATTACTTCCTCCAGGCAATATTTCCTTCCACATTTCAACGTTTGCACTCCCTTTGCTGGTTATTACTCTACATCTGTGTTTGAGCCCATTCAGTGTCTCGTACTATCTATCTCCCTTTCACTCATTCCTATCCATATCGTCTATTCTTTCATTTTTCTTGTTATTGTTTATTATATATTTTTTAAGATGACTTGTTTGATAGTGTAAAGACATTTTCACAAAAAATTGATTAATTAAATTTTTGAAAAAGTGATAACAACTTTAGTGCGAACTATGCGTTGTATTCCGTAAATAAAATTAAAAAAAGACACCGACATCACTTTCTGTTGGGAAAATACAACCCACAACGCCGCGCAGTAGACAAAGGTTAAAATCACTGTCGGAAATATACATTATTACGTCAACTTTTCTGTGATTTTGATAGCACTTGGTAGAGATAATTTTACCGTTATTATGGTGGTAATAGTAAAAAAAATCGAGAACCAAGTTCAACATATTTTTCCATGCAGCAACGTCGATTATGATGATCAATAAGTAGTAAAAATGATCATAAAATGTCAACGTAACATTTGATAATTTAACCTTGAAACATTTGTCACTAAGTCATTATTACACAAAACACATAAAAAGTACACAAGAGACTTTTAATTTACAAATCCCTTGCAAAAGTTTATAGCGTGCAAGTAACTACTTAATCTACAACAAATTTTTTCAACATTACGTTTACACTAGTAGTTAGAATTTATAATTAACTGTAAAATACTTTATTTTTAAATGCAACCTTAGCAAATGACTGTATTTATCAACTTTGTGTAAAACACAAGTGTGTGGAAATTTTGATTTATAATAAGCTTATTAATATTGACGTTTTTATTTTCGTAGAAGAACCACCGGTTTTATGAACGTACAGTAGGCGTAAAAAAAGCCGATAAGCTCGTGCAGTGAGTAATAGTTCTTGTTTTTTACTTTCTATTTTAATAGGCGAAAAAATAACGCGCACTTATTGTGGACGAAATAGAAGATAATAATAGCATTTAACGAGTGACTTACATTTTAAAGGCTGGAAATATTATCATTATCACTGTTCAATGTTCCTGATAGCCGATTACTCATCAGTGTAATAATAATAATAATAGTAAACAGTATCAGTGACCCTTTTTAATATCACGATGTTAACGTTAATCGCTTATATAAATATATCTCCTTATTGCATTGTCAAAAAATCCCGCTGGTATATTATTCGCGGAAACATGTTTGATGATCTCACTTCTTGTTCTCATAACCACTATGTAAACAAATAATCGATGTGACATTAATCAGTGCCGTAAGCGGAACTGGATGAAAGCTTTTTTGTGCTTGAAAAGCTAATTTATACACGTTATTCATTTAGGGTTCATTGCAGTTACAAAACGTACTAATTTTTTATTTTCGTGCTTTACAACTACATTATCGTTAAAGAATTTTAATTTCGAGGACAGATAAAATTAATAAAAAGCGTAAATATATATTAAATTTTTATTGAAACGTTAAGTCCTTTCTCTGAGTCATACTACTACTGTAACGCAATTAGAGTATTTCAAAACTCGCATTTTATCAACAATTGCTGCAACATGAAGACAGCTTTACAAGTAAATTGTTTGCAAATCAATATACCAACAAACAACTGTTCTCTGTTGTAATAAAATGATCGGGTTAATTAATATTGTTTTATTTTGTAACTATACGTCCATTAGATTATACAACGTTTGTTTGGCGTTTAAATTTCGAAACGACGGTTTCTTAGTACAGTGAGATAGTAAATGGGGATTTTATTGAATCCTGACGCAAGATTGATTTTATATTCGATTTTGTGGTTTCCAATTGGGAGCAACAATGCTCAAAATTTGCGCCATTGACAAGTGAAACGACTCTTAGGTTAGGCAACCAACAATACACAATTTTGCGTCACTAGTTATAGCACATAATGAGAATGAGTGCATACAAACCCACGTATTAACGACGAATCTAAAACAGGTCTTCAGTGTATTGCACTATTTTCTGGAGGATAAAAATACTACATGATGCCAACAGTGTGGATAGATTTATTACCAAGACGAGTGCACGTTGGGTTGCCTAATACCCGTAATTAGTCTACGAAAAGGATGAGAAAGATTACGTCTAATGTACGTGGGCAAAATGCAAATGACAAAATCGTCGTAGTAAATTTGTCCATTCACCCTTGAAGTTGGCGATATGATTAAAGAAAACGGAAGTTTTTTAACTTAAATATTTTATTAACTTAAATACAACAATATAAATTGAATTCCTCAAGTGCCTATAGGATTCTATGAAGTCAATAGTAAATACATAAATAATAGAAACAGAAACCGATTGAAATCGTACGAAATTGTAACTAATGTCGTTTATAGTTATATAATACAAATATATACAGTACGCATTTTATTATCACATGTTGATATTAGACAGCTTTAGTGTTAGTTAATTGTGGCCATTCCTTACATTACGCTAAACCTAATATTGCAATATAAAGATAGAAAACTAACAAAACTAATTTTTTTGGTATTGGAATCAAGAAAAGCAAATATTCTCTTGAATTTGTACATTCTTGACTGAAGAGGCACACAGAGAATAATAATATATAGCACTTGTGGATGATGGTAAAATAATACTAATTTAACGCTTGGATGGTGGTAGGAGATGGGTTGGTAGCTCTGCTGGTAAATCGTTCCCGTCGATTTTAATATTAATTAGATGCATCGCTAAAGCAAACTCTTCGTTATCCAGCATGCCATCTTTATCCACGTCCGCCAGTTTCCAGATTTTGCTCAAAACGGTATTAGGCAACTTCGATTTTTGCATCTCACTCTTTGCAGCTGGAAAAGAGTTGGATTTTAAAACAAATATTTGAACCAATTTATGATGTCATATCAATAAATTCTTAATAACCAGGTAATATTTACTTTTGATTACTTATCTCGTTTGTTTTAGCCTCTAATCAAACTACACCTTTGAATGGTTTGCTTAAAAACACACAAACCTGGAGAAAAAGTATTAATTTAATTTAAAGTAATACATAGTTTAATTTGAATTGCTTATTTTCGGTGCACAACCAGGCCAACCTCACTCCTCTAATTACTCTGATTTAATTCGTCGGAAAATGAAATACTGTTTCGGCAACTATTATCTCCGGGAATTTTAAATCAGTCATAAACTTACTCACAGATTAAATAATTGGCTAGAAATGTGGAAAAAGTTATAAACATTCATCTAGGCTTGGAAGTGAGGAATTTCAGTGTAGCTAGCATGTGAATTTTTATGACTTTTTAACTCAGATTTTACAGCTCCAAATATAAACAAGTTTTATTAGGATATTTCAGGTGGTGAGGCTGCACATGTTCGCGAAACGCTAAAACCCTAACCGGCAAATTAATGATTCACCCGAAAGTAGGGAATGTCAATCTCGCCCATTCGCCCATTAAAAGATTCATTACGGAGGAACTCTGCGTGCCAAAACGTTTTTATTAACGTTTAGTCGACTATTTTTGTAGCTGCTGGGATCTCGCTATCACTAAAAATATTGGCAAGAAGGCAAATGCGAAAAACTTAAACCATAGATGGTTTAAAGTCATACATCGATTTGCTGTATTCGAACCCGGCCATAAATCGTCATAAATGTGCCATAAAAATTCACGTCCGACATCAAAATCGATGGATTTATGATCCAGCGCGTTTTCGATAAGTCGAGATCACGAGTATTGTAATCGTCAATTTTAAGAGGCAAACAAATCTGGGTTGATATGCAATTAAAAAGTAGTGGTTCGCGTTACGCACCAAAGATAATCCTGCCGCTGCGGTTTGAGTTTTTGTTTAAGACAAAGTGAGGTCAAAAAGCCTGGTCCAATGAAACTCGTGTCCATGCTAAGTGACAGATTTTTAGTTTTTAGTACTCTTTTGAGTCATGTCACTCCCGGACCGGCGATAAAAGCTTACGTTACAGTTGCGTAAACGGAAAGTGGGAAGCGCCGGTTTGTGGGTTTTTCATTCCAGTTGAGTGGTCTGATTAGAAATTTCGTTGAGTCAGTAATCAAAAGTACAAATTCGGTTACATAACGCTATAGATATCGGCGATAAGTAATCTTACCCATTCCTGTAACCTTCCCGTCGGCGGTAGCGATTTGGTCAAAAATTTGATCATATTTCGGTTTTTCCCTATTGACAATCCAGTCAATCTCGCCTGACCCGGCATCAATCCCTTCTCCTTTTTTGTATCCAAATGGTGACACGGTGTCCTCCACGCTAACAAAAGCCCCGCCCTTAACATTGCCCATTGTTTCCTTATTGTTGTCTTCCTCTAGCGGTATTTTAGCCATTAAATTGGCGATATCGTCAGCTAGCATTCGGTCGACGATTTCCAACAGCTTGGGTTTAAGCGGGTGGAACTTGGTGAAGTCCTGGTTAGCCAGGGTTTCTTGCATCTTCTTAATTTCGGGAAAATCCCCGGGGGAAATTTGATGTTCCTTTTGCAGTCTTTCATATATCACGCCCAGACTCTTAATAAGCTCCTTCTTTTTGGACTCCTTGCCTATGAACGAAGGCATTTCTTTCCTAAGCTCGGATATAATATAAGCGTGGACTTTGGCTAAGCGAGCTCGTTTAATTAAGTCGTTCAGCTTTCGCAAAGCCGCGTTCTTCGGCAGCGATTGCAAGTCTTTAAACAAGTCTTGTTCCTCGTCCTCGAACAGGCGTCGGTTGACGTCGTAGCGGAGGGGTTGGTCCCAGAATGAGCCTATGTAGACTCTGGCGACTTCAGGGGTCTGCAGGACTTTGCCTAGTGACCACATCAGGGCGCCGTACACGCGCATCAACTGCTGGTGGTCGATCATGTCGGCCTTGTTCAGCACAATACGGATTTTATCGTCGTGCCCACGTAAAGCTTCAATTGAACGCCTGAACTCATCAGAAATGTCCAGCTTGTGTGCATCAAACAGGAGGATTATTCTATCCACTCGTTCGGCGAACCACTCCAGAACCCCCGTGAAGTCGTAACCCCGGTCCACTCTCTGTTTCTCGCCGGAGAGTATCCCGGGGGTGTCTATGATGGAAATGTTCTGGAGCACGGGGGAGTTGACCAGGGAGCACTGCAGGCGGTTCAAGAAAGAGTTGCCGAACTTGGAAAGGGGGCGGAATTGCCTTTTGGGGTCGACAACTAGAGCATTACCTGGAATTATTCCCTCTTTGTCGTCGTACATTACGGCGATGAACCTATCGGTGGTGGGCTCCGGGCCGATTCGGATTCCCGGAAAGTCCCTCTCGAGAAGGTATTTTATAAACGTTGTTTTACCAGTCGAGTACTGTCCCACTAATAGTATCATCGGCTTCGCATCGAAATCTGAGTCTTCCAATTGCGGCGAGTGAAAGTCGTGGAACTGATAATGTTGCTCCAAAGGCAGTAGCTTATTTTTGTAAATGGTCTTAAGTCCTTCGACCACATTTGAGTACACTTCTGTCTTATTATTGTCCCTGCTTAACCAACTAAACATTTTGACACCGGTTATTTCACTGTCTAACTAATAAATAACTCTATACGACGACAAGTCGGGCCGAATGACATATCTAGTGAAAAATTAACTGATGTGATTACACGCCTGATGCTGGTGGGAGGGGACCAATTTCACTGCCAACGTTGCACTTTTAACCTAACGGTGCAGCCAACCAAACAGCAAGGATTACCCCAGCCGATCATACACTTCCAATAGGATTCCATTCTGATTTAAAAAACGATAAATAAAATAGATACAATTATGAACCGGAACTTAGGATAGGCCACCAACTATACACACTGAATGGTCCGCAACCAGTGGCGTAGCAGACGCTTTTCCCACCAACAACGTTCCAAATTTAAACACAAACAAAGTTGCCACCACTATTAAAAAGCCAAAACATTAGTACCGAAGAATTCAGAGAAGCTACAGCTTTGACACTGATTCTAATTTTAAGCTATTATGGAGAACATGTTGAAATTCGCATTCAATGTGAAGCGAAGATGAATAAATTGAAATTTTAATTTTTTGTTATAGTCTTGCAAACAACTGTCGGTACAATTTTTATGTAAATTAGGAGCTCAAACGTCAAGCTGTCTTTGGTAAAAACGGTTTATCTCCGGAATGCCAAATTTTACAACTTTAAATGATTATAGATAATATTTATTGTATTATACCCATAATTTGTTACATAAGCATATCGTTTTATTCACATCTAATGATAACACTTCCCCTGTACCTTTTTACTGATAAACAAAATGGAGTGTGAGTATCCTTGACTTTTTATTAAGGCAGCTCCTATAGAATATTGGAAAAAATTAGTCTAAAATTATCTAGAAAGAGCTGTCCTCACCTCTGACGGTGTGATCAAAAATTTTTCTTTTCTTTGGTTAGTGGGGTAAACTTACACGTCAAAACACAACTTGCCAATTTAAATTTCGACTAAGATTATGATTGTTTTCCGAGTCATGAACAACGGGCGGAATTGTGTTTCATACGCTAGATCCAGTGCTGTCGCGGCGATAGTTTGATTACAAATATATTTTTCTTTTGGACTATATCAACATAATATAACATTTCAAGATCACAAATCTGTGGTCCTGTGTTTGAAAAATTAAAAAGGGCATCGAGTATTGTTTTTTGAAGTAATATAGTAATATAGAAGTAGTTTTTTAACAAGCTGTAAACACTCCTAGCGACGCACTGGCTACGACCTTGTGGACCAGATCAAAGCGTCCCCGCTACTCGCCGTAAAACACACCTTGCTTCAACTGGGGAATTGCATCCGTAAGATAAATTTCCGCCTACTGGTCATGAATGATGGATTGACTGGCGAAAACACCGAAGGACGTTTCAATGGCGGTAAAAATTTAATTTCAAATCCACTGTTCCACAATTTTACAATTTTAGCAAAGTACGAAACTGATTGCCTTGAATTTTTTCACGTGGTTTAAGATTATTGTGATAATAAATCGGTAAGCAAAATTCAACTTTTCATCATTTCTAATAACTTGATAACGTTATCTTATAATTTTGCGATGTCAATCCGATTCTAAGTAGGCTGAATGTGCATGCACTTTCTTAACAAATTCTTAATTTGTGGAATCGTTTGTACAGAATGTTTAAACAAGAAATAAATAAATAAAAAAGAGACAATTTATTTTAGTGACTAACTTATAACGGGTTTATCCCAATTTCCTGAAATTCTTGGAACACAGTAATCGTTGCTATTAGAATTACACACAAAATATGTTGCTTCGCTTGTGCTTCAGCAAAGACAAAATTTCTCTCTAAGCAATTTTACACCAATTTTTGCAAATAAACAAAAAAAATATTATTTTTCTTTGAATTTGAGTGTTTTTTAACGTGCTTGTCATTTTATTTCGTAAAGAGATTTCAATCTTGTTGCAAAATAATTCAACAATCTATACATAGATTGCTGTTATCTTTCTTTCCACTGAATTAATCAAAAATAGCGTATATCTTGAGAAGTACTATTGCTTGCGTAAGGTTTACGTACGCCACTGGTAGGGTTCATTATATTCACACGATTTGCATAATTGTCTCAGTTTATTATTTTTTAAATAAACGCGAACCTCCGGTTCCTGTCCTAGTAGGAGTAGCAAAACGGCCTTCACTTAATTTTTAAATTGCTTCTTCAAGGTTACAGTTGCTATGATTGGGTACGATTTTGACAGCCGGCAACGTGCATCTCTTGGTGGGGGAAGTAGGTGGGGGTACGTTAGTAGGCGTGAATAACAATGCATGTGGTTGCCATTGTTTATTCTAAGAAAAAAAAATACATTTATAATAGTTCAAATTTCATCTATAGTAAAATAATATATTTAAGACATACTCTCTTCCTGTCGTTTCGAAGACAATACTAATTAACTATTGTCATTTGTGTTTTATCACAACAAAGAAGTTTTGAAAGAGGTATATAAAGGAACGGCTGCCCGAAACAACGCCTACTTCTATTTAATACTCTAATCAACGATCACCTGGTGTGTCGTGATCGGCAACAAGATACAAGAACTGAAAAGCAATGGCCAACAGTGAAATCCCCAGCAGGTCCCCGATTGACGTCAGATACGGAATAGCCGAATTATCGGGGTCGATTTTCTTCTTCCACATCCAGTGGATCATGATGTACGCCACATACAACAAAGTCGCCACTTGCATCACAGCTGCACATAAATATACTACAACGAACAGAGAGCTAAGGGATGTGTCTCCACCCTTCATGTAATCTATGGTATATATGAAAATGACGTGTCCGGGGATGACCATTGACATTAAAACGCGCGTCGTCCGCGCATGTGCTCCTTTGCCACAAAAACTCGTTACGGGTGATATGAAGATGACCGTGTCTTCGTCAACGTTCGACTCTGAAGTGAGAATTCCTAACTCGGCTTGCTTATGCAGTGCTGTGGAGATGCGGCTAGCCTGAACCGCCACCAGGTTTCCGCCAACGCCGTTGATCACCGGCTGGAAAACGGCGATACCTTCGAACCGGGACACCATAAAGTCTAGGATTAGGCCGCCCATTGAACTTATCAACATTGCCACCACCACGGGAGTCCAGCCGTGGTACAAGACGTCTTTGGTGTGGATGTTTCGTTTAGCGATCCATACCCACAGCGGAATGGCCAAAATGTAACCGGCGATTATGAGAGGGGCCAACCAGTCCTGAGTACCTGGCAAGAAAACACAACGTCAGCACCAGTAAGGCACGTAATAAAAGAAATATTGCTCATATAAGCATATAGTTAAATAGCGGAGGTTCTGATCCACTTTTCTCTGAACTAAAAGATCTACGTCCCACTACAATTTCAGACCTGTTCTGTCAGGGGCAAGAATATGAATTTCCTGACAAAAGTGGTGCTGAACCGGCACTATTTACGTAGCGTGTAAGATATATAAGTAACTATTTTAGTCTATTTAACACTGTTAAGATATTAACTCAATTTATTCCACTTTTCAAGATTCCAACTAACTATAGAGGGTCAAGGTCACGCAATTTTTTCGTTGCAAACTTAATCGATATCAAAATAAACTAGTAACGATAAGGTAAAAAGATCTGAAGGAAAAAATTCATGGCAGTCAAGTCTTGAATTTAACGAACTTTTATAAAAAATGTAAATATAGCTTTGGTTTTGTAGAGATTATCAATAAAACGCTTAATTGTTTATTATATAACAGTTGCGTCAAATGTAAGCAAATTGCTGTGATATTAATTTAATTCTGACCTTTTGTATGATATGTATATCTAAAACACGCATGGATGAGAGAGAGAGGAACGATAGAATTATCATGTTTGACATTCATTGTGCCACGGCCTCGTAACCCCTATTAGTAGGGTTTTCAGTGACATGTCAAACAAGCACATCATAATCGCACTTCTTACGGTGAACTTACCAAGAGAATCGTATAGAAGCGTCGATACCCATGACAGTAACGTCAATGATGTAATATCCCCTAAACTTGCAGCTATTGGGGTTGCAACATTATCGGGGTTGATATGACAATGCCTTGAGAAAACAATAACGCCAGCTGTTATTAGACCTAAGACGAAACTTGCTATGGATACTGTTACTAAACTACTGGCACATAAAAGATAAGCACGATCTAATTCGACGTCATAACTTTTAATGGCTCCCATTACAACGGCGACTACGGCTCCCAAAAATCCTACGACTATAGCCTGACACTAAAAAGAGGGATTTTAAACGAAATTTGTGCAAATGGGAGGTGAATACCTGGATAAGTATTAAATTGCCTACAATAATACTTATTTTTTGTTTGGCTGTATCCATATGGCCGAGATTGGCTTGTGTGGATAACCTGGATGCGAGTGTCATTTCTAAGTTGCCTTTTAAGCCCAGAAGTGCAGGAATGAGTATTACGAGTTCAGTGATTTCTTCAAATACTGGCCAATGCTGAAATATTCGTGTTAGCGAGAGTGTAAGATGTGGGGTGCGATCCCGTGAAGTAGTAAATCATGGGTGAAGGTTTTGGGTTGCTTCAGAGGATCGCACGAAGAGAGAGAAAGAGAGAGAGGGATTTACCTGTATCCTGTCTAGGACTAGTCCTGCGAACACCATTCCAAACCCCGCGATAAGGAAAGGGATAAAAACTTGTATTGCGATCGAAAAATACGTCTCGCGTATTTGATCCTCATCGTCATAAATCTTCGCCTCAACAACAACATCTGGAAGTCTTCCATTATCATCGTTATTATCCTGTGGAGACTTGACGAGGGTTATTTCCATATCTATTGTAGGACCGGTATCGAAGGCACTTGATGGGCTCGGTGTATCTGAGGATTTCCGCGAAAGTTGAACATGATTGGTACTGCCCATGGCTTTTGATCCATAGTTTTCTTCACTAAAACACAATAGAATTTGAAAGTGGGAAAAGGGCGAGCTTTGCGTACCTTGGATGATAAAAAGGGTCTGGATTATGTTGCGTTTTGGCAATTTTTTAGGCTCAACGGCCCATCGGACATACACGCGACTACATCATGTGACGAACTGAATGTATCGATTTTGTCTACGTCTAGACTCATGAGGAACGTCTCGACGGTGGTTGTTACCGGCAACACGACTGCGCGAAGGGCTCTTTTGACGTAAACCAAAGGTCAAAAGGGTGTTTGGCGGGAAAGGGTGGGGTCGCACGCAAGGACTAGTTTACGGAGAAGACGTCACCCAATGATTAGAGGAACACGTTGCGTAACCGTCTAATCCTACATGGAATTTGAAATCGCGGATCGAACGATAATCATATTTTTAAATTGACCTTATACCCTCTGATAGAGACACCCTAGCGATAAATTACAGAGGACGTATGTTAATTTGGGGTTTGAGTAAAGTTCGACGGTGACATTATTACGAAATTCGAGATGACGATAGTAATTACTTTTTTCTTGAACGTCTAGCGGAAGTAATTTGCTGTTAAAAAGTAATTTATTACGTATGCTGATAATACCTAAAGAGCCGAATAATTTCGGACCGACAATTCCATTAAACTGCCTTGACGATACTTTACTGTGTTAAGTTTGCCCGTTTTTTATGAAATAATTAGCTCTTTATCAAACGCGCCGAAATTTTGAAACGAGAGTAAGCAGCGGTTGTGATACAACATATGATGGGATGTTGGGAAATGTTGCGCTTTTCAGGTGTATGTTTAAATCGACAGGCGGGTAAAAGTGACTTACATAATTTGAAAGCGCCTATTGCCTAGGTTAATCTTATTGAATATAATAGCAAATTTCCGGTGCTCTAGTAAAAAGTAAGTCAACTTCTGACACAGACCTGAAACTAAATCTAACTTGGAAGCATCGTGTTTGCAACTAAGCTTACTCGGGATCAGTGGTGGAATTTGAAAAACTTACCCCGTGGTCATCTGCAACTCTTGTTGTTTCTTCTAGTGTGAATTCGTCGCTTGTTTTGTTTAAAATCCATAATTCTCGTGGGAATACATTTATACTCACAAACACTTAAATTTAATGATGATATTTTTCTACAGGATGCTAATTAAGTGATTCGGTTGCGAGCTGGAATAAGACGTGCTTTTTTCGTAGAAACTTGTGATGTTTTGAATTTTATTGCACCTTACAATTGTAAGTCTTACTCCAAACTGCTTTCTGCGCAATTGTCCGGCAATAGCCACAAGTTATTATGGTCATTATACTATTACGCCCTCATAGCGTCGTTTAAATGCGTGAAAATGGCCCATGAATTTGCTATGAGCGAGAGCCTTGAGTTACACTATTTGCAATTGGTGTCCGGATCTACTTTACTTCCGTAATAAACATCGCACGCCCTGTATATTAAAAAACGGTTACATGAAATAGAAAATTTATTTCTTCTTTTTGTATATGTATATGTACATAAGGATAGCACCAATGAAGCAAGTGGAAATTGATCACGTACGTCATTCTTAGTCCCCTACGTCGCTGTCCCGGTCCCCAATCAGGAACAAGAACTGGAACGCGATTCCAAGAAGCAACGTGCCAAGAAGATCTCCCAGTGCCGTCAAATAAGGAATAGCGGAGTTGTCCGGATCGACGTGGTGTTTCCACATACTAAGGGTCATAACTTGGGCTATATACAATAGGAGTGCCACCTGAAGAATAGCGGCTATCAAATAAACAATCATAAAAATAAGTGTAAAAGAAGTATGACCGGCTTGAAGATAGCTAATAGTATAGGAAAATATCAAATGCCCGGGTATAACCATCAACATGAGCATGCGCGCAGTACCAGCATGGCTGGTTTTGGCACTATCACAGAACGCGGAGCATGGGCTCACGCAGACTTGCATACTACTCGGTAATTGGCCTGGTTTTGCTTTACTATGAAGTTCCGTCGAAATTCTACTAGCTTGTACAGCAACCAAGTTTCCACCAACTCCATTAATGACTAGCTGAAAAACTGCCACACCCTTATATTGTGACACAGTAAAATCTAGAATTAACCCCCCCACGCTGCTGATGATCATAGCAGCGATCACAGGTGACCACCCGCTGAACAAAACGGTACACGTATATTCGTTCCGGCTGGCGATCCAAGCCCATACTGGCACTAAAATCAGTCCTATAAAAATAATAACTCTGGTAAACCATGGATGACTATCCATTGTGTTGTAAAATAACGACGCTAGCCACGATAGACAAGCTAAGGTCGTCAGATCACCCAAACTAGCAGCAATCGGAGTTGCCACGTTGTCTGGGTTAATGTTAAAATGGCGCGAAAAAAGTATTACACCGACCATGATTAAACCTAGGATAAAACTCGCCCCAAAAGCGGTCACAAGACTACTGGCACATAGTAAAAGGGCGTGGTTTATGTTAATCACCCCTGATGGCACCCAACCGAAGATAACGGCTGCTAGAGAAGCTAGGAACCCCACGACTATCGCCTGGCATAAAATTAAGGCTAGGTTGCCCACCACCAAACCTAGCATTTGCTGGCGTGTATCCAAGTGACCTAGATTGGCATGGGTGGAGAGCCTTGACGCCAGCGTCATTTCTAGGTTGCCTTTGAGGCCCAGCAATGCAGGTACAAGTATGTATACTTCGGAAACTTCCTGGTACACAGTCCAATGTTGTACTTTATCCAGGAGAAGACTCGCAGCCACCATCCCGAAACCGGCAAGCAGAAACGGGATGAACATTTGTATCGAAGTCGCCCATAATGACTCTTTTTGTAGTGTCACTACTTCTGGCTGACTTCCGCTGTTTTTTTCAAGCAATGTGCATGTATCTGAAGCCCCTTCCTCGTCCCACTGTAAAAGCCACATAAGACAAGCAAACGAACAGAAAAACTACTTACGGCTTCTTGGTATTTTTGATTCATGCTTACTGAGCCATCTAATGGTTTTCTGCGTTTTTTTGCTCTACGTTTCAGATTATGTCGGCCGGCACTTGACTCCATTGTATGTAAAAATTATTGCTTCTATAAAAACCAAATTATTAATTTATACGAACCGATAAAAACTAACCTCAAATTCAACATTCTTTGCATTTTGATTCTACTGTTAACACTAGACGTAGTTAGGACTTAGCACTTGAAGACTGATTTTAATTGTGCATTAACACGTACACAAATTAAAATCTCAGTAATCAAAAACATTGCCACACTAAACGTCAAAAGCCAATGCAGGGCTGCCAACCTTGGGTGCACAGATTGCTGAGAAAAGTCCAAGTCCAAGATGACGCACAAAATTTAAATAAATCTGAGATTGTTAGCCGAATTTACATAATTTATTTTCTGTTTAAAAACATTCTATTTTTGGAACACAAAATCATTAGAAAGTATAAAACGGGCTACGATACAATTCAAGAACATCTGATTCGACCTTCGTTTATAAATTCATTAAAATTGTCCACAGTTTATCAGTGTGGCTCACATTTTACTTATGATAACGAATAGCTCACATACAAAGGTAAATACCTGTTTGCAACAAACCAAGTTCAGAGTGTCGTTAGCTCGACTTTTTATTTTTAATTGCAATTTTAAACACAAAAACAAGCATTCCAAATAAATGCGCCTGGTGTTCAAACCTTATACAAGACCCACCTGAGGCCTGAGCCTCAGGAACAACTTATCAAAAAGAAACACTGATTTGTACATATGTGTGTACAACTTTCTGGTACTTGAATTACTTATAGTAAATCTTAAAGAACAAATAATTTCTTGTTTTTGTTGAATATAGTTATGTAACACTTTTGCCACCATCTTTGTTTCCCTAGATGCTGTTCAACATGTTATCGAACTCGGTTGTTATCGTGCATCCAGTCAGATAACGTATACTTATTGTCGAACGTGAAATCTGGGACACCGCCGTTTATACTACGTGCAAGTAACTAACATGTGGTCACGTGGACAAACAGTTTCGCATGGTTGTAAAACCTACATAAAAACCTTCACTGTAAACTAAAACCAGCTAAAACTACTTCCCCACCGCACGTGGGTTTTCACACTTTACAAAGCAAGGAAAGGGGTGTAAAACTCCACACTCGAAATACCTTCATCAATCTAAGTGACTTAAGTCCCGGTTGCTTATTGTATGATTGCAATAAAGCAATGAAACCACTTCAATTATCGGCTTAAAAATAGAGCGCTTGGTGTCTAAAAATAAGTAGCCGGTTAACTGTACGAAATCAGACAGAGTCAGTAACAGGTCATCGTATTTAGTACAGCGACATGACAAAAAGTAGTCACTTTCAGAAATACTGTGAGAAAGCAATTGCGAAATTGTCAGAAGATGATGTTGACAAGTTCAAAGCAACTACACGCGAAGAGGAACGAATTAAGTTGTTGTATGATGTTGCCAAGACAATCCCCGTCGTTCCGGTGAATAGTGGGAAGAGTTTCGACCAAGCCCAAGAAGCTAAAATAAACGGGAATAAGTTTTTCGCGGCGAAGAAATACACCGAAGCTTTGAATGAATACAATCGGGGAATTATTGTTTGTCCACAAGATACAGGTACGTAGTGTTTGTAGCACCCCACAACTAAACCATATTTTTAGATAAAGGAAGAGAATTGTTGACTATTCTTATATCTAACCGCAGTGCTACCTTTTTCGAACAGGACGAGTTTCGGAAAGTTTTCGACGACATAGATTATGTTTTAGCAGTTGGAAGCTACCCCCAGAAACTCCACTACAAAATCTGGTTAAGAAAAGCCAAATGCTACGACGCGTTAAACAACGAAAAGTACGCCGAAGAGACGTACGAGTTAGCCATCAAAAGCTTAAAACACGCAGAGTTAGACGAAAAAGGCTTAGCAAAGAAGATATCAGAAATACAAGATTTGCAAAAGAACAAAAAACCGTCGTCTTTCAAAAACCATGAAGTCATTCCGGTTTCAAATTCTGACGTTTTTACAGGAGGAAACAAGGAGTACGTTGCCACCCACAAAAACATATATTTTGATTACGACCCTCTGTTAGGTCGGTTTGCTCGTGCTGTCGAAAATATAGAAACTGGTGTCATTATTGTTGAAGAAAATCCCCACTGTGCGGTGGTTTCGCACGAAAATACGCTCAGCAATTGTCAGTTTTGTTGTTCGTCGACGAAACAACCATTCGCTTGTCCTCATTGTGGTCACGTGGTGTTTTGTAGTCTTAACTGTGAAAGAAAAGCTAGTATGACTTTTCACAGAGTGGAATGTAAACTGCAACCAATTTTGTTTCTATCAGGGGCTTCCATAAACTGCTCGATGGCACTGAGGATGATTTCGCAAAAACCTCACGGCTTCTTCCAGCAGAAGAAGAAACTGTTGAAAGACTTTTTAAAAGATAGTTGTAAGAAGGTTCCAATAAAGAATCAGATTTACAGATCTGATGACTACGTGACGGCGTTCTTTCTCTGTAGAAATGAACAAATGCGGAAGAAAGGGGAACTTGTCCACTACTCCGTAATGGCGATTTTTTTGCTACGCCTTCTCAAATTTGGTGGCTATTTTGGCCCCACAGTTAAAGATGACGTTGTATCAGAAGAAGAGGTCTTCATTTCAAGCCTAATTTTACGTCACCTACAGATTCTTCAATTCAACTCTCACGAAATCTCCGAACTTCGTAACATGGTAGAGGGCGTGGTCGATGGTATACAGACTTCCTACAAGAGTGAATGTATAGGTGCTGGACTCTATCCTACACTGGCACTTTTCAACCACTCATGCGACCCTAGCATAGTCCGGTATTTTCACCTTTTGTTCTAAAAACATAGTTCTAGTATTTTCTTTTAGTTACAATATTGGTAATCGGATGATCGTCCGAACTATCAAACCAGTCAAAGCAGGGGACATAGTTTACGAAAATTATGGCCCCATATACACCAGCATGGATGTGGATGAACGACGGACGAACCTTCAAGAACGCTATTGGTTTGAATGTTATTGTCCACCATGTCAAGAAGAGTGGCCCCTCTTTGACAACATGGACCCCAACCAAATAAAAATCGGTTGTCAAACTGAAAATTGCCCTTTCGAGTTTACTTTGTACAGAGACGATTTCTGTCCATATATGCAGTGTGATTATTGCAACAGCGTTGTCAAAATCTTTCCTTATCTTAAAGGGCTTTCGGTGAGTAAGGTCGTGATGTTGGATTTTGTTGAGATCTTTGATTTGTAGCAACTAGCACTGTTGCTACCCAAAGCTGAAAATTTCTACGCTAAAGGAGAAAGCCGTGAAGCTATGAAACTGTTTATGCAGTCGCTGGATATACTGTACAAGTATTCAAAACCCCCATGTCCAGATATGGTGAAGGTACAACAACGCCTGAAGACACTTTTTGTTCATTTAGGTAACAAACAAGTTGGTTATGTACAAAATTTGTAATTTTTTAATTGAATAAACACTGATTGATATCACTGGTGGTTTATTGCTACTTAAGTAGGAATGGTGGGGAAACGTAAAGATTACATATCTGGATCCGTTTTGATTAGTTATTATCAATGACCATTGTATTTATTGTTTAGTTACACCTGAGCGGTTAAAGTGTCACTTTCCTGGAAGTTATAGTGTGTATCATGGTTTCTAATAAGGTTCTATTGCTAATTACCGCAGTAGTCGGTAAGTACTAAAATACTTTAACAGTAATTAAATTGGCAACTTTCGTGATTAATTTGTTTCAATTAATGATGATTAAATGATATGAACGAAGAATAATAGTTAAATATCATTTACAAAATTTTGACAATTGGTAGTAAAAAATTTACTTTGACGTAAACATTTTATTGGTACTTGCATTTAACAAAAACCGTAATTCCGGGTTGGAATATTTGTAAATCATAGCAGTAGTACTCAGGCTGGAGATAATAGACCACCTGCTTTAGTTAATGCTATTCATCAGAGATTGAGAAATATCAGTGTCTGGGCACAATAAATAGCAGGTGTATGCTGCAGGTGGTTTCCTAATTTGATAAGATAATCCTTTACAATTCTCAGGTGTTAATAACAAATTTTGAAAAACGTATACCTACACTTACAGGTTTAGCGACATTTTCGTTAGCTGATAGTAGCTGCAATGGAGACGATTCTTGCAAACTAAAAGATTTACCTTGTATGTATGTTTTTGAAGTATGAAACCTTGTTATTCTCACACTATTATTTAAGATGTAACTGAATACTACGGAGAATGCTCAGATAATTCTCAGTGTGAGTGGTTAGGAGAAAACAGTGAGTGTAACTACGTCTGCAGGTGTAAGGAAGGGTACCGATGGTACTTAGGTAAATGCAATAAATTTGTCGGTTTGGGAGAAGAATGTTCAGACAGTTTGGACTGCTATGATGGATATAACCTTCAATCTTTAACTTGTCTTAGTGGAACTTGCGAATGTACCAATGGTTACTACCGAAGAAACGACACAGATTGTAGGAAAATTGCTTCTAGTACGTACTTTTTTCGTTTGAATTTGATATATAAGTAAAAATTTCAGACGTTACTGATACTTGCGCTTTGGATATCGATTGTCAAGTCAACGGAGTAGAAACTGTTTGTGTTCTCGGAAAGTGTCTACCTCCAGAAGAATCCGGATCAGAAGAATATTTGGAACAAGTCGAAGAAAGATTTTTTTCTTTCAGGGTTGATGAAACAACATGTACAGAAGACGCCGATTGTAAAGCCATTAATAATTCCTATTGCTACGACAAAACAAATACGTGTATTTGTCAACCACAATACTTCTTTAACGACGATGGTACTACCTGTATACCTGAACTGGGTGTCGAAGCTGGTTGTACCGAAGATAGTGACTGCGTTATAAAGCCTGGGAAATGCGAAGATGGCGTTTGCTACTGCCGTGATTACTATTTTACAGCCGAAGGAAACAGAAAGTGTGTCAAAAGTAAGTAAGAGATAAACAGTGATGTTTGTTTCTAACGTAATTTGTTAGCAATTAGTCAGAACAACTGGAACTGCCTTTCCAAGGAATGGTGTTATGCATTGGGACCTTACTCATATTGTGAGTCCGCTGGTGTTTGCAACTGCAGCAAAATATCAGACTATGACGAAAAGAATAACTTGTGTCTGTGGAATGGAGAAAATGGTAATAATACTTACTATTTTAGATTTTTTTTTCATTTTACTGGTTCCACAGATCCAGATATGTGTACTAATGATCTTGAGTGCAAATATATTCAAAATGGCTACTGCGTTGATGAGTTATGTGGGTGTCGCAAAGGCTATGCCTTGCAGGACAATAGATGTGTCCCAGGTATGTAAAGAAATTTAAAGAAATTAAACGATGAGAGAATTTTAGATCTTGGCTCTCAATGTGACGGAGAAACGGTAATTTGTGAAATTAAAAATTCAGAATGTCGGGACAATATTTGTCAGTGTATTGAAAAATACGTCGCCCTTGAAGATAAAGCCTGTTATTTACGTAAGTAATATTTCTAAGTGGTGTGCGAGATTTGTAATTTAAATTGTAGAAAGCACTCAACTGGGGGATCCTTGTGAAGTAGACATTCAGTGTTCTGCAACGGTGTTATATTCCAAATGCATGGATACCACGTGCGGCTGCGATGATGATCATTTAGCATTTAACGAAACATGTTACGCAAAGAGAGGTGAGGCGATAAAAATAAAGATTATTTTTAGAGCTTCGTATTTTAGAATATGGTTCTCATTGTACAAATCTTCTGGAGTGTACTCTTTCATTGGGAGATTCGATTCAATGTCGTAAAGGTGTATGTCAGTGTCCCACAGGTGAAACGCTAGATGGCAATACATGTTCGTCTGGTAGTTTTATAACAGGAAATGTACTTATTCTAGTGGTTGTATGGTTAGCAAAAGGTGTAGTCCCAGTCAGTTAATTTTCTTTTATTTATACAAACACAATATTTTATAGAAACAACATAAAGACATGTGTACACGTATTTAATATCTATACGTACTCTGTTTCTTTTTATATAAAGGTCCAGTTTAGTATATAAACAATTTCTGATATTAATTAGTCATTTAAAATATTAACAAATTTTGTAAATTATAATTACAAGCTAACGATTGTTTTTATCCACCTTTCAAGATATACAATAACAATTAAGAACAACATGTCTACTGGGAAAAGGTGCAACAAGAGGAGCATATATAATATCGAATGGCACAGTATAGGTTCAGCAGTGGTAGTCCTCTGCTCGTGATAACTCCTAGACGTCGCCATAAATAAGATACTGGAGCTTGTAATTACAATTTGAAAGAATTGCATAACGAAATAATCATTCACATAGTCTTGAGGTGAGGATATCAGTATCTTTGGTCTGGGTCACTGGTCGCGGCACTGAGCGTCACTAGAAGCAATAGGTACGTTGGCCCGGGCACGCAGATGTAGTAGGGGAGGTCGGCACAGCCGATCCGCGCCCCGGGCATTCTGGTCACCCATAATAATAGTGACTATTCGAGCCGCTGCTGAGACTCCTGGGGACATCGCTGTCTGGGGCCGGCCTCCGCAGGGTGTGCGAGTGAGCGTGTGGGTACCGCACCACCTCGGCGATGCTGCCCACGGGAACCGCCGTAGAGTGTATGGCGACCGTGGGCAGCGGCGTCGTCAGGTCAATGTCGGCATCGACCTCGCTGATGTCGTCCGTAAAGCCGTTGGGCAAAGAATGGTCAGCGATGTTGGTGGCGTGGAACTTGGCCTCCCTGCGGGCGCGGTGCCTTTGGACGAGGAGCCGCCCCACGAGGATCGTGAGGCAGAGGAGGATGGCGCCGGCAATGCTGACTATCAGGTACAAGTAGAACCTCTCTTGGTTCTCTAAAAATGAGCACCGGGGTGAAAAGGACGCTAAGAAGGACAGTCCGGCATGCACGCGGGGCTTGACGGGGGCGCAGCGATAGCAAAGGCCGGCAATACTTACGTGAAATAAACGTGTACGCGTTTATCCATTCGGAAATGAAGCCGACCACTCGGGTTTTCTCCGTATAGACCGTGATCGTGCAGTTGGGATCTGGGATATCGTCGGCTTGCATGTCTTTAGTAGCTTTCTGCACGGCGGGAACTCGGGATGGGCGGAACAGGTTAGTACGAGGAGTTGTGTAAGGCTGAAAGGACGCTGCAACCAAATATCAGATGAAGTCTATTCATTTCATTGCGGATTGTGTGTATCTTGTGTTCAAGCAAGCTGCAGTGGTCACTCTGTGGGGACAGTTGTTAATAGACTCCACCCCTAATTTGTCCGGCTATATACACGACCGCGGACCATCGTAGGATATCCTCCGTCCGTTGCATTGCACCAAGCCAAATAGCACCGTAGGAGCCCAAGCGAGGTTACGGCGAACATGCATTAGATCAACATGCATACCGACAAGACACTACATCGACTTGTGTGACGTTTACTCATTACGTATCCTAATTCTCTTAAACGACACTTACAAATATACACACACACATCTCGACTGAAAATTTCGTGCTTTAGAAAAAGATGAAAGAGAACGATAGGAATGTGGTTTATTTACAAAGTTCTTTTGTGTCGGCCTTTACAGATGTCGGGGATAGAATCGACAAATTGAAGAGTAGCACCTATATCTGGCGCCGAGGTAAAAATGTGCATATTTCAAGCGAATGGTGCTCGAAAGTGACGAACCTCATTATTTATCTTTACACACAAGTCGAGGTATTTGCGCCGTTACCACCCCAAGTAAACATGCAAACTCACCGAAATCAAGTCCGTTAGACTTGTGTGCAGGACTCTTTGCGTTAACATTGGGAGAGTCCTTGGTTAGATTATCTCCTTTTCCAGCGCCTTCGATGTTGGGGGCGGGAGGCGAAGCGGCAGATTCTCTAATGAATTCGTTGCCGGCATCGTAAGTATCAAAATCGTCGTCGTCGTCGTTTGCAAATTCTTGGTCGGCTTCAACTTCGTCCGGTTCTAAACGGCCTTCGTATTGTTCTTTTAGAACTTTTCTTGGAACTGTAACGTGTTCGTCAATCCTTCCATGTAATAACCTGGCTGAATTACTTACCGCAGGTGTAGACTACTTTTAGATACATGCGCGACTCTGGTCGACACGGACTGCCAAAGGTGCTTATGTCGGCCGACAATTCGCAGCTCCGTTTACCATGGCAAAGTTGCATCACAGTTTCAGTAGCGTAACTAACCAAACATGCTGCAATTAAACAACGGATTAAAGCTCGGTTGCACGCACAGCGAATGCAACGTATCAAATTCGATTATAATTTTAGACCAGACACACAATACGAAGCGTGCGTCGAGTTACTACCTTCGGGCACGGTATTTTTAGGAGAATTGAACTTCACACGTTCTCCATCCACCTTTTTGAAGGGGAAGGTAAAGTGGATATCTCTCGTTGCATTAGTTAGCCAGAAGCACGGTAAAGAAGCAAAAAGGTCTACGACATAACCTCAGCATAGCTTTTTATTGGCAGAGTTTCAGTTGCCAAGAAATGCTTCTATAATTTACGTTTTCAAAACAAAATATCGCATCATAAAGACAGAGATTCTCGCGTTGATTAATGAGTTTCTGTAGGAGATTTGCTGACCCTCTTGAAATTCAAATATCGACAATTTGTCAAGTTAACGATTATAAGGATGCGATATGATGGCGACTGAAGAATTGGCCGTTAATCTGCTTGTGATGTTGGGCCGTCGTGGCCGGGCCTAATTTAAATAAAAATAGAATAATCAACTTACTTTCCTCGCGTACGCCTTGAGGCTGCGGGCACTGAATGCTTTCGTATTCTGTTCTTCCGTAGCTCGCGCTGTATACGGCAACCCTTGAGTTGGGATTGCACTTCAATTGAATTCGTTCATTCTCGCAGGCCACTTTACTTCGAAACTCATCTGAAAAATCCCTCTCCGTCGGTTTTTGTAATTTTCGATGCACTCCTCATACTCACATGGCCTACACTTGTAAGCTACTTCGACGTATTTTCGAACGCCCGGACAGGGATCTCCTCCGAACGTCTTCGGGGACGTTTTAAACTTGCACTGGCGTTTCTTCTGGCAGGCCTCCACGACAGTCTGCAACAACGAGTACTAGGTACCGTCAGTCAGATCGGCTGTATAACCCTTCCGATGGTTTGAATAAATCATTGCCAAAAGCTTTTGCGAAAACATCACAATCCACATACCTGCATGCTTAATGTTAGTAATGTTAACAAACATATACATTATTTACACTATAGCTACCCACTTCCGGGGCGATCTGCCAAAATTGCACTTTTCTCACTCGACAATCAACAATCACTTCTGACTCAAGTCGAAAGCCTAGCTAAAATAAGTACGAATAATCAAGCTAGAAATAAAAAAAACAACCAGACAGATCCCAAACACTGAAACGTTCCTTAATGAAAGATTGGTTGGCACGAACCTTATTTCCTTAATAACGATCTTTATTGAGTTTTACAAACATCTCTTCTCAAAAACCGGTTACATATTTTATGACGTCATGCATATTATGTTTCGACTGCGTCGTCAGAAACCTCGGTCTTGTTTTTCTACTCGAAAGGAGAGCGGTTTTGCTAAAAGTGAATTTAGAATTTACTGTCTGCGGGTATTTATCTAGATTTGTTGGAGCACATCTAGGTACGCCGAGATATGCGTATAACGGTATAAGAGAGATTTTGATAAACCGATTAAGGGATAAAGTTTTGCAAAATAAATTTTATTGGAAGAGTAAAAATTGAGGAAAGATCCTTTGAAAGTTGATTCGTTTTTATTAGTGTAATAAAGTCGGCCACCCGTGCGTCGTACTGTAATTGATGATGTGTGTGTGGTGAAATGTAATAATGAAAAAAGTAATGCGGCAACCAAAGCGAAAGTAACAACAGCCAAGAGCAGTGCTCTTTTGATTGCTCTAGTCGCGCAGTGCCTTATATTCTGCCTATATAACTGAATACATATACATTATTATACATAATGATCACTTACTCTCCCCCATGTTCCTTGCGCTACTTCCTCCCACTTGGTCTGTAAATAAGCACAAGCTAAGCTTTTCAAATGTTTACTTGTATCTCTACTGCTCTATTATACATAAAGCTCATATTCAACAAGACTTTGTAAGCGGATTATCCCGCCTGCTTATTTTCTGCAACAGTTTCAGTTTCCAAAATGACAAAAAGGATTTAAAACATTAATTAAAAAATAAAAATCAAACAATTTTATACAATCGTCAAGTTTAGATACCCCTTGATATTAATCAACTGGCGGTTAATGAAGCAAACTCTGCAATAAAAGATTCATTAGTTTCGTAGTACACTGTACATGCTCGGTGATGTTAATTATGTTACATGAATTGTTGCTGAAATTTAAACCTAATTAGCACCTTTAGAGGCTAGTCAGCTCTTAAGTGCCATTCAAGAAAACACTACTTTTAACACTGACCTGCAACGAATTGGGCCACAGACAGGACACGTTGTAGTTGTACGAAGTCTTCGAAATCGACGACTGGGTTGCTTTAGGACCACACAATGATTTGGACGGAGCCGACTTGCCATATTGGGCTAATTCGATCGAAATGCTTGTTCCGGGTGGACATCGGAGAGTCACTACTTCGTCATCACAACCGGCTCGCTGGTACGTCCTCAGAGTCCCTGATAACAAAGCTGTACCCATGAAGACCAGACGGACACGCCCAACATCACCACCACCACCACAAGAAAGAGAAAGAAAACACCAAATTAGCCCATTGTTAAGAAACATTAACTTAAGGAAAACTTAACACTAACTTAACAGCTAACGACATGTATGTACAAGATAATTACACAGCGTGTTTATTTATTTATTTTTTAAACAAGAGCAACTTATACAACAGCTAAATGTAATCCCTTTCAGCGTGAATTACGACCGGGCGGAAAACGTTTACTAAGAATCGGAAAAGAGGATTTTCCAAAGCCTGCATTAAAAAATGCAGGAAGATTCCAAAGTGGAGACGAAGGAGTGACTTCTCGAAAGTTTAGGTAGACGTCGGACGTAAATTCGAACTGTCTAGACCTTCACAAAATCTTTCAGGATTATGCTATTAGTGGTTGTTTCCGAGCTTTGAAAATTTCACAAACGGGTCAAGCTCGTCTGTCGGTGACAATTTAACGTCAAAACGACGAAGAGGTGCTTACACAATAATGTATTAAAAACTTCTTAAACTGGGGAAACGCGGCGGTTTTTGAGTATGATGGAGTTCGTCGAGTAAACAAAAACGAGTAAATTTCGGGAGTGGACTTAACATTTACGCATCTATTAGCATTTCCCTCCTTATTAAAGTAAAAAATGCAAACTGAAAAACTTCTTAGCAGGAAGTTTTAATTTATGTTGTCTCGTTTGGAGTCTCGCATTACATTATACTTTTAATTCCAGATGTTTCAGATTTTTAATTTAATAATACGGAAGGGCGGATCCTTAAGTATTTCCTTTCAAACTTCATAACATTGATTGAATTTCTTTCAAACCTGATCAAATAGGTGGAGTATAATTCAGTTTTTCAATTAAGATTTAGCAAATACTTCCGTGTGTCGTTTTGACAATCTGAATGATTACTCAGCAATTTAAATGGCACGACGCAGTTTTATAGCGTCCATTAATCACATTCTCAATTACGAACTTATCGCGTGCAAAGTTTAAGTTGAACCGGAAAAACAGTTTAGGGTTGTATAAAAAGCAGTCAATAATTCCGATTATTGTCTCCGATCTGTCTGTTCGCTGCAATATATCACACAAGCGAGATAAAAGATTTTCGGTAATGTTACAAATGTTTCGCTTAGTCAAACACGTTATGTGCAACAAGGACTGTGATACATTGGTGTAAAAGATCCAAGCGTCAGAAGAACCGAGAGAGAAAATTTTTACACCCACAATCAGAAGATAGTTCCTATAGATCTACAGGATACTTGATGACGTATATTTTAAAAACCCAGAGCCTCGCTACATTTATCCCGTTTAACTCCTCTGAAATATCGAGCGCGGTAAACATGAATTTAATTTGTGTAGCGTTTATTTTATTTTGCCACTTTATTTATTTAAAGTTGGGGCGCAGAGCCAATTAAGGCATGCATCAAGTTGGAAACAAGTTGGAGTGGAAGAGTTGAAGAGAATTGGTTTTGGGTTTAGGGTGGCGATTGTAGCGAGCTGGACCAAAAATAATTACAAAGCCCGGGACAGGATAAAAACGAGGAAAAGTATGATATGATAAATGAAGGTATAGTTTTTTGTGGAAGTTATTAGGAATGATATAGGGCGACGTTTGAAAACGCTTGCAAGATACTTGGGTGTGTAATTATTGCGGAAAATATGTGAGGTAGTCGGGAGACGGGACGCAAGCTACTAGAGAATAATTGCCAAAATTCCAAATACAATTATAAAACTGTCGCTTGAGGGATGCTTGCTCTTGGTCGATTTGATAAACAGTGGAAGAGGGAAACAGTGCCGGATTAAGACGCCGGGATGGATACTTCAGGACAATTCTCACAACTCTGATATTGGATCCGTCTTCGTTTTCTCCGCATGTGTGACGCGTCCGCGTAATATATTTTTCATTCTGGTTGTTTGTAACGTAATAAATTGAAAAATCGAATTTTGTGTATTAAGGGTTGCCTATGTAAAGCTCCTAGAAAGATCACAAATCGCCCGTAAGCAGACGTTCAGTGTATCTCTGTAAATAAATCAAATCTCCGTATGTAAATTACCTATAAAGGGGTGACGAATAACTTCCCAAGTGCTTTGTTAATGATTAAATGCGGTATTTTGACAAAATGTATGACAGAAGGTTGTATTTATGGTTAATCCCCGTCCTTTTGAGGTAAGCGTCACGTTCGCTAAGGAAATTGTGGTCCCACGAGGCGACAGATTTGTACATAGACAGATTACCCGTGATAACTTGCTGGCGCCCTCGTGACTCAGCTGAAGCCCTCTGTCACGTAAACTGCGTTTCGCACAGTTCTTGAGTTCACGATAGGCAGAGTAGAAGTATCGCGCATTAATTAAGTAGGTAGACACTTTAAACATCTGCTGCCGTACTACTTTAACGTAATGGGGCTGTATTTTTCCGGATTCCCACCCCCTTTCTCATCGGACTGAGTTGGGGTCGTCGAGTGCGCCCGAGTAGGACTTTTTCCTCAGTTCAATGTCCTAATTATCTACCTATTTGTCACCGGTTGCAACTGTGTGCTCTGTTTTTGATTAAGACTAGTTAAATCGGCATCATCGATACGATCCTGCAAATGCAGCTTTTGTTCCGACATAACAGGAGCAGTGGGAATTTTAACAAAAAGCCAGTAAAACGGCGCAATAAATCCCCCGTGAGACAGGGTACATGTATCCGGCACAGCACTGAAAGCGCATATATTAGGGAGGCGCCCCGATCAGCTCGGCACTCCTGGACGACTAGGACGCGACGCCGACACCAGGACCGACGCGGTTGGACACTTTTACTGTTAACCACGCTTTACTGGACAACGAAAAAGCCCATTTCCGAGCCACTTTTTCACCCGCAAATTTTACGCTCTCAAAGGGGATGGGCTCAGATTGAATGCTAAACCTGTATAAACTCACGCTTCGGAAAGGGATGCTAGATGGCTCCGCTGCCGTTTTTCAAACGGCGGAAACTAGTGCCATGCGAACAGAAGGGCTAATTTAGAAAAAATCTTTACTTTTTAGTCGTGGTAAGAATGAGGATAGCAGAAGATGTTCGAGAAAAGCTACGACAGCAGGATATGTAAGGCGCTGTTATGAGTACACGTGCGATACTAATTACACGTTCAATTTCACAGACGCCCATTTTTGCTCATTCCGCTACTTTACTTATTAAAGACTGAATAATTGCATTAATTAATTTTCCAAGTAAGGAGAGAATGTCCCAGATAACACGCTCCTAGAATAACATATGTAAACAGCACATACAAAGACTGAAAAATGGGGTATAGAAAAACCAAAAGGTCCTGTGCTCCTGTCTCCAGGTCAGGTCAGGTCAGGTCAGGTCAGGTCAGGTCGGGTCACGAACAATAGGGATGTTACAAGAACGGTGTATTCTGAGAATTTTTGGAGCGAGCGAAGTGAGTTGTATCTGATTTTAGCTATTTTTCGTGTAAACATGGCAAAGCACTCAGTTACAACTTTCCGGGAATTGTAACAATGTCGTGTTTCAGTTTGCATAAATCTGGCAAGAGTGGAGATGAATTATATATTTGAAATAATCATAACTAGCAAGCGTAGCGAGCCAAGTTTAGATGTTTAGGCAGGATTCGCTTCAGGTTTGACGTGATCGATTTTAATCATTGTAATTATAGTAATTGCGTTAAAATTTTCATCTCCTCATTTCGATAAAGCCCAGTCACAATTAGTTATGCACCCCTTTGTATACCGCATTATGAATTTCTTAAGCACTTAGTGAAATAGATTACAAGGGATGGTGCAAATTAAAAGCACACAGTGAATCGAGGAAAAAAGGATCTGATAATAAAGCAGAGCAATAAGTTGGTCCCTTGGTGGTGATTATGGATTACGAAAACAACATCGATTGGGACCAAAATGTCAGAGGGGTAAAAAAATAAAGAAAAACCTGAACCCGGGAGCGCGTTGAAATTGTCGAACGTACAAAGACTTCTGTATTTGAAATTTGCTTTGTTCGTGAACGGTGTATACTTCTGTATGAGACCTATGTATATTTAATTTGTTGAGTGCTCATAAGTAGGCATTCCGTGCGCACATTAATATTAAAATCGTCGCCATATCGCGGGGTTATAGGTTAGAGAAACAAACAGCCTCCTAACCGCCGAGCAATCCTCATTACATTAGTCTTCAACCTTAGGAGTCAACATAATAAATCGCGGCCAAAAATTAATAAACCATACCAAACACGTTCACCCTGAGAGCTGGCTGGGGCGCCCCATCGTCTACAACGCAGACGAACAACACTAGCATCAGGGCGGCAAATCCCATGCTGGCACATGCCTAGCATTAGCACTAGCACTAGCACCGGCAACAGCGCATCGCGCACGAGGACCCGCCACAAACTGTGCCGACGCCGGTCGACGGATTGACGGATACACGAGCGCGCTCAGAAGCCGTCGCAAATGGGACAATATAGCCGCCAGGGGTGGATTGACCTAGGCCCAAAAGCTGAGTCGAACTAACAATCCCAAGAATGCCCAGCGCTCCCATTCTCTGAGAATTTATGACACCAATTCCAAACATTTATAAATGCAAAACTGCTGTCGTTGGCCCGAAGGTAAGATGTTCCGCCCCGACAAGACGGATTCATCCGAATTTTTCTCTTTCTTAATTTCTTAATAAAACGCGTCGGGGCGGCCTCGCCTCGGGCTGATACAGCAAAAGCGGGCTTAAACCGAGCCATTTTTCCAGATTGCGGGTCACATGACCGTCGCACGGACGATGCATGCGATTATGACTTAAGTGCGATTGTTGCAGGAATTGGGCCAGCCGGCGGTGGTTCCATTAGCCGATTCCTAGGGCAGTGGCCGTCTTACGCGTGTATATTTAGCGACTTGCTTTTACTATACGGTTGTCTGCGTCGCAAGCATCCGCAAATAGCTCCCTCGTAAAAACTGCAAATAACAAACGGATGATTCTGTCGGTATTTCAAACATCTCATTTT